TTCTCTTATCTATTTTGATCCTTCATATGCATCTACTGTAAAGTCTCCTTTTGTAAGCGCGTCACCCTTCAATGTAATTTTTCCCACGCCGGTCTCATAATTGGGTTACCGCAAGTGACATCCCAACTTATTTCTCGCTGTTTACTAGACTTGGAATAATCCCCTTTCTCTTTGTTCATACAAGCTATTTACGTTAGCAAAACAATGCTTCCAAAAAAAACATCAGAAAAGCAAGGAACATAAATACTAACTGTGAACACTGTATTCCTGCTCCTCCTGTATAGGACCCAAAATCTTGGGAATGTCGGCCCGGCCGCACGTGGCTTCCCCCCAGACCTATAAGCCTAGCACTCTGGGAGGCCCGCAGCCCCCCAGGTGGGTGAGATCAACCTCAAGGTAGGAATTTGGAAAACCCAGCCTGAAGCCAAGAGTGAGACCCCTGTCTCTACTATAAATAGACACATTAATTGGCCCATACTACCTAATATATAGAAAAAATTTAGCCGGGCATGTGGCGCATGCCTGTAGCCCAACGCTACTCGGAGGCTGAGGCAGGAGGATGTGCTTGAGCCCAGGAGGTGAGGTTTGCTGGAGCCGTAAGGCGACGCCACGGCACGTCTAGCCTGGGCGAACCAGAGTGAAGACTCTCGTCTCGAACAAAGAAAAAAAAAAAAAACAGCAGAACAATCTTGGACGGTTGCATTGCGTTCAGGTGTTTCAGTACGGCAGAGGTGAAGAAATACCATGGTGATAAAACATAGTGTTGTATTGGACTATTTTCAAACGTCAAATTTTACTTTTCATTTTATATTGTGTCCTTTTCTGAATGAATTGAAAATGGTGGGTTTGGTAATAAAGCGATAAAGGAAGGCCATTCGGGAAGTCTGGACGTTTTGAATCCGTTGAGTTGTCCATTCTTTCATTCCCCTGTAGGTCATAACCGCTGCTCTCTGTTGTTCGGTTCAGTGCGCGAGTTGTGTGTTTTTTTTTTTGTTTGTTTTTGTTTTTGAGATAGTAGAGTCCGATCGCTTGTTGTCCAGGCGTGAGAGTGGAGTGCGCGGTGCGTCAGCCTAGTGCACGGCAACCTCGAAACGCTGGGCTGTTCAAGGTGCCTTCGCCTTCAGGCCTCCCGAGTAGCTGGCGCCACTACCACCGCGCACTGGACCCCACGAGCCCCGAAGCGCTTGTTCCCCCCCCCCCTACCCCTCCACCCTGAGGGTATACTCAGCGCCGGGCTTGCGCGAAAGTGATTCTCTCTTCTACACTGTAATCAGTACGACGCACGGGGCGGTCTCGCATCTTTTGCTCAGCTGGTTTTCGAACCTCCTGACCTTGGCAATGCCGCCCCCCGCCTCGGCCTCCGAAGAGCCTAGGCGACCAGGCGTGAGCCACCCTGCGCGCCCCGCGCCCCCCCCGCCCGCCCCCCTCCGTTTTCACACTGTGAACAGAACGCCCTGCTACCCATATACTCTCCCCACCATTTCTGATTCTCCTTACAAGAAAGATATAGATAGTTAAAAACCACCCTGTCGCGGAGCCCTTAAGCTTTCCTATCACCTCCCTATCCGGTATATTATGGATATTTTCAAAATTGAGGAGATCAAGGTCATCTATTTGCTTTTTTTTTTTTTTTTTTTTTTTTGAGACAGGAGTCTGCGCTTTGTTGCCACAGGCGTAGGGGAGTGCCGTGGCGTTCTAAGCCTAGCTCACAGCAACTCAAAAAACTCCTGGGCTCGAGCGATCGCCTGCCTCAGCTCCGGGTAGCTGGGCTCACAAGGGCATGCGCCACATGCCGGCTAATTTTTCATTTTTTTTTTTTGACTATATATATTAGTTGGCCAATTAATTTCTTTCTATTGATAGTTAAGAGACGGGGGTCTCGCTCTTGCTCAGGCTGGTTTTGAACTCCTGACCTTGAGCAATCCGCCCGCCTCGGCCTCCCAAGAGCTAGGATTACAGGCGTGAGCCACAGCGCCCGGCCAATCTATTTGCTTTTTGAGTCACACATTTAATTGATAATTACCTATTATTGGTCACATGTTTTTATCTTTACTTTTTTATCTATGGTGTGATCATTTAAGACAAAGGTAGTTTTCAAGAATTTGTTAGATCACTTAAATTAAAAACAGTGATTGTAAAGTTTATTATTTTTTGGTTCTACTTTTAAATCATGCATTGTTTTGTTTTTAATTTTACAGATTGAAGATCCAGGTTGCTTCTGGGTTGTTATAAAAGGATCTAGTCCCCTTTTAGATCATGATGTTGACTATCAAAAACTAAATAGTTCCATGAATGACTTCTATAACAGCATGTGTCAAGATATAGAAATAAAACCATTAATGTTGGAAGAAGGGCAGGTATGTATCTAAGTGTGCTTTCATCACTGTGTCTTGAAACACCACTTAAAATGTAAAGTATTTTGGCAACTAAGATGATGAAAGCTTTTAGAGTATTTTAGTTTCCTATACTCGTTGCCTTGTTTTAGGTTCTTTAGGTTTCACAGGATTCAGGCCAGCCCTGGAGAAGGGGTAGTGGTTGTGTAAGGTTCATGTGGGACAATGAGAGATGGAAATCTAAACCCAGGCCTTAGGGCCATCCTCCTGGTGCTGCCGACCAGGGGATTATTCTAGATCCAACACAGGTGTGGAGACCTCAGCAAAGAGGGCATGGCGTCTTCATTCTAGGGTTTTGCCTCCCTTTGGGTTGCTCGTGACTTCGGCCAACTCACACGTCTTTATTTCCTTCATGGCTCTTCCTCACTTTCTTGCACCCCCAGCTCCTGTTGCCCAGCGTCTGAGTCTACAGGTCAGCCACATTTCAGAAGAATTTGAATTTTTTGTAATAATGTGATGGGAAAAGATTTATAAACTCTTTATAAGAAAAAGCAGAAACAGTTGAATTCCTTCCCCAACCCCAAAATCATTGTCAATAATATAATTCTTTTTTTTGATACCATTTTTCAATACCATTGACTTATTGAAGAAATGAAGCCAGGTCAGTTATCCTTTAAAAATATTTCACATTTTAGATAGCAATTGCTTCCTTGTGGTGGTGGTTTAGCTATTTCTCAACGCTTTGTATTTTCTGTGGACTGATAGTTAAATATAAAGTTTTGGATAGATTTAGGGTCACATTTGTTTTTTAAGAATAGGTGTGCTATGACCTTCATATTGTATTGAATTGGGAGATAATATTACCCAATTGAACTTAGGCCAGTTAATAACCCTAAAATGGCTTCTTAAGTGTTCAAGTGAAAGGAAGAGTCACACGTCTTCTGCCTTAAGTCAAAAGCTAGAAATGATTAAGTTTAGAGAGAAGGCATGTCGAAAGGCTGAGATGCTAGGCCACTTGTGCCAAATGGTTAGTCAAGTTGTGAATACAAAGAAAAAGTTCTTGCAGGAAATTTAAAATGCTACTGCAGTGAACACACAAATAAGAAAGTAAAACAGCCTTATTGCTGATGTGGAGAAAGTTTAGGGGTCTAGATAGAAGATCAAAGCAGCTACAACATTCACTTAAGCCAGAGCCTAATCCAGAGCAGGGCCCTGACTCTCTTGGCTTCTGTGAAGGTTGAGAGGTGAGGGAGCTGCAGAGGAAAAGTTTGAAGCTAGCAGAGTTTGGTTCATGAGGTTGTAGGAAAGAGGCCGTCTCCATAACATAAAGGTTCAGGGTGAGGTGGTGGTGTAGAAGCCGCAGCGGGAAGATTTAGCTAGGGTCATCGATGAAGGTGGCTGCACTAAACAGATCTTTTTTGGTAGACAAAACAGCCTTCTAGGCCTTTCATAGCCTGAAGAAGTCAATGCCTGGCTTCAAAGGACAGCTGACTGTTGCTAGGGCCTAATGCAACTGGCGACTTTAAGTTAAGATCAGTGCTCATTTATCATTCCAAAAATCTGAGGGCCCTGAAGAATTATGTTAAATTGGCCAGGTGCGGTGGCTCACGCCTGTAATCCTAGCACTCTGGGAGGCCAAGGCGGGCGGATTGTTTGAGCTCAGGAGTTCCAGACCAGCCTGAGCAAGAGCGAGACCCCGTCTCTACTATAAATAGAAACAAATTAATTGACCAACTAAAAATATATATAGAAAAAATTAGCCGGGCATGGTGGCACATGCCTGTAGTCCCAGCTACTCGGGAGGCTGAAACAGGATGATCCCTTGAGCCCAGGAGTTTGAGGTTGCTGTGAGCTAGGCTGACGCCATGGCACTCTAGCCTGGGCAACAGAGTAAGACTCTGTCTCCAAAAAAAAAAAAAAAAAAAAGGAGCTTAATACATCTAAGCTAGTGAACATCATGGTTTAGCCTAGCCTACCTTAAACGTGCTCAGAATACTTATATTAGCCTGTTGTTGGGCAAAATCATCTAACACAAAAGCCTATTTTATCATAAAGTGTGGAATGTCTGTGTAATTCATTGAAAACTGCACACTATGTTGAGATTGCAACCGTTTTGCACCATCATAAGGTTGGAAAATTCTAAGTCAAACCATTGTAAGTCAGGGACCATCTATGTTTATTCAACCATGCAACAGGCAGTTTTGGAAAACTTAGCATATGTACTGGGCACTGACTGTACTCAGTGCTGAGAAGATGGCAGTAAACCAAAGAAACAAGAGTCCACGTCGTCACGAAGCCAGTGTCCAATTATGGCTGACAGCGTTAGAGGGCGGTGGCAGCTGCGGGGAGGGAATGGGAGGGTGAGCCTGGGGTTGCAGTTTCCTGTTGGTCTGATACATGATTGATAATCATTTGCAAGCAATATTTTCTGATTTAAGAAGGTAAAGCTTATTTTAATCTAAAATCGTCCTTGATTAAGGAGCCAAAATGACGGCAGTAATAAAAACAATGAAATAGAATCCAGGTGGCCTGTGTTCTTCTGAGGTTCCCTTACCTGCAGAGGGTGTTGACCTGGGCAGGTCAAGCCTCCTGGCGTCTCTTTCCTCTGCTGTAAGGTAAAATGTAGGCCGAGATGATTTTGAGAGTGTCTTTTAATTCTCATTGTATGACGAGGGATTTTAACACTTTTTATTTTGTAGGTTTGTGTGGTTTACTGTCAGGAGCTAAAGTGCTGGTGCAGGGCCATTATTAAATCAATCATGTCCTCAGCAGACCACTACCTGGCAGAATGTTTCCTTGTGGATTTTGCTAAGTACATTCCAGTAAAGTCTAAAAAGTACGTATGTATTTATTTTGCCTTAAAGTCTTAATGGGAAAAAAATGCCAGTTTTAAAGGAGAATGTCAGTTTTTAAAGTGAGTGAGTAGAGGTCATTACACATGCACTGATGGAAGAGCAGGTGATCTGAATGCAGACAGGTGGCTCTGACCCTCCTCTGCCTTCCTGGGGGGGGGGCAGGTTCAGGCTGTTCGCTCTGTGTCTCGGGGCTCTTTGCTAGCCGCTCTCCTGGTCTGGACGCAGTGGCTGCTTCAGGAGGGCTGGGCTGCAAGAAGGACGCACCAGAAGGCGGAGAGCCCTTGTCTCCACAGACGGCGGAGGTTACGATCACAACCTCGAGTTGCAGAGAGCAGAGCATATGCTCAAGTACATATTCTTGGTTGTCCTGCTTCGCACAGTGAGGGTGTGGCTGTCGCATGACGTGGGGACACAAAATGAGCTGGTAGCTGGATGGTGACTCTCCAGCCTTCAGTGGTTCTGGGACCACACATCATAGTTCATTAGAAAACACTACCAACAAGCCAGGCTTGGCATAGTTTCCTGTCCTAGAATAAGAGGATGTCAGTTTAATAAATAAATGTGAGGGCTGTTCTTTCACTGAAGAAAGAGCAATACCACATAGATTTCAGTTGCAATAATAGGTGTCTCTTGGATAGAAGAATTTCATGGCAGAAGGGCTTATCAGACACTGGAAATTTGCAGATATTTAAGGAAAAAGTAGATGTCCTTCCGACTTACGATTCTGTACTTTTGTATAATATAACCATAATTGTTATGAAAATGATAACTTGTGTTTATCTGTTTGAGGAACTTTTTGTATTTGGTGTTGTATTTGTTTTGGACAAGAGAATCGTATGACTAAATAGAGCACAAGGGGGCCTGGAGGGACAGTTAGTGCCACCACCACCTCCTAGCCTCTCTGAGCAAAGCTGGCCAGGCTGCCCGCACTGGGGCCCTGGGGAGAAGAACCAGCTCCCACTGAAAGAGTGTGTTGAAGTGACCTGTTGTTTGCTGGAAGAAGGATGTAAATAAAAATGTTGAACTTCTTCTTATCAAATCTCTTTCCTTCAGCTCTTGGGTGAGAAGTTGGCAAATACTGTTAAAACATCTGTTCATTTACAGACGTTTTCAGGTGGTCAGTATTGAAATTGGTATTTAAAAATCTTGAGTAGAATTTGCATCTAGGTTTGTTCATTATTGCCTAGTATTTTTTCAACCTACAGAGCCTTACTAGACTTTTTTTCCTAAACTCCTACCCTGTGCCATGAAATTTCAATGCCACGGAAGTAGTATCTTGTTTATGTGCCATATGTATAACTGTGCTTTATGTGTAAAAAGAATAAGGTTTTGCTCAACCCCCAAGAAACAGCTTTTTGCATCAATGGCCAAATAAAGCACTGTTGTTGCTTTATTAGATACTGTTAATATTAGACACTGTTATTAGACACTAATATTAGACACTTTATTAGACACTGTTAATATTAGACACTGTTGGTGCCATATTAGAAACATACTGTTTTTTTTTTTTTTTTTTTTTTTGAGACAGAGTCTAGCTTTCTTGCCTAGGCTAGAGTGAGTGCCGTGGCGTCAGCCTAGCTCACAGCAACCTCAAACTCCTGGGCTCAAGCCATCCTCCTGCCTCAGCCTCCCAAGTAGCTGGGACTACAGGCACAAGCCACCATGCCCGGCTGATTTTTATATATATATATATATATATTAGTTGGCCAATTAATTTCTTTCTATTTTTTTATGGTAGAGACGGGGTCTCGCTCAGGCTGGTTTTGAACTCCTGACCTTGAGCAATCCACCCGCCTCGGCCTCCCAGAGTGCTAGGATTACAGGCGTGAGCCACCGTGCCCCGCCAGAAACATACTGTTTTTTGTGTTTTGTTTTACATTAAGTATATTGATTAAATAGGTGTACTTAAAAGGAATATGCTGTGTATAGTTTTCCTTTGTAACGGAACTGTTTCTGTTTTACTTTGAAGCATCCGAGTCGCAATAGAGTCTTTTATGCAGCTTCCCTATAGAGCAAAAAAATTCAGCCTGTACTGCACAAAACCTGTCACTTTACACATTGACTTCTGCGAAGACAGTGCTGAAATTGCGTAAGTACAGCTTATTGAGTAGTTTGAATCATTAGTAGAAGCCTTAGATCAGGTGTATGATGTTACGAAATCAATCCCTCTGTGCGAGTGCTAAGCAGAAGTCTCTTGGTTCTTGGGCACGCGGCCTCTTGGTGTTTGTCAAGCCTTGCTGGCCGGCAGAGTCCCCAGGAAGCCCCAGCCCCAGGGATCATGGTCAGGGCATTTGGAGCAGGGCCTGAGCTCTGTGCATTTGCCTTTTTTTTTTTAAACCTGTGAAAAGTAGCAAGTTAACTGTAGAGAGCACATTCATAAAACACAGGATCATGGAGCACTTAAAGAAAAAGTCCATCACATTCTCCTCCGGGCCCACATCCTCCCTCCTGGGAGGCCTCTGTGGTCTGTTCCGGCTCTGAACTCCCAGACTTTTGTCAGTGCTTTTATACACACAAATTTACATGGAACTTTCCATGAAAATTAGAACATACTGTCTTACTTGAGAAATTAACTTAAGAATGTCTGTTGAAGCTCTTTGCTGGTACATGTACCTCTCCTTCCTACTTTTAGTCTTTTTCATGGGAAGATATAATTGACATACTTGTTGTATGTAACCATTTCCCTCTTGATAGACAGCTAGGTTGTTTCTCAACCATTTGCACTATACATTCCCATCAGAACATAGATAAAGCTGTATGAAATAGATTTGGAGACATATACCCTGCACCCCAATCTTTGCTCTTTTTTCGTAGTGTTTGCCTACATTGCTGATGTTTGCACAGGATGGATTTGTGCACAGGGCAGTGCTTTGTGGGATGTGGGTACAATCTCTGCTGTCTTGGACGAGCACTACCAAGTGGCTTGAGTTCTGTCTCCTGTGGTCTGTGGGGCAGTCCCATCCTTCTACCTGGTGCTCCTCCTCTCCTCCCCCTCCACAATGTGGCATTGTGGAAAGAAAAGCCACAGGGAGCAGCCCAGTTCTGACTGCACTTGCACATCCCAGTGACGATGCAGTGTGCACTCTCAACTTGGAAGCTGCATCTCTTGTGGATGCTTTCATGGGCTCTTTGGAGACTTTCCATTCTCCACTGTCCCCCAGCTCCCCAGACCCCATCACCTACAGTTCCCTTGAAGTGGTGAATGCATCACTCTTGTGGCCGGCCTTGGAGTCGGCACTGAAGTGGTGATGGGCCAGCTTGTCTGTGCTGAAGCCAGGGGGCTCCGCCAGGCTGCCCTCCAATCAGCCCAAACCACCACTCAGGAGAGCCTCTGGGCGTGGCGGTCCCCAGCACGCAGCAACCCCTGCCCCTCCGCTGTCCTCCTTCAGAGCAGCCAGCGGCTGACTTTCCAGGTGAGGTTTGGGCGCTTGCCTGCATGGCCCAGGTCACCTGCGGCAGCAGTCCATTCCTGTCCTCCTCACCCTCACCTGGCCATGACCCCCTTCCTAGCACTGCAGGAGTCTTCAGTCCAAGGGTACACCCAGTATAGACAAAGGGCTTATGAGCACGTCATCCTACTGGGTTTTGATCACCCTCTTTGACATGTGATGTCTTTGTGCTTGCACTTTTTTTTTTTTTTCTTTCGTGGATGAAGTTCTAGGGCCCCAAGAGAGGGGGCCCTGGAAGTCGCCCTGTGCTTGCACTTTATACATCTTTCTCAAGATGTGTATTACAATTTGCACCACATTTCCCTCCAAAAAGACTAGCAATTTATACTACCATCACTGGAGCATAGAAAGTGCTGTTTTTTCCCACATAATATTGAATATTATGAGACTTTTTAATTTTTGCTTGTTTGCTGGGTGAAAATGACATTTTTATATATATAATTTTTTCCCATGGATCCCTGGGAGTAGACATGTTAAATTTGTATTTTTTTGGATTTTCAAAATTGGGTGTCTCTTCATGTGGTTATTGTGTGTGTGTTTGTGAGATGAGAGATTGATTTACCTGTTCATATACTAGATTGAGTTTTCTCTTAGATTGTGTGCTATTTTCTTATTAGGATGAGACTACATTTGTTTTTTTTTTTTGTTTTTTTTTTTTTTTTGAGACAGAGTCTCGCTTTGTTGCCCAGGCTAGAGTGAGTGCCGTGGCATCAGCCTAGCTCACAGCAACCTCAAACTCCTGGGCTCAAGCAATCCTTCTGCCTCAGCCTCCCGGGTAGCTGGGACTACAGGCATGCGCCACCATGCCCGGCTAATTTTTTTTTTTATATATATATATCAGTTGGCCAATTAATTTCTTTCTATCAGGCTGGTTTTGAACTCCTGACCTTGAGCAATCCGCCCGCCTCGGCCTCCCAAGAGCTAGGATTACAGGCGTGAGCCACAGCGCCCGGCCCTGTTTTTTGTTTTTAAAAAACATATTAGGTAAACCTTAAAATCTGTACCCTCATAATATGCCGAAATAAAAAAAAAAACATATTAGGTGAATGTTTTTTGTGTAGCAAGGTTTTAGAACCACTGTCTTTATTTTACTGCCTCCTCTTAGAAATCCTTTGTAATTCTCTTTAATTGCTTAGTATCTTTCTTAGTAAAAATAACTAAGATTTATGAATAATGGTTATGTCAGGCACTGGGCTGTTTTATGTACATTACCTCATTTGATCTTTAAAACAACCCTTGGAGGAGGGGGGTGGCATCTCTGATAAATAAAACCAGTAGAAGCATACAATTTATCATTCTAACCTTAATTTTTATTTTATTTTTGTTCCATGCTTCTAAGTACTGGTTTCTCCTGTTTCTTTGTTCCCTACAGTTTTCCTGTGATTTTCTTTCCAAAGCACAGGGAAGATGTAGAAAGGGCAAGATTCAGAGATGAAGTGGGAGACAGTGAGAGGGTGGGAGAGTGGGCAGACGGAGGAAACCATGGGCCGGTAGAGGCTGCCTTTCGGGTGACGACTTCTTAGAGGATGTGTTAGCCACATGCCCTGAGCCCTCCTCTGTGCCAGTCTGTGCCGGACGCTGCACACTCAGTCTCTGCTTGTCTTCTGGTTGGAGAGACAGGTGTGTCGCAGGTCACGGGGGCTGACAGCGTTGCAGCAGACCATGCCGTGGTGCAGAGCGCGGGTCCTTCTTGGTGGGGCCCCCGTGAGGCGCGTCTGCTCTGCACAGGCAGCGGCGTTGGCAGGAAAGCGCTGCAGGATGCAGCTGGGATCTTCTCCCAGCACGGAGCCAGAGCTGAGCTCCTTATTGTCTGCATCATGGGTTCAATGTGAAATGTGAGAAATATCCAGCGTATGGTTTACAAAATGATGTTAGTTTAGTGTACTAGCCTCAGGTTTTTGTTTAATGAAGTTGTATGTGTTCACTGTTCCAGACCTGCCAAGAAGTGGGACAGTGCGGCTATCCAGTATTTCCAGAACATTCTAAAAGGTAAGGCCGGTGCATGCATGATCACCGCAGCCTGCCTTGAACTAGCACCCAAAGCTGTTTGACCCTGTTCATATACGTTTCCTGCGTTACCTGGAGCTTCCTCCACTCAAGGTGTTGCAGGAACTGTACCGCTGGAACTTTGCAGGTGAATGTGGGCAACAGTGATTGACAGCTGAAACTGGAAGGGCGCTGTTTAGAGGAACCCCACACAGCGATGCCTGCCTTAGTTTGCGTAAAAGCTCCAGCGCTGCAAGCAAATTTGTGTGCATTTTATTGGACCAGTGATTGACAAAAAGCCTGGCTCTTAGTGAGCAGGGGATAGTAAATGGATTATTGTGCAATAATTATTACTGCTAATTTAAGGTGTACAGAATGTCTTTGCCTATTTAGTGTGCTCCCTTTGTTATATATCAGTGACCATCAAACAGTCTCTTTGTGGCATCTGTCCTTACCCCTGGCAGGGAGGAGTCAAATACCTGTGCCTGCCTCTTTGGGCTATTCCAGAGAGTTGGTAGGTGGGAAATGCCGGCACACCGGGTGGTAGCTGGCTGGGTTCTGGCCCCTCTCCGGTGCCGGGCCTGTCTGGGTAAAGGAACAGCCAGAAACTTTGAACTTGGGAGGTGGCTGGGTTATGAGTTTTGGCCCTCGTGAGCCATGGAGGTTGCTGGGAGAGGACCCTGGGTCTGGAGGAGGCAGACATCTATTTCTGTGTGGCCTCAGATGAGTGACTTAACCCTCTCAGAACCTGGTCTCCTCACCTGTGAAGTGACAGTGCTTATCTGAGAGGGTGTGGTAAAAATGAAATAAGGTTTATAAAGGACTTAGCATCCTGCCTGATAGGCCCCCACGCACGGAGCTGCTGCTGGGTGACGACGTCTCCGATAGAGTAGCCGGGGGCTCCGACCTGTGGGGCATTTGAAGGGGTAGAACAAACTCTCAGAGGAAAGATTGTAACCGGAAATTTGGACTTGGGAGTCATCGGGAGCGAAGAAAGGACCAGGAACCTTACTTGAGGAGGTGCCCACAGGGTGGCCGAGGCCACGTGACCCACTGCAGCGTCCAGAGGGCCCTCTCCTCAGCAGCTCTCCCGGGTCCTGCCTGTCGCTGTGCTGCTGCGTCCTCTTAACGGGTCAGCAGGGATTAATTGGCGGGAAATAGTCGTAATTTTTTCAGTTATACTTGCAGTATCAGCTGACTTGTGTTTTTGTTTATACTGTTTAGCCACAACCCAGGTGGAAGCCAAATTGTGTGCTGTGGAAGAAGATACTTTCGAGGTTTACCTCTATGTAACCATAAAAAATGAAAAAGTAAGTGAAAGAATTGTATTTTTAAAATATTTTATCATTATTTTAAATTTTACTCTAACAAAAAAATGCCAAGGAAGGCCCTGTAATTCACACAGCATAGAAATTATCTGAATCTTTTGAGGTCTGCCTTCTGTTAGAAGTTAGCCAGGACTGTGCTTGCTTCTTTTGATTAGTTTGAAAAATTATGTCAGCATTTTATTCAGTGGTGGACAAGAAGTTATTCTGCGGAGATGAATATGGAACTTTTTATACGAGGACTTAATTTTTATAAACACACTCACCTGATGGGGGTTAAGTTTACTGCCTTTTCTCCCCAGGTTTTGCCATTGTCTGTGGTGTGTGCTCATTGTAAGGGATTCGGGTGGGTAACGTAGGTGGGAAGAAAGTGAACATTGCATGTGAGCGGCCTTCTCCCTCCCCCCCACCGCCCCCACCCCCCATCAGCTGCTGACGTTTGGCTGGCTGCGCTTTCTGAAGGGCAGCTCAGGGCAGGGGCGGGCTCGGGGTGCAGCTCTAGGGCTGCCTGTCAGAGCCCACAGAGGGCGCCTTAACCACAGATTTATATTTTAAATTGTATTTGAAATAATTACAGAAGAGTTGCAAAAGTAGTGCAGAGATTTATCGAGGGTGTCTCAACACCCAGTGTTAACATCATGTAGTACAGTTATTAAAACCAGAAAATTAACCTTGTACAATATACTATTACAAATCTACAGACCTTGTTTGGTTTTTGTTTGTTTTTAGAGACAGGGTCTCGCTCTGTCGCCCAGGCTGGAGTGCAGTGGTACAGTCACAGCTCACTGCAGCCTCCAACTCCTGGCCTCAAATGATCCTCCCACATGGGCCTTTCAGAGTGCGGGCATTGCAGGTGTGAGCCATCGAGCTCAACCTTGCAGACCTGATTGGAAAGTTGGCAGTTTCCCCACTAATTTAACTTTTTCTAATCTGGGATCTGATCCCACACCCCACATCCCAACTGTTTGCCGTGTCTCCTTAGTGTCCTCTAGGCTGTGACAGGTCCTCAGTCTTTGCTCACCTTTCATGAGCTGACCCCTTCGAAGAGCACTAGCCAGTTATTTTGTAGAGTGTTACTCAGTTTGGGTTTGGCCGATGTTTCTTCATAATTGGATTGAACCTGTGCATTTTTGGCAAGAGTGCCGCAAAGCGGTACTGTGCCCTTCTCAGTGCGTCACGGCAGGGCGTCATGACGTTGCTATGTCTGATTACCCTCGATGTTCATGGTGCTCCCCTGGCTAAGGCGTTTCCCAGTGTTTCCTGTGTAGTTACTGTTTTCTTCCTTTTGACATTAGTTAGGTATCTTACGGGGAGATACTTTGAGACTGTGCAAATATCCATCAGTGATTCTTGTCTGTAAAAACCTCTTGTTGTGGTGTTTGCCTAGTTCCACCAATCCTACATTTTTAATTGGAATTCTATAACAAAGAACTGTCCCCCCTCACCCATTTATTAATTCAACAGTTTACATCAGTGTGGACTTTTGGATATTTATTTTAATTTGGGGTTGACGTCCATCACTATCACTATTGTCTTGCTCAAATTGCCTCAGATTTTGGGCATTAGACACTTCTTCCGAGTGGCTTCCATAGCCTTTCAATGCGCCCCATCCTTGCTTGGACGCTCCTTACTCTCTGGTGCCACAATATGCTCCAGGATCATGCTGTCCCGTTCCAGACCCAGCCCTGGGATCAGCCACTTCTCCAAGAAGCCCTGGTTCCTTTTGCGGGAGAGTGCAATTGAGATGTCAAGATGAGGGCACTGGGTGTGCTTGTTGCTGCTGGGAAGTCATCGATTATAGATCCGCTCGAAGAAAGAGTTCAGAAATACATGTATGCACACTAAGTCATGCACACGTGCAATCTGTATTTCTGTATCCATCTGTACATATATTAAGAGCTTTGATAACCCTAATTTCAATCTAGCACCACAGGGTTCTTTCTAACCATTTTTTTCCCCTTATTCTTAACACCCTTCTCTAATAGTGAGAAACCTTCTCTCCTTAGCCACAGTATACTCATTTGACTAATCCTATTCACAGAAGGTTGTTTCAGAATTGCTAACCCACAGTCCTGTGCAAAAGGAATTTGTCTTTAGCTTTAGCATCATGCAGCCAAAATATTATTTTCCAAAGCTCTTTAGGTTTGTTTTTCTCTTTCCTACCCTCTTCAGTGTGATGGTTATTCTTTTGTAATAGGTTCATTTGTCACTGTTTATGTTGCATTTTGAATTCCCCACGTCTTGGTTGGTCTTATCTGTGACTTTTCATTGCTTATTTTACAACTTGGTAAAAATACCAGAATGTTGACTATAGGGCCAGTCTTATAAAACATCTTTCTTTAAATAAATTCTCTATTGTCTTGCTTTCTTCTTGCTTTTCAAAAGTAGATCTTTTCTCTCACCATGTATGCTGCATGCTGATGGTGACTTGCTCTTACTTCAAAGGTGACAAAGTGCAGAAGGCAGGGAGGTCCATGGGAGGGCCTACGGTGGATGTATGAGGTCATAATGCCAGAGAAAGAAAATCGGGGCCCACAGTCCTTTTGTAGCTCCCAGAGGGTACACGAGGATGTGTCCCAGAGTGTACTCTTTCTGCCTGGCTTCTTTCATTCAGCAGAATTATTTTTAGACGCATGCATATTGCTGCGTGTGTCCATGGTTCATTGCTTTTATTGTCAGGTACTCTCCCATTGTACGGATGTACTGCAGTGTATGTATCTGTTCACTTGTTGATGGCCAGTTTAGGGCTATTGCCCGAGTATCCACTCACACAAGTCCTCCTGTGGACCTGTGCTTTTGTTTCTCTTGGGTAAATTCCTGGGAGTCATACTTTTGGATGGTATTGTAGGTATTAAGAAACTGCCAAATTGTTTTCAAAGTGGTTGACCATTTTACATTCCCATCAGCAATGAGAGTTCCAGGTGTCCTCTGCGTCACTCGTATGGTCATTCTGATAGGTGTGTAGTGGTATCTCATTGTGATTTAAATTTGCATTTCCCTAATGACTTATGATACTTTTATGCTTATTTGCAACCTATGTTTTTGATAATGTATTCATTCATATCTTTTGCCCATTTTTTAATTGAGTTTTTATTGAGTTTTAGGAGTTCTTTATATATTCTAGATACATGGCCATCCACATACTTGATTTTAAAATATTTTGCCCCATCTCTTCATTCTCTTTTGAAAAGCAGAAATTTAAAATTTTGAGCAAATTCAATTTGTCAGTTTTTCCTTTTATGGTTAGTGTTGTCTTTGTCCTGCCAGATGTTTGGCCAATTGTGTTAGCTTTTCAGAGCCTTCAAGAAGAGGTTTTTTATGTTTAATGCAGATCCTTGCTGTTTTTCTCATTAGGATTGGTGAGAAGTATTTAGTTCACCACTACCAGAGGATAAGTCAGATTTGTTTCTATCAAATTATTTTCTATTAAAAAAAAAAAAAGCCAAGTGTAGTTCTGTGCGCCTCCAGCTACTCAGGAGGCTAAAGTGGGAGGATTGCTTGAGCCTGGGAGTTCAAGGCCAGCCCGGGCAACAGTGAGACCTCATCTCCTAAAAAAAAAAAAAAAAAAAAAAAAAAAAAGAAAAGAAAGAGAAAATAAATTATGTTCTATAAAATAATTTTTCTGAAGATTGAAATTTGGTGTTACTTTAAAATGTTTTCTTGACAGCCACTTGACTATTTTTGTCTTATCCACGGAATGTTTACATTTTTACAGGTTTGCGTTAATGATGATCTTGTCGCAAAGAACTTCGCTTGTTATATATCACCTACAGAGAATAAAAGCCTTGATTATTTAGAGAAACCAAGATTGAATATAAAGTCAACGTCCTTCTCCAATAAACTCAATCCAGCACTTACACTTTGGCCAATGTTTTTGCAAGGAAAAGATTTTCCAGAAATAGAAAGTGAGTGGATTCTCACCAATATATATTTCCTTTAAATTGTTGTATTTCTAATCGTATTGATATAAGCCGTACAAACTTTTCTCCACATGGGGACAGAGGCTTGGATTCTGTTTAATTATTAAAGTTTAATACTGATGAGCCTGTGACAGGTTTCATAATCCTAACGCTGGTACAGTTTATTTTTGTGAGACCAGGAAAAAAGTGTCCTCAGTTTCTTATTAATGTTGAGTTATGTTGTTATAAGTCTAGGTATTTGTAGTTTAAACATATTAAGAAGACAGGGTTTTAAATGTTTAGATTTTTAGACATTTTAAAAAGAACTGTTTATTACAGTCTGGGCGCAGTGGCTCACGCCTGTAATCCTAGCACTCTGAGAGGCCGAGGCGGGAGGATCACTGGAGCTCAGAAGTTTGAGACCAGCCTCTTGACCCCGTCTCTGAAAAACAAAACAAAAAAAGAACTGTGTATTACAAACAACTCTTTCAGTCCCCCTAGTTAGGTCTTCCGTAATCTTATGGCAAAAGCAGAGGTTATACCAAGAACTCACAATTTTATCTTGGGTTTTACTTTATGCTGAAATTTATTTCAGACTCACATGGCTTAAACTTTCTGGCACGGTCTCTCCAGCATACATGGCGCAAGGGTGTTGTTGGCGACCTGGGGCCAACTCCTGCAATACCGGGTGAGTTCTGCTAGTCCGATTTATTTTGTAGGTAGCATAAAAGAATACTCTAAAGTATCTAAAGATTTGAAAGGTTGTTTAGAAGGGCTGTGGTAATTCTCTTTTTTCTTAATTCAATATAACCAGTTTATGAAGTAGCTGCTGATGGAGGTGATTTGTCCCACAGTCTGTGCTTAGAGATTTGACAGTAACGTAAGGAACACAGCGGGCTCTGGTTCACGTGCAGGACTGACCTGTTCCAGCCCAGCCACAGACCAGCAATCACTATTTGTCCTCAATGTGTACATATGTACTCATGATTGATTTTTATTTTAAGCAATATGGTGCATAAAAATAAGGAAGACACACTTATGAGGGCAGAAATAGCTAGTTTTTAATTCCATGTCTTTAAGATAGTTAATGAATTGGAATTACTGGACATGGGTGGAATTTGTCAGCCACTCTGCTCGGCCCACCCTCTGTGGCAGTCCCTCCACCACGTCACTCTTACGTTGGACGTATGAACAGAAAGTCCTCACCTGACACCATTGGTGGATTCTTGGAAACTGACTTTAAGTGAAATGACTTCATAACGAAATGACCTTGAACGAAATGTTACTTGACATGCTGTACATTGTTAAGGTTAGAGTCATAGTTTCCAAGAACCTGTTGACAATGTTAGTGAGGACCTACCTGCATTCCTGTGGGTGTGCCATTTCATGTGCGTCCATGCTCAACCACAGCCAAATTAAAGCATTAGCCAATTAGGATATTCCCTACACTTAAAAGTATTTTTAATTACTTTGGCAATGTGGTTTATCATAGATAAAGACACTCAAAATTATAAAAACATGTCATCTTGCCTACCTACTTGTTACAATTTTAGAGTCTTTCTTTCCAAAGTTTTGCAGAGGGAATGTATAAAATTTTTACCTCACAGATATGGGGTCCTATTATACATAATTCTTTGTAATGTTTTTTACCTAATACATGGCTGAACTTCTTTCTAGGTTGAATATAGCCAGTATAACATTTGACTAAGGACCCAGTCTCCGATGTGAGACTGTCAGGGTGTGCGTCCCACCTCCCCTTCTGGGACACCACCCTTTCGGGAGTCAGTTGGGTGGGCCCTCTGCGTGCAGAGTTTGCTCGGCACAGCGTCTGGCTTGTGGCAACCCGCAGCACGTGTGACCATTGTCCCAGATTCTGATTTGCCTTCCGTAGGGGTTCCCAGGTGAGAATTACTGCTGCAGGTAGCCCTTGTTACCGATGTGTTATTTTCATTTGTATTCTTTCCATTTCCACTGGAGCAGTAAAAACACCAGGTATCTACATCACTGTGCTTAATCATTGCCCAGCTTTCCATTGTGTGAACATGTCATAATTATTTCAAGTAGCCTCAGATCGTTGGGTGGTCATTGTTTCCTACTTATTGCAGTCAGTGCTGGAATGAACTGTGAATAAATCTGCAAAGGAAAAGGTTATGATGAACAACAACAAAAAGAGATTTGTTGTATCAAATCAAATGTGAGGTGTGATTAGATTGTCATGTACAAAACAATTGGTACAGTTGGTAATTGGTATGTTCTGTCCATTAACTATTTAGGTTTTCTTTTTATCTTGATTATTTCTATAGTTTCTTTACAGTATAATAAAAAGTGGATGGTTCAAAATGTATTCTGTTCAGTTACAGAACTCATGTCTAACTTGAGTCTTTTTTGTTTGTTTTTTTTTGAGACAGAGTCTCACTTTGTTGCCCAGGCTAGAGTGAGTGCCATGGCGTCAGCCTAGCTCACAGCAACCTCAATCTCCTGGGCTCAAGCGATCCTCCTGCCTCGGCCTCCCGAGTAGCTGGGACTACAGGCATGTGCCAACATGCCCGGCTAATTTTTTCTCTATATATATTAGTTGGACAATGAATTTCTTTCACTTTATAGTAGAGACGGGGTCTTGCTCTTGCTCAGGCTGGTTTCGAACTCCTGACCTTGAGCAATCAGCCCGCCTCGGCCTCCCAGAGTGCTAGGATTACAGGCGTGGGCCACCGCGCCCGGCCTTAACTTGAGTTTTTGAAGAATGTTAGATGTTAACATCTCTAAAGACTTTTTTCTTCCTCTTCTACTCCCGAACCTAGTAGACATAGGTCACTGTTTCCTCATCTGTCATTCATTTCTCTTAGACTCTTTTTTTTATATTTTCTATCTTCTATTTGTCTGATTTCTGAGAGATTTTCTTAATTTTTTAGTTTACCATTTTTTCTCTTTGCTTCTAGCCTAATATTTAGTCCATCTTTTTGAGTTTTCAATTTGATGACTACTTTTTATTCCTTAGCATTCTAATTGGCTCTTTTTTGTTTTTCTTTTCACCTGTTTTGTTTCATAAATACTGTCCATTCTTTTATTTCTTGGATATTTTATTTTCAAAGTTTTTTAATTTTACAAATTTTTATTGGTACATAATTGCGAGAGTAAAATGCACAAATTTAAGTGTACAGTTTAATGAGTTTAACAAAATTTTAAAGCTGTATCACCCAAATCCCTATTAAGATATGAGTTTTTTCACCTCCCTAGAAAGATCTTCTGGTCCCCCTCCCCTCCAAAGGCAGCTGTTGCTCTGCTTTCTATCCTTGCAGCTCAGTTTTTCATGTTTGTGAGCTTTTTTCATCAGTCTTAATGTCTGTCAGATTCTCCCTGTTGAATGGATTAGAAGTCCCATCCTTTTATTGCCTAATAGTGTTCCATGGTGTGAATATATTGTGGTTTATCCATTCTTCTGTTCATGGACAGTGGGGTTGCTTTCAGGTTGTTAACTATTATAAATAAAGCTGCAATTAGCATTCTTTTGCAAGACTTTGTAGGCATATGTTTTCATTTATTTTTGTGGAACTATTTAAGAGTAAAATGGTCGGATCGTAAAGTATGTGAATGTTTATAGGAATTGCCAAACTGTCATCTGAAATACCTGTCTGTGTGGCTGCTTCCTCACAACACAGTAGTTGGATTCCAAAAAGGAGCATCCAGGAGAACAAGTCATGAGTATATGGCACTTTTGTGATCTCGCTGTGGAAGTCCTGTAGCGTCACTTCCTTGTTGTTCTGAGCCCACCCAGCTTCCTGGGAAAGGGATACATTCCTCACCTTTCGATGGGGGTTAGGGTGTGATGCTCAGAGACATTATCGTGGCCCTCTTCGGGAAATACACTCTGCCAAGTTGGGAAAATAGATGAGGTTCCATTCTTAGCAATCTGGTACAGGAATTGTTAGAATTTATAAATCTTTTTACAATAAAGGTTGAAACAGATTTTAAAATTTAATTCCCTCAAGCAAGGTTTACTGCAAAACCCTATTCCATAATAATTTTATGTATTAAAATTTCATAATGGTATTTATTTTTTATTCCTTTTTGTCCTATATTGTATCTGTTAATACTATTTTTAAGGCAGCTTTTTTACACTTTTTATTTTGCAGATAAAGCTATAAAATGTAATGCGGATTCATTGAGAGATTCACCAAAAGATAAATCTGAAAAGAAACAGCATTGCAGCTCTTTAAAAGATATAAATAAGGTTGTGTATTTTAAATGTTCCTTAAACATAAAGTTTATATAATACTGATTTTAGAATATTCTCTTTTGAAAGCCATTAGGAACCATGGATTCTATTGGGAACAATGAATAGAAAGTATATTTTCTGTTCAAAAATCCTTGGCTATTATAGTTTTTTCATGAAAAAATACAGTGTGCATGTTTGCTTAATTTGAAAGAACAAGATAACTCTGGCTCATCTTGTGCCACGTTCTTGTTCTTGGTCCAGTGGCCTCCCTACAAAGTTGAGTATTCTCATTTTAGCAAGAGTGTGAATATCTGGGATTTGGGGACATTCTAATAGTTAAGTTCAAATCTAACTAGTCCTTCAGTTTCTTTGACAAAACAGATAGAAGTAATTGCAGAACATTTTAAATACTGATTATCTGAAGGGCCCAGTGTGGTGGCTATAATCCAGCACTTTGGGAGGCCAGGAGTTCAAGTCCAGCCTAGGCAATATAGCGAGACCCCATCTCTACAAAAAATTAAAACATGAGCTGAGCATGGTTGCTCAGGCCTGTAGTCTTAGCTGCTTAGGAGGCTGAGACAAGAGGATCATTTGAGCCTCAGGACTTTGAGGTTATAGTGAGCTGTGATTGTACCCCACTGCACTGCAGCCTGGGTGACAGGGTGAGACTCTGTCTCTAAATAAACACATACATACATATCTGCTATTTGGATGGTTCAATCTAGGGGTTATTAGCAATGGCATAATTGCCCAACTTTCCAGTTCTTTGTCCTTCCATATCTGTGTGTGCGTGAAAACTGGCTGGAACAGTTGTTTATGACAATAATTCCCATGGAATTTTGCTTCCAAAAGAATATATATCTTGCTAGCATACATAGTCTTTCTGACTTTTTTTTTTTTTTACAGTGTGTTGCATCTTCAGCATACTGGCCAACAAAAAGAGGTATTACCATATATGCTGATCCAGATATACCAGCAGCAAGGTATGATTTGAAAATTCAGTGTAATCAACTACAGATTTAAGTATAATCTTAAGTATAATCTTAATTTAAGTATAACTCTTATACAGTGTTCTATAAGACTGATAGCAGGAAGGTATTCCATTTCCAGAAAATAGTGGCCCAAGAAATTTTGATTAAACATATGTTAGTTTAAAGGAAAATACTGTGACAGTTGGTTAGCACAGCTGATTGAAAACTGGTAGTGGCTCTAGAGTCTGCTTTTACCTTGTTGGACAGAGTCATTCGTGTGAGGCAGGTGCAGCAAAGGTCGGGGCAACGTCGTCTTGATGTGAGGAGTGGCTGACGTGGGCCCCGTGGCATGAGGTTACAAGTGGGTGGGAAGCAGAGAGTGGTTTGCTGTCTGAGCTCTCACAGTTGAGTATCAAGGGCTTTGACCTTGTCCTCTGTAAGATATATGTCAGTGACATTAATGAAATCACAGAAAGGGTATTGTAATATATACCACTTTGTGTAAAGTACAAGAACTCAAAATAGTTTACTTTCATTTTTCTACTTCTGGACTTTATGATGTCATACATTTACATATATATATAATTTTATATTATAATGCTAGAATCTATTATCACAGTCATTTAAACAGTCAATTATCTTTTGGAGAGATTTAACAAAAAAAAAAATCTTTATATTTCTCTATGTAGTTGCATTGTTGTTTTTTACTTTTTGAATAGATCCATATTTCAGTCTGATATCATTTTTCTTCTACCCAAAGGGCTTCCTTTAATATTTCTTATATTGTGAGTCTGCTACTGATCAACTTTTTCAGCTTCTAAAAAATAATTTATTTGCAAATTTCTTTTAGCTTCATTTCTGAAAAAATTATTTTGCTAGGTATAGAATTCCAGGTTGACGGTACTTTTCTCTGTATTTCAAAGATTTGCCCCACAGTTGTCTTACTTGCATTGTTCCTAATGCATTACGTCCTTACATCTTTTTTTGTCTTCTCTTTTTTACTGGTTTGAGCAGTTTAATATGCCTTTGTATAATGTCTGTCATATTTCTTACACCTGAGGTTCATTAATGTTCTTTGCAGCTTTCCGTCTTTTGTTATATTTGGGATGTATTCAGCCACTATTTCTGTGTGTATTTTCGCTGCACCAATCTCTTTCCTCACCTTTTGAGACTCTGATGAAACAAGTATCAGTCATTTTGATGTCGCCCCAAGGTCTCTGAGGCTCTTTTCATTTTTATCAACCTTTTTTCTTGCTATTCTTCAGATTAATAATCCTACTAATCTGTCAGTTAGGTGACTCTTCTGTTATCTCTGTTCTGCTATCGAGCCCTTCTGGTGAATATTTTATTTGGTATGTTATATTTTTCATTTCTAAAATTTTCATTTGATGTTTTAATAGTTTATATTTCTTTGCTGAAAACTTATTTTTCCATTCAAGAGTATTCTCTTTTTTTTTCTTTTTCTTTTTTTCTTTCTTTCTTTTTTTTTTTTTTTTTTTTTTTGAGGCAGAGTCTCACTTTGTTGCCCAGGCTAGAGTGAGTGCTGTGGCGTCAGCCTAGCTCACAGCAACCTCAAACTCCTCCTGGGCTCAGGAGATCTTCCTGCCTCAGCCTCCTGGGTAGCTGGTACTACAGGCATGCACCACTATGCTCTGCTAATTTTTTCTATATATATTTTTAGTTAGCTGATTAATTTCTTTCTATTCTTAGTAGAGATGGGGTCTCACTCTTGCTCAGGCTGGTTTTGAGCTCCTGACCTTGAGTGATCCGCCTGCCTCAGCCACCCAGAGTGCTAGGATTACATGCCCCCCCCCCCCTTTTTTTTTTTTGAGACAGAGTCTCACTCTCACCCAGGCTGGAGCGCAGTGGGCTGATCATAGCTCACTGTGGCCTCAAATTCCTGGGCTTAGGTGATCCTTCTGCCTTGGGCTCCCAAAGTGCTCAGGCATGAACCACTGCACCCAGCCCTTTTTCTTATGGAGCATGGTTACAATAGCTGCATGAAAGTGTTTGCTAATTCTGCTTTCCAAATTCCTTTAGGGGTGGTATCTATTGATTGTCTTTTACCCGACAGTCCATCTGATTTTCCTGGTTCTATGTATGTAACTTCGGGTTGTAGGAGTTGTAGTCTGGACTTTTGAATATTATGTTATGAGACTCAGGTTTTTGTTAAAATCTCCTAGAGAATGTTGATTTTTGTTGTTGTCGTCTGTCTTGGCAAGAGGTCAGCAACTCCATTGGGTTGAGACCTCAGATTCTGTTTCACTGTCCGTGGGTGATGGTTGCAATGTTAACCCAATTTCCAAGCCATGGGTGTGCTGCTTTGGGTCTATTCTGCGTATTCTCAACTTGGAGTGAGGCTGGGGCTTGTGTTGGGTCATGAAAAGAAATAGGGGAACCCTCCACCTGTCTCTCTATTTTTGGAATGTCCCTCACATGCACGAGTTGGGTGTTCCTTCTCTCTATTCTTCTGGTCATATATTAATAGAAATTTCTCCTGAAGAAATCGCTATGCAGTAACGTAGGATTGGGCCACTAGGGGAACAAAACAGAGATAGAAATAAGGGAGCAAGAAAGATGGAGATTTCCCCCATGCAGCCTGTGGGCCACAGGGTTCCTGCTTCCCAGTTCCTCCGCCTGCAGGGGCAGGTTTTCTCTTGGGCTTTTAGGTGACTATATTTCTGTTGCCTTCGCTGTGTGCAGCTCCCAGATGGAGCTGACCTTGCGGCAGGGCCAGGAGAGAGAAAGGATGAGGAAAGAACATCAGTGGGGAGTCCCCACATTGCCCGGTTTAAAGGGTGCATCTCCCCAGTCCTCTGGCTTGAAAGAGGGGAGGTCTCTCGCAGAGCTTTTTGTTTGTCTGTTTTTAGAGATGGGGTCTTGCTCTGTTGCCCAGGCTGGAGTGCAGTGGATGGTCACAGCTCACTGCACCCTCCAACTCCTAGGCTCAAGTGAGTCTCTCCTGCTTTAGCCTCCCAGGTCGCGGGGACCACAGGTGTGTGCCACTGCACCTGGCATTCTTGGCATTTCTGATGTCTGCATCTGCCACACAGTTCACCTGTGGGTCAGCACCAGGATATAGAAAAAAAAACAGGAAATGCTCTGTGATTCTGTTGGTTTTTCAAGTGTTTGCTTCTCTGCCTGTTGTTTTGTGCCTTATCCGAGGTCTCTGGCTGTAACAGTAGGAGAGGCAGGCTGTGGTGCACTTGCCTTCCCCTTGGCCAGCACTGGAAGTTTCCACAGTGGTTTCCATACCTAAAGGGCTAAGCTTCAGTTCTCCCAGAAATGTCCTTATGTACATAAACCAATTCCTCAGTGGTGCTTCTTAAATTTTCTCCTAGGAAATAAAGATATTTTCATGCTTGGGTTAAATGGGTTCACAAGTTTTAATGAATGTTTTTCAATTTCTAGCTCTTTAAGTCAGAAGCCAAATGAGAAGCCACTTAGATTGGTGGAGAAGAAAGAATACGATGAGAAGAATGGTTGCGTGAAGTAAGAATTTTTTTCTTGCCCTGAATTGTGTATTTGTATTTAAATAATTATAATAAAATTATAAGCAAAATGAATTTACATATTTTATTATTAATTTCAAACCTGTATTCCCATCAAAAAATATATACACAGTAAATCTCCTGTAGGATTTGAAGTAAGTTTTTTCTTTTCCATTCACTGGGGTAGATTTTTCTGTTTGAAGCTTTGTTCCAGTGTTAGTAGTGGTTTTCTACTTCTTCCTGATTCTCGTGGTGAATTTTACAATATGAGTTAGAGGGACAGGTGCAGTGGCTCATGCCTGTAATCCTAGCACTTTAGGAGGCCAAGGCGGGAGGATTGCTTGAGGTCAGGAGTTTAAGACTAGTCTGAGCAAGAGCGAGACCCTATCTCTACAAAAAAACAAAAATTAGTGGAGCGTGGTGGTACGCACCTGTAGTCCCAGCTACTCGGGAGGCTGAGGCAGGAGGTTCGCTTGAGCCCAGGAGTCTGAGGTTGCAATGAACTGTGTTGATGCTACAGCATTCTAGCCCAGGCAGTAGAGTGAGACCCTGTTTCAAAAAAGGAAGAAAAGAATCTTTTGGGCTATTGATTTTCTATGGGTTGGTGATGGGTTTCTTCCCATTTTTCTGATGTTAAATAAGTCCACCACCTCCTAGAGAAACTATTAACAACAGAGTATAACTTTATTTTATACTTGCGTAATCTATAAAATATTTTCATACCAATTTTTATGACACTTTTTACCATACGAGCCTAAACAGTTTCACATGCCAAGTAACTGCGGCTACTCTAGAGCCACAGAGCAACAAAGAGTTCAAGACAGTTCGGAGGTGGGTAGGTCACAACGTGTCCACTGACTGGCCTGGGGCCGGAGGGAGGGCGTTGACCATGCGGCTGTTCGGGCTGGGCTGCCCAGCGTCCCAGAGGCCATGCTGATGGCTTTCAGGACCTCTTACCCCTTAGGAGCATCTCACAGTGCTCTAGGGCCAAGGTATCAAAGGCTGCCATGGAGCCCCCAGAGCTGGGGATGGGCATCAGTGCACCTGCTTGATGCTCTCCTCCCGGGGCAGGCCACCACCCCAGTACCTGAAGGTTCCCTGTTCCAGTCGTTATTTCCTTTGGAACAAAAGGCCCTGCAGTATTCATGCAACTCATTTCTTTCTTTTATTATTTTAAATTACAAGCTGGTAAATTAACCCTGAAATATTCTATTCCCTTTTGTTTTTGTATTAGAGAGTTCTGTCTCATCTCCTGTTCTGCTAAATGCTCTTTATTTAGAATCCACTGATTAAACTACAGAGTTATTCTGTCAGTCCGCTGTGGGTTCCAGAGAACCTTGAAGTGGTTCAAGATTAAAGAGCAAAGAAGAAAGAAGGCAGTGGTTTTCTTAGAACATGAAGATGAGCTGGTGATCATGTGATCCTTCTCCTTGACCAGAGTAAATGGTCCTGGGTTGCCTGTGCTGTTTCCAAAGTCCGGAGGACCATGTGCCTGCCACCTCTGGCCAGAGTAGTGAAGACACCCTTTCCTTGAGGGTGCTTGGTCATGGGTTTGCAGATGTCACATCCCTGTAACTTAATATGTGATGATGATAACAGCAACGTTAGAACAGGGGACACAGTGACCATGGCATGCTGCCAGAAATCCTGCTTAATCCCCTCTGTTTGAAGCCTGTCATTTTCTTTTCTTGCCTGCTTCTTGCACCGATGGCATTGCTTAAGTTTGTAAATTCTAGCAAGCGCTTCTGTTTTTTTCCTTAGATTGTTCTGTCACATAACATATTTGGAAACCCCGAAATTACAGTAAGTTGAGTAGGAGGTCACCCCAGATGCGGTCTTTCCCAGGCCAGGATCTCACACCACCCTCTCCTTTGGAATCCTGGATCCTTGGGTGGTGGAGAGCACGTCACGGTCCACATCCAGAGTTCAAGGGCCCAAGTGGCAGATTTCTCTTTAGTGCTTTGGGGAATCCAAGAGAAACTGCTCTGTCCACTTAGAGCTTCTGGAGGTGACTAGGCAGCATAGATTGGGTCTGAGATACAATTTCCACCATGTTGCCAACTTCAGCTTCCCTGGGGCATATGCTGGGGGTTGCAGATGAAACTCAACTCTGGTTGGTTGGTAGTGACTCCCTGAGCATGATTGATTTATGTATTCTAGACAGGGTCTCTGTCACCACGCTGGGGTGCAGTGGTACAATCATAGCTCACTGCAGCCCCAAACTCCTGGGCTTAAGCCATCCTCCACCTTAGCCTCCCGAGTAGCTTGGACTACAGGTGTGCACCACCATGCCCTGCTCATTTCTTTGTTGTAGCGGTGGAGTTTCACTGTGCTGTCCAGGCCCCTGCAGCATTATTTCATAGAGAATTTTTTTTTTTTTTTTTGACAATCACTTGCATCTGGACCATAGAGAATTTTGACACTACAGCTGAAGTGCTAGGGAGAGTACTTTTATGATTGATTAAAATGTGCTATGCCAGGCACAGTGGCTCATGCCTATAATCCCGGCATTCAGGGAGTCCTAGGTGGGAGGATCGCCTGGAGTGAGTTCAAGATTACAGTGAGCTATGATTGTACTGCTGCCCTCTAGCTTGGGTGACAGAGCAAGAGCCTATCTGTTAAAAACAAAAAACAAAAAAGATGTCCTGGGTATAGGAGAATGGGGTGTGGTGGCCAGCTTGCCACTTATTTGTCATGTATAATGTCATACATTACATGTATAATGTAACTGTAGCTTTCTTGGCACTTCTTTGCCTTTCCATCTTTCCTGTACCCTGGTACCTCCTATAATATACATTATTGTTCATTTGTCTTCCTTTAAACATTTTATTTTTTTTTTTTTAGATCAGGATGTTGACAGTGAATAATTTTATTTTTTTTATTTTTTTTTTTTTTAGACCTTTAAACATTTTAACATTTGCCTACTTTGTACCATCCATTTAGTTAAGACAGACATTTTCCATATTCTTTTTTATAATATTGCTTTGATATCAGAGTTTGGACAGCAGTGCTTATTAAAGCCTAAAGTGAAACACCCTTCACACAGGCTGTTGAGTCCTGGTGTTGGGAGCTGTCCTTCCTGACCAGAGCCCTCTGCCCGCACACGTAGTGGACAGTGAGGACTCAGCTCTGTTGTCCCACCCTCCTTCCCTCTTGAAATCCCACCCACACTTTTGTTCCTCCCTTGATGCTACCCCCCTGCATCGTGATCCTGGTGAGATGAGTGTTCAGTGTACGTGGGCTCGGAGCAGATAAGTGCCCTCAGGCTGTCGAGCCATGCAGTAATAGGGCACGGTCACCTCTCTGTTCTCACATAGCTTTTTGGTTTACCTGAAGGTAATAATTATCTTCTAGTGTTCTTTCTTTTCTTAGTTTTCTATCCTTCTCTACTGATTGATCTCCAGACTTCTCCTCTGTTGTCTGAACTCAGTTAAACTCAGTGTTCTCGCTCACGTGTCCTCAGAAACCTCTCCAGAGCCTTCCATCCTGCTTGGTCTGTGTCTGATGCATTAGCCTGTGTTCATCGTTACCAGCATCCTGTGACTTTCTCAAATCCACTCTTTTCCAATCCAATCCACTCTTTTCCAGGTATTCTACTTTCTTCTTACCTGGCTTATTCCCTTGTTTTGGTGGTGAACATCCTCCAGTAGCTTCCTGGGAAGGGAAACATGGAACACAACATTTTTAGAGACTTTGCATAAATGCTTTTAGACTATCCTCACACTTGATCAGTAGTTCGGGTGTGGATTTTGAAGGCCTTTCTACTTTATCTTCTAGTTTCCAGTGTTGTCATTGAGAATTCTACTCCATTCTGATTCCTTATTCTCTATGTATGACTCTCTTCTCCCTCTCTCTCTCTGATATCTAGAGAATCTTTCCTTCATTCCCAGTGCTTGGAGATTTCACGATGCTGTGCCTTTGTGTGGTTCCATTGTTGTGGTTGGCACTTGGTAGACCCTTTCAATCTGTGACCCGTGTCCCTCATTTCTGGGAAGCCCTCTTGACTTTTTCATTGCTCTCCTCTGCTGCATGTTGTATATCTGTGGCTCAGATGATGGACCTCCTAGATTGGTTGTGTAATTTTTTAAAAATATATTTTTCTTCTGTTTTTATCTCAGTAAAAAAAATAATAAAGCACAAGTTTTACTTTTAGGAATGTTTTCACAACTTTGTCCTCTTCTTGAGTTTATTATTTCTAATGTCACTTTTTTTAAATTGCAAGAGTTTTCCTTTTGTTGTCTTTTTCTTATAGTGTCCTATCCTTGTTCCATATATATGATGCTTTCTCTCATTTTTCTAAGGATACTAATCATTTGGGGGCAAGTTTTTTTCTCTTCCTACACTGTTTCTTGCAATTTGCATTACTCCTGTTTTTATTTTTTGTCTCTGTAAGGTTAGAGGCTTTCCTCCGATGTCTCGTGGTCCTGGACTGTCTGCTCGTGTTTTAACGTGGAGGCTTGTTGACTGTGGGCCTCACCATGGATTGAGCTGCTTGTGGTGGGGGACTTTTGCAGTCTGTGTCTCTGGCCTCTTCTCTTAGGGCTGTCAGGTTTCCCAAGGAAGGCTCTGCTGTCCTTGGAAGGCGCTGAGTGGCAGAAGCCATCTGGGGTCTCGGTATTTAGCACCTTCCTCTTTTCAGCACTATGCCTCCGTTCTCAGCCCTGTCTCCAGTGCCCCGGTCCTCTTAGCTTCCCGCTACCCTGCCACAGCCAGAGGAGCCTCCTGGCCCTAATTCCTAAGAGTTCTGAAGGTCAGAGCTGGGTCTCTCATGGTTGGGTCAGTTGAGCTGTCTTGGATCTGTCGAGTCTGTGACTGTTTGCCCACCTGTTTTCTAGCTTCTGAAATTTTGTTTTGGAATGTTGTCTGCTCTGTGGTTCTTGCCTTTGTTGCGGCTTTTTAAAAAATAGCTTTATGGAGATATAATTCATAGACCGTAAAGTTTACCCTTTTAAAATGTATAATTCAGTGGTTTTTAGTATATCCACAGAGTTTGCAACCGTCACCATTGTCTCATTTCTGAACAATTTCATCACCCCCCCCCCAAATTCGTGTCTGTTAGCAATCACTCTATTTCTCCAGCTCCTCATCTGCCTCTAATTTTTCTGTCTCTATGGATTTGCCTATTTTGGATATTATGTATAAATAGAGCCAAAAGAATACATGGTCCTTTGTGACTGGCTTTGTTCACTTAGTGTAATGTTTTCAAAATTCATCTCTGTTGTAGCATAAGTAAAGACTTCATTCCTTTTTATGTCTGAACAATACTCCCTTGCACGGAGAGAGTACATTTTATTTATCCATGCATTGGTCTATGACATTTGGGTCTAGTGGCTTTTGCATTTAAAAACCCATATACAGGAATGGGGTTTTAGGAAAGCGCACGATTTGATGTGCGTATTTAATCCACACTCTTTACCCTGAAGTCCCCATCACCTGTGTGGTTTGAGTTTTGCTGCTGTCACTGTCCTTACCCATAGTGCGGCTGGGGCTGTTATGGAAGAAGCAATTTCAGGTTTGTGCCTCTCAGTTAGCAGAGGTGGTAGCAGACAAGTCCTGTCTGGTCTCATTTTCTTATCCATGAAATAAAGACAGTGAAGTAGAGCAGTGGGTCCTGAGCTTGGCTGGGCCTGTCTCAGACACTCTCAGAAGGACCTGGACGGCAGGGTTGACACAGCACAGGGACAGGCCTGGCCCAGGTGGGAGACGCCACAGCCCTTGTACCTCAGTGTAACCCAACGGAATGGAACGAGCAGTCATTGTACCACTGTGCCTTGGGATACTTAGTCCATTTTACCTCTGTCAAGGAAGAATTAAAAAATAGCTCAATTGAGGAAATGTAAACACTTGTTTCTTCAAATTGTTTTTAACTATTTTACAGATTACTACAGTTTTTAAATCCTGATCCTCTGAGAGCTGATGGAATCTCTGATCTGCAGCAGGTATCACAAGCCCTAAAAAAGTGAAAAAAGAGAGAAAATGGTTTATTCTTTAAATTTTTTTCCTTTCTTAGTTGAGCATAGTGGTGTGCACCTGTAGTCCCAGCTACTAGGGAGGCCGAGGCGGGAGGATCACTTGAGCCCAGGAGTTTGAGGCTGCAGTCAGGGTGAAAGAGCAAGACCCCATTTCTTAAAAAAAAAAAAAAAAAAATTATTTTCCTTCCTCCCTCCAGTCTTGAGATTAAAAGAGAAATCTCTTAGCTGGGGGACTTTACCCAAAGACATCCTTTTGGAATTATCTGGTGGGTTGTTCCAGAGAAATTGCTCTTTTTTTTATTTGAGTAATATTAAGAGATGATCTTCCTTTCATTTTGGTAGTTTTTGTTTTTGTTTTTTTTTAATATACATATTTACCCAGGGTTTTACATTGAAATCTGTATTTTTTTCATTTTCCTTAAGTTCTTGATATTCTGTGTAATATCTCCTCGTCTGCTTTACATACCCAGTTGCAGAAGTTGAAGTCGGGCGTGCAGCCTCCGGTCGTGGTGCTCCGAAACAAGATCGAGCCTTGCCTGACCGTGGACACGTCACCACTCTCAGCAGACTTGAAAAAGGTGACAGTGCTCTTAAAACCAAACTCATGGCATAACCTTGCTTGGACTCGTGTCCCGGTCTGTGCTCTTTATCTGGCCAGGTTTCTGCGTGCTTTGTCCGGCCAGGTGGGGCAGGGACCCCTGTGGAGCGCAGAGAGCTGCGATGAGGACGATGCCAGCAGCTGGCCCTCAGAAGAAAGCGGGTCACATCAGACTGCGTCTTCTTCCGTAGCACCTGGGTGTCCTTGTACGCACCCATCTCGGCTTACCTGATGGCTGCTGCCGGACGGAAAGGAGACAATTCTTGAGGGTTAATTAATGCAGAAATAATTTCTGGACCTAGTGGACGTGAATCCCCAAATTAATAGAGTCTACCTACTACACAGGCCCAGCACAATGAGTGAACAAAGATATTAGATTTATTGTTGTGAAGCATCTAAACTTGAGGGATTCAGAGACTGTGACAGCTTCTAGAAAGAAGAAACTGGTCCTACACACAGGACAAGGAATCAGAATGGCTTCAGACTTCTCCACAATGCACCAGAGAAGCACTGACTACAAACTTTTGATGAAAAGTTATTTCCAGCCAGATATGCTGGCTCATGCCTGTAGTCCTAGAACTCTGGGAGGCTGAGGCAGGAGGATCACTTGAGCTCAGGAGTTCAAGACCAGCCTGAGCAAGAGGGAGACCCCATCTCTACTGAAAATAAAAAGATTAGCTGGGCATGGTGGTGCATGCCTGTAGTCCCAGCTACTTGGGAGGCCGAGGTAGGAGGATCAGTTAAGCCCAGGAGTTTGAGGTTGCTGTGAGCTGCGATGATGCCACGGCACTCTAGCTAGACAACAGAGTGAGGCTGTGTCTCAAGAACAACAAAAAAGTTAGTTCCAACCTAGAGGTCCAAACTCAGATTATCAGTGAAGTGTCAGGGTAGAAATGAAGATATTCTCAGACATGTAACATCTCAAAAAATTAATTTAAGAAACTATTGAAATATGTTCTCCACTGAAACAGAGAAGTTAAACTATGTGAGTTGCAGACAAAAGGGCAATGGCAGGGATGGTCCCAGGAGAACAGCTGGATCCCAGGTGCAGACAGCACTGGGCTTCGGGACCCGGGAGGAGGACCTCCCGCAGGTGACACTGCTGCCAAAGTCAGTGTTTTGGAAGGTAGCATCTGTGCGACTGGAAAGCTCTGTTAGAACATTCGGGCTTTAGTGACAGTTACATTGAAAAATAAGCAAATAAAAGCATGTTTCTGAAGAGCTTTGCAAGCAGAGCTGATAAGCTGGTGGATTGTTAGGAGAATAAGGAGAAAAAAACACATCCTGATTCCATTGAGCTTTTAGCTCTTGGTCATGGACCACCTATTAGATCCGTTTAATTTGGGGCACACAGAAGCACGAGTCCTTTAATAGGAGTTTGGTATCCTATTAAAGATTCGGGGAATTTAGCAAGGTAGATCTTGGAAAATACCAGATTAGGCAATATATAGTGGTCGTTGGAATAAAGTGAGCAACGAGATGGGGATTTTGTTAGTTTCTCCACTTTATCACAGCCCTTGGTTGTCGATGTTTTGTAGGCTCTTCAAAGAAAGAAATTTCCGGGACCCAGCCACACGGAGTCTTACTCTTGGCCTCCCATAGCGCGAGGTTGTGACGTGGTTGTCATTTCTCACTGTGGAAACGACCCTTTGCTGTACCTCCCGCCAGTGCTCACCATTCTGCAGACGGGGGGCTGCTACAAGTCCCTCCCGAGCAGAAACGGAGTAAGTTGAAGATGGTTTTGTTTCTGAACAAAATGGGCTAAATATTTATTTTTAAATTGTATACCTGACGTTACACAATTTGGTTTTCAAACTGCGGGGACAGAAACCGTCCTGTGAGGAAGCGTCCTCTCTCCTCTCCCAGTTGTTGATTCTCGCACAGCGAGTCTCACCTTGGGCCCCAGCTTTGGGCTGTTGGCTGCAGCTTTTGGGGATGAATATTTAGTATTTAAATGATTTCACTGACCTGAATTTATCTAACAGTCATGGAAGCCACGTGAGATGATCAGGCTATGTATTGCTTTCACCATTTAATAGATGAGAAAACTAAGCTCAGGGAAAGTTACTGGGATGAATACTTAATAGCTGGCAAGTGGTAGAAGTGGGATTATGATTGCAGTGTCTGCTGCCTTGTCCCATGTTCTTTGAATTATTTCATAACACCCTTCCCTGTTTTATAATTCTTCTTAACTTTTATCATGGGTAAGAATCTGGAAATGACTGAGAGAAACGATGGCAAGGAGAGGAATGGGGTGTGAGGATCAGTGGTGGTGGGGTAGCGGCATGTGCTTGGCTGGGTGCTGGCTGCTGTGTGACTGACAGGCATGAAACCTGCATCTCGGATGCTGGCTCAGAGGACACCCTACAAGTGGTTCTGCCGCTCATGACATGGTAAAAAAAATAGCAAGAAAATATATTTAGAGTCGCAGTTAGAAAAGATACTAGTTTGTTTTTCTAATTACACCGTTCAGTTTAATGATTTCCCTTTGAAAATTTGCGTTCACCGGACATGGTTCTTAGGAGCCAGGGGATCTGGAGCCAGATGCCTGGGTTCAAATCCTGTTGCTACCATGTATTCACTGTGCAGCCTTGGGCATCTGACTTTACCTCTCTGTGCCTCAGACGCCTCATCTGTGAAATGAAGTAATAATGGGCCCTACCCCATAAGAGTACTTTAAGGACTAAGTGAATTAATACCCTAGGAAAATCTGATTCAGTGTGTCTAAATCTATTTTAATGAAATTATATTTTAACTTTTCTAACCTTGATGATGATAGAAAAACCATATGTTTATTCTATACAAGGAGATGTTCTGGATATTTCACATATAGCATGTCTAATTCCTGACTGTTGTCCAGAATATTTTGAATTTGTCTTTGCAGCCTCTTGCAGTCATTGTATGCCCTGGATGGAAAAAGGCCCAGTTTATTTCTGAATTATTGGAAGACTATACCATGTCCTCCAGGCCTCTTCGTCCTGTGTTATTAACAATCGGACTCCACAAAGACGAAGCCAAAAATATGAAGCTTCCGAGGGGCTGTAAGCATCCTTTCCAAGGTGGTTGGTTTTTCCTACAGAAGACGGTGGACCCTGCCCAGGCAGGCCTGGGATCCCCAGGTGACGTGGCTGGGTGATGATGCCGCTGACGGTCACTAGTCCGGCCCTCACACGTCAGTTACTGACGAGTATCGAGTATGGAGGTTTGATCTTGACCTGCGTCTGTTTCACTGAAAAGGCTTTGCGATTTCACTCGTTTATCAACCGTTTACTGAACACTTACTGTCGCCAGGCACGGGGCCCCCGGTGTTGACTAAAACCCCCGCTTTTCCTGAGCGCAAAGCCTGGTGCAGCCCCGGCGTTTGGTCAGGTCACACAAGGTGTCCTGGTGCAGTCCCGGCATTTGGTCAGGTCACACAAGGTGTCCTGGTGCAGCCCTGGCGTTTGGTCAGGTCACACAAGGTGTCCTGGTAGGGGCCCTGCCTCGCTCACATGCAGAACAGCTCTCTGTTTCCTTAGAAGGCACTTCTGGAGTCTTAGCAAACGAAATGTTAGGAAAACCTATGGAAAATCTAAAACGTTTGTTTTTTTTTGTTTTAAAATGTAGGTGATGTGATCGTTACAACACCACACAGCCTCCTGAGACTGCTCACCTATCAAAGCTTGCTGTTTCTCAGACTCTGCCACCTGATTTTGGATGAGGCAGAGGTACTGTTCTTTGAAGCTAAGGAACAGGTAAGTATAGCATCTGCTCGGGTGTTGGCTACTCTTCAGAACGTGTGTGATTAAAGTCTTGCTCGCCTACAGAGTCAGGAGGTGTCTAGTTGGGAAATAAACTGGTTATTCTAAAAAAATTAATTTTCCCTTTAATTTCTGTAATTAAATAGAGAACATATTTCTCTGAAGTTTCTTTCCCAATGTTAAAGTTCTTTCTAAAGAGCGAAAATTCTTTCCCAGGGAGATTTTCTGAAACATTTAAATAAAATGATTCTGATTATGATCGTTTTTATTAAAAAAAAATTGAGAACTAGAGAAGAGAGCACTTGACAAAACCCACCATCCACAGTCGTTCTCTCAGAGGTGGTCGCTCTTACTGCCTTAGAGCATTTGCTCCCTTTTCTGAAAATCCCTGTGTGTGCGGATGCATGTCATTGGCCTTGCCCAGAGCGTGTCGTGTGCGCTGCCTTGTGACTCCACTGCGCAGTCGCAGCGGGGGCCGCGAGTGCTCCTGCCGCCTGCCCTGCCTCTCGGCTGCTGCTGACCGTGTGCTATTGATTGTGCGGCTGTAACATGATTTTATTTTATTTATTTATTTTTTATATATATATTTTTAGTTGGCCAATTAATTTCTTTCTATTTATAGTAGAGACGGGGTCTCGCTCTTGTTCAGGATGGTTTCGAACTCCTGACCTCGAGCAATCCGCCTGCCTCAGCCTCCCAGAGTGCTAGGATTACAGGCGTGAGCCACCACGCCCGGCCCATGATTTATTTTAAAACTCTTATTTTTTGGACATTGAACATAATTTGTGTATATGTGTGGCTAACGAGCATGCATCTTTTTTGCACCTGTTTCCCTTAAAGATAAATTCCTAAGAAGGGAATTAATGGATCAAAGACCATGCATGAGTTCTTGTAAGGCATGTGTTGGAAGCAATGTAATGTGATGACCAAGAGCATTCCCTTGGGACTGATGGTGGCCCCAGGTTCAAGTCCGAGCTTTGCTACTGACTGAGTGGGGCTGGTTCCTGTACTCCTCTAACGTCTGAGGTCCATATTTACAAAATAATGTCCTGGTGTACACTGCATTGTACAGTTGCCTTTCTGGAAACATAGACCAATTTACAGTCCACTAGCAAGGAGCCTGCATGTCACGCTCCCTGCACCCCTGGCAGTGGTAGCTTCTGCCCACCTTTCTCCCGTAGTCTCATTGGTCAAAAGTGGGATCTCATTAGCTTAATTTGTGGTTCCTTGATTACTTGTCAAGTTGAACAATTCATAGTGATCATTTGTATCCATCCTTCTATGAGTTGTTTCTTCATTTCCTTTTCTTATTTTCTGTTGGTGGGATGATCTTTTTGTAATCAGCCCTTGTTAGTTGTGTTACACACATGTAACACGAGATGTTTCTTGTGCTTTAATTTCGTTTATGGTGGCGTTTGTAGGATGTTTATTCACTTTGAACTTAACATTGTCTCCTTCTCAGTTTTTTCCTTTCCTTTTAGAGAATAAGAACAGAAAATATACACTCCCTTACAGTTTATGTTCTGTCACACTAATTCTCATTATCTTTTGAAATACAAATAAGATTAATTGTACTAATTTTTTAGATGTTTGCTATATTAGATAACTTTAAAAAAAATATTGACGTTGAAGAAAGGGAATCTGCACCACGTCAGATTGTTGCAGTTGGAGTTCATTGGAGCAAACATATAGAGCATCTGGTCAAAGAGTTCATGAGTGACCCCTACATCGTGATCACAGCCATGGAAGAGGCTGCTCTCTACGGCAGCGTCCAGCAGGTACTGAAGGTGGGGAGGGGCTGATGAACACAGCAAGTAACTTTTATTTCATGGCTTACTATTAAACAGTTACAGCTTAAACAATTACACAAATCTGTAATTGTATATTTAAATTTATATTGATTTTCTATACATTGTTTTCTATCAAAATCATAATTTATCTATGAAAAGTGAGACTGGAGCACCTTGAACATTTTAAAAATTACATTGTTTCTGTATTTCATTCCAGGTAGTTCACCTTTGCCTAGAATGTGAAAAAACCTCTACTTTACTCCAGACTCTTGATTTCATTCCAAGTCAGGCTCAAAAGACCTTGATCTTCACCTGCTCTGTAGGTGAAACAGAAACAGTGTCTAAGGTGAGCCTGTCCACATATAAAAATGTTCTCACTGTTTGTTTAAACCGTGGCTGAATCTCGAGTCACCAGAGATTACTAGAGTAGTTGAACATGTGACAGGGAAATACAGTTTTATGAGTTTAACATCAGTCAGAAGAGGATGTGGGGACTGCTCAGCAAGGCACGGGGGCAAGAGGCCTGGCGCTGGGGGACGGCCAGGCCCGTGGGACCAGCCTTTCCATGGGAGCCACGGCCCCCAGGGGAGCAGGGCCGGCCAGTTTTGTCTAGGCAGAGCATTAAAAGGATCCGATTCATAAAGAAATGCCAATATCTTCTGTTCCCTCTGTTTATGAATATTGAGAAAATAACAATAAAAGACATTATCATGTGGTCAGCAAAGCCAAATAAATTGGCTAAAATTTATTTAATCTAATTTTGTATACATTAATGCTAAAATGTAGAGGCGTATTGTAGAATACAAAATAAAAGAAACAATAGTACATCCACCTTTCCGCAGTAACGAGCTGGAAGGTATAGTTAAAAAGCCCTTGTCGACAATAGTACCATATATCTGACATATGTTTATGCACATATATACATATTCAAGTATGTATGTGTCACAAAGGAAGGAAAATAGTTTTAGCAAAATGGTTCACTTGAGCAAGTTTTGAGATACAAACTGCAGAATTTTGGAAGTATATTTATTTTTTACAATCATCTCATTCTCAAGAATTAGCGGATCAGAGAGGTGATGCCCTCGCTGGTAATTTAGAGTGGTTTGCATTGATAATTGTTAGTAGAGCAGTTGGCTTCGAGCTTATGTTCCTGACTGTGAACTGGCCTCTTTGGTTTCCTCTTTAGGTAGTAGAAAGCAATTCAATATTTTGCTTGAAAATGCATAAAGAAATGGTTTTTGACTTAAAAAATGTTTTAGACCAATGGAAGAAGAAGTTAAGTTCTGGCTCTCACATTGTCTTAGGTGAGTATTTTAATTTCTACTTACATTTAGTGAAGGCTGAGCTACTAGGAAGAAATCATGTCTTCAGTTCACTTATATATCTCATCTACAGATTTCTCGTTTCCAGATTTACTGAAAATTTATTAGTCATATTAATTTTAAAATGAAAACTAAGTTCCACTAAGATTTTAGTGTGAAGGTGAATGTAGGTGCTTCTAGGCTTTCCGGTCAGTAGGTGTCAGTAGGTAGTCTAGAACAGGGGTCCTCAAACTTTTTAAACAGGGGGCCAGTTCACTGTCCCTGAGACCGCTGGAGGGCCGTTTGAGAGTCCAGCGCACATTCCACACATGCGCACTGTGGGCCCGGGACGAGTCGGCTGCTAAGCAGGACAGGCGGTGGCGGAAAAACACCCGGGGGGGGGGGCGGATAAATGTCCTCAGTGGGCCGCATGTGGCCGCAGTTTGAGGACCCCTGGACAGTCTTCCTGGAGCTCTGGCTTGAGGACCACTGTCATGTATGTGCAGGAATACATACTCATGCCTACGTGAAACATGGTCATGAGTGATTGCTACATGGGATATTAGAAAAATAAAAGTCAGAATGTGTAAAATAAGTGAAAAATAAATGGTTAGTCTGGACTTATAATAGGAAGAAGCATTTTTCAAGGTTAAAAGGGAGACCACCTTTAGAATTTAAACACTGGGCAGTGGCATTTTTGGAAAAAAATGAGAAGTTTCTTTGCATCTAAAATAAAATTCAGTATAGAAGCACACTGCCACGTGGCTGTTGGAACTGCTCACCAGAGCGAGTGCGGTGAACCCCAGCTCGCGTGCGATTACCGGAACGCTCTTTTCCAGCCCTGACCGACGACTGCGTGCCGCTCCTGGGCATCACCGATGCCACGTGTGTGATCCACTTCAGCTTCCCTTCCTCGCCGAAGATTTTTGGTGGACGCCTGTACTGCATGTCAGATCATTTTCTGAGTTTAACTGAACAGGTTTGATTAATTTGTCAGTATTCCACTGGCATTTTCTGCGTAGTGACAAATTCAGAGTCCATACAGTCTCCGCATTTAGGACTAGTATGGGTGATCCACTTTTTTTATTCACTTCTGGTTTTAAGGGTTCTCCTGCAGAACAGGGAGATAAAAAGACCAAATCTGTCTTGTTGCTGACGGAGAGAAATGCAAGCCATGCAGTTGGCATCCTGCGCTACTTGGAGCGAGCAGACGCCAAAGTCCCAGCTGAGCTGTATGAGTTCACCGCGGGGGTTCTGGAAGCCAAAGAAGATAAGAAAGCCACAAGGCCTCTTTGTCCATATCTTAAGGCTTTTGGATTTTGCAAGTAAGCCAGTGCTCCTTTTTTTAAAAAGATAAGGTATAACGTGGTAAAGTGCCCAGATGATAAGTTTACAGCTTGATGAATTGCTCCGTACCTGAGTAGACTACCATTGGGCTCTGAGAGAGCACTGCAGACATTCCACAGGAGCCCCCCACCCCTGCCCCGCCCCCACCCCACCCACACTCTTATCGACAGGCCTCTCCCGGAAGGGACCACCTTCTTGAAAGCTGCTGGGTTTTGAACTCCACATAAATGGAATCATAGTATTACTCTTTTGTGTCTGGCTTCTTTCTCTCAACGTGGTGTCTGTGACGCTCATCTGGGTTGTGTGTATCTGTATTTTATTTATTTTACGACTCCAAATTCCACTGTGTGAATATATCAGTGTGTGTGTTTCCATTCTCCTGTGGACAGGCCTGTGGGTTGTTTCCCATTTGGGGCTACTGTGTATGAAGCTGCTGTGAGCACTCTTGAGTATGTCTTTTTGTGGAGCTATGCACCCATTTCTCTTGGGCGTGTTCTCAGGAGTGGAATTGCTAGGTTGTAGGGTAGGCATATTTAGCTCTTCCAAAGTGGTTGATCATCTTATGATCCCGTTAGTCTGTATGAGGGAGTTTGAGTTGTTCTGTGCCATCACCAACACTTGGTGTGTGTTAGGGTGTAACCATTGTGGTTCTAATTCACATTTCCTTAATGGCTAATGATGTTCATATCTTTTCATTTGCTTGTGGGACATTTGGCCACCATTTTTTTGTGAAGTGTTCGTTCAGGTTTTGGCCTGTTTTTAAAATGGAGGTGTAAGGCCAGGCACAGTGGCTCACACCTATAATTCCAGCACTTTGGGAGGCCAAGGCTGGAGGATTGCATTAGGCCAGGAGTTTAAGACCAGCCTGGGCAACATAGCAAGACTCTGTCTCTACAAAAACTTTAAAAAAATTAGCTGGGTGGGCCTGGCACAGTGGCTAGTAATCCTAGCACTCTGGGAGGCTGAGGCAGGAGGATCACTTGAGCCCAGGAGTTTGAGGTTGAAGTGAGCCACGATCGTGCCCCTGCACTCCAGGCTGGATAACAAAGTGAGACCCTATCTTAGAGAAAGAAATGGGGGTGTTTATCTTTTTGTTATTCATTCGTGGGAGTGATTTATATATTCTAGGTATAAGTGCTTTGTCTATTATATGCATGGAGAATATCTTCTCCGTCTGTGGCTTACCTTTCACTCTTTCATTGGTCTTTTGATGAACAGACATTTTTAATTTTGATAAAGTATTTTATGGTTATTTGCGTCTTTATATAAGAAATATTGGCCTATCTCAAGGTCATGAGGACATTTTCCTGTGTTTTCTTTTAGAAGCTTTATAGTTTTAGCTTTCACATTTAGGCCTGTAGCCATACTGAATTAATGTATATGTTTAGTGTGAGACCCAGAGCAAGGTTTGCTTTGCCACGTGGGGACTCACTTGCCCCAGCATCGTGTCGTAGTCATCATACTGTCTGCCTGAATAGTGCCTTTGACGTGGGCCAGGTGATGGTGTGCGTAGTTCATTCCTGGACTCTGCCCTTTCCATTGCTCTGTTTGTCCTGGTACCGCTTTTAGAATAGGCCTGTCACTTTCTTCCAAAGCCCTGCTGGAATCTTGATAGGGACTGCATTGGTTCTATAGATCAATTTGCAGAGCACGGTCCAGTGTGGTGGCACTTGCCTGTAGTCCCAGCTACGTGGGAGACTGAGGTGGGACAATCAACTTGAGCTCAGGAGTTCAAAGCTAGCCTGGGCAACATAGCAAGACTCTATTTCTAGAAAGTGAAAAATAATTTTAAATTAAAAAAAAAAAAAATTTGGAGAGCATGACTAGCTTGACAGTCACAAGGGTCCCTCCCCCCTCTGCTGCCCTAGACTTGGTGCCACTACTTGATACTTGAATGGCTGGGGCATAGGAGTCTAATACATATCTACTGGATTGAATTTAATTTTAAGGTAACTGTTGACGTGAACGTTTTTGAATTATAGTACATTAAACATGTTAGCATTTCTCTTTATGCCTTTAAATATAATATTGACTTTTAAAACTGCAACTGCAACTATTTCTCAGTTTGGAAATAGCATTATAGTTAAGGAATGGCTTCTGGTTTAGAGGTTAATTGGCCTTTACTGTGGATTATGGTGTTGTGTGTCTGATTCAGGCTTTTGATTTTGGAAGTATATTTTGTTCATTTACATAATACATTTAAGACTGTCAAGAGAAATAATGAAGTAACTCTAAGTTTATTTGTATTAAATTTTAGAACCCTATTCCACTTATATATTGTTAGTGTCGTCTGGAGTATTTAATATGGTTACTTAACTTTTAGGGTACTTGGAATAAAAGTTCTCTGATTTAAGTTGCAGATTAATTTTCTGATGAATGATTTAAAATCCATGTTAATGATTTTTTTTCTGGTTTTAAAATCTAGGGTCTTTTTTTTTCCCCCAGAGACACAAGAATCTGTCCTGACCGACACCATATTAATCCAGAAATGGACATGCCAAGGAAATTATCCACCCAAACCCTACCAAGGTTTGGATACATTAAAGTAAGTTCTGTTAAAAATCCTTTTGTCCAATGATTCATGGTCATTTTAATCAACATGTTTTGTTATTTTTAAGCAGCAGCATGTTAGTAGAATATAATTATGACTCCAGCGGTCGATATTAACGTACCGCCACTAATCTGACAGTAGGTGTCTTGTAAGGTGCCTTATTTCAGGGCCCAGTTTATTTACAAAACCAAGATCAAACTGGGTAAATGGATGGACAGCGTAGGGATTTTCTTCAGTTACTTTTTTTAGAGAAAGTTGTTTCCATTTGGGGGCTGTTAAAAATACTGCCATGATTATGGCCGGGCGCGGTGGCTCACGCCTGTAATCCTAGCTCTCTGGGAGGCCGAGGCGGGCGGATTGCTCAAGGTCAGGAGTTCAAAACCAGCCTAAGCAACAGCGAGACCCCGTCTCTACTATAAATAGAAAGAAATTAATTGGCCAACTGATATATATATATAAAAAAAAAAAATTAGTCGGGCATGGTGGCGCATGCCTGTAGTCCCAGCTACTCGGGAGCTGAGGCAGAAGGATCGCTCGAGCCCAGGAGTTTGAGGTTGCTGTGAGCTAGGCTGACGCCACGGCACTCACTCTAGCCTAGGCAAGAAAGCGAGACTCTGGCTCAAAAAAAAAAAAAAAAAAAAACAAATACTGCCATGATTATATGACACTTCTTCAGACGTCCATGATCATTCCTTCGAGGAGAATTCTAAGATGCCGGTGGAATTGCCGAGTTAAGAGTTTGTTATTTACTTTCAAATCCTTTTTATTAATGTCTTCATTTCTTTCTGAGTTTAAAATTTTTCTCCTTTTCACCTCTTTCCCTTAAGGCACATTCTGTGGTGTTAGTTTCCGAGGCCTGCTGCAGCAGTTACCACGGTTGGTGACTGAGAAACTTAACACACATTTGTCCTCTTGCGGTTCTGGGGGCCAGAGTGGGAAATCGGCGTCAACAGGCCGTGCCCCCTGCCAGCTCTAGAGCACGGTCCGGTCCCGGCCTCTCCCAGCTGGCGTGGGCCTCAGTCTGAGCCCTGCCTGCGTCTTCACGGCACTTTCTCCTCCTCTTTGTCCCTCGTGAAGGACACTTGCTGCAGGGCAGGGGCCTCGCAGAATTACATCTGCAAAGAGCCTTCCTGCACATCAGCTCATACTCACAGTGATCTTGTCTTTTGTGGAAATTATCATTCAACCCACTACAGTTTTCATCATTGAAATAATTTTTTTCTTTAATTCCTAATTCTTTCCCAAGTTTTGTCACCTCATTTGTAAGTTTTTCTAGTTTTGATTTATGTTATTCTATGCATGCATCATTTTCTTCATTAAGCAAAAAGCCACTTGTTTTGAAATTGAAGGTTACAGTTTTGAGCTGTTCTGTGTCTACATCTTGCTACTGGCTTTCATGTCTATAGGGACTGTTCCTCTGCTCTTTATCCTCTTATTCTATCTCAGTTTATATGTTATATATCTTATTGTTTATTTTGTTATTTTATTATGATTAATAGAGGATTTTACCTTGATACTTTTGCTATTGCTTATTTTTAGATAAAATTTTTTTCCTTAAATTTTAGAAGGAAATTTGGCTCAGGGTAACTTCTCTGATTTCATGGAGTTCCTATTTCTGTTGTTTATGTGTTGTGGCAAAAATAATACGTAATGAGTACAGTGAATACTAGCTGAGTGATGGGCGCACTTTTAACCCTGACCTGAGCATTGCAAAAGTGATCCACGTAACCAAAACATCTGTACCCCATAACACTTTTAAATAAAGAAAATAGGGTGACATAGTGTCAGACATCTGGGCTCTGTTGCCCTCCCCACTCACCTGGCTCTCTCTTCCTTCATCCCTCTTGCCCCTGGTGGGGCAGTTTGGAGGTCTCATCGGGCTCTAGCCTTCCCCCACTGCTGGAGCTGGGGACGCCTTCCAGTTCAGCTGCTCTGGTCGCATCGGCCGGTGTGTTCTCAGTGACGAGCCGTTGCCTCTGGGGGCCTCTGTCGTGGGTCTGTCAGATGCTCTCTGCTTCCCTCTGCCTCTTCCTGCACAGGCAGAGACATGGGTTCCATGCAGCTCTTGTCACCTGGTCCTCGCCCTGTCTCCTAGGTGACTGCTTGGTGATCCTGGCATCTGCTCAGGGCAGGCGGGGCTCCCTGCTCCACGCAGATCATTTCTGCTCCCTGCACACTGCCAGTCCCCTCGTGCACAGATAGCCCTGCATGCCGGCCTGCGAAGGGTTGTCTTCCTGACCACACACGAGCTGTGGCGTATCTGTCTGCTCCCGGTTGCTCAGGGTCATTGTAGGACATGCTTTCATCTCCGCCTCCCTGGTGGCTGGTGGGATACAGTAGGCTCTTAGGAAAATGCTTCTTGTTACATGAAAAAAGATCAGATGAAGCTAAGGAGACAGCAGTGCTATTTTAAGAAGAATTTTTATAAATAAAAGTATAGATTTTTATAAAAGTAAAGAAAGGAACACTTATCCCTAATAATGAAGTTTTAAAATAATGAAATTTGCCAAAAAATTGTCCATTAGATTTAAAGTAAAACGATAATTATTTGTGAATATGGTAAGGTATTTGTTTTGCTTTGGTTTTTGGCCAGTTTTCTAGTTTATTTTTAAATTCCTGGTTGTACACTTCAGGTCCTTAAGTAAGGTGCTGATTTCTGCGGGTGCAGGGAGTGTGCATATCTTTGGCTTAGACTGTTTGTCTTCTGGATATGTTTACTATCTATGTTTCAGGTAATACCTTTTTATATTTCGAATGCAACAAATTACTTTGGTCGTATAATTGATAAACATGTGGATCTTTATGCAACTCTTAGTGCTGAAATGAGTGAATATTTTAAGGATTCCAGTAATGAAACGACTGTCGAGAAAGTGGAGAAATTTGGATTGTATGGATTAGCAGAAAAATCACTTTTTCACAGGTAAATATCTGTTTCATTCATCTGTAAAGTTGAGAAGCATTAGGTAACTTTAAATGGTTTTGAATTCCTATTTTCACCTTTGTGCACTTGCCTGAATAGATGCACGTGAGCCTGGCTGCCTCCCAGGAGGCTGGGGGTCTTCCCTGTGCCTGGCGCAGTTCCGCACATGAGGCTGCACCCCAGGCTCCTGAGCAGTACAGTGACGCTGTCACTGCAGACTCGTATTGCGCTGTCACTGTGTGTGACACATACAGACATCTTTAACTCACTTAATTCTTGCCAGGTTCCTATAAAATGGGCATCATCCCCATTTTATAGATAAACAACTGAGCCTTAGTGGTGGTATGTGAGTTGTCCAAGGTCAGCTCAGTAAGTGGCACAGTCAGTGTTCCAGCCCCGTCAGTGTGACTCACGCGCGTGTTCACTCCCACTTCCCTTGGGTCCACCTGGTGCTGCTTGCTGATAGCCTTGATTCAGAAACTTTGAACTTTAATTTGCTAGGTTAATTTTTATTATGTTGTCAGAAAGAGATTTATTAGTGTATAAATCTGTTATATTATATACTTACTATTCAAAAATACTATGTGTTTTTATACCTATGTATACTTTAATCCACCAGTAAGTGCTTTTGAAGACTTTGAGTTTTTATTTCTATGGAGTAAAACCACGCAGTTAAATCTCTTCATGTGTTTTCCATTTAATGGCAAATTGAGGCAGAGATTATCCCTCTTTGGAATCCCTGTGTTAAAGTGATGCCGCTGTTGTTCACCAGGGTGCAGGTGCTAGAGGTGAACCAGAAGGAAGACACCTGGGCCCCGGACAACGCCCTCGTAAAGTTCATAGACGAAGGCAGGACTGGACTCGTCGCGAGAGACCAACTGTTGCATCTCCCAGAAAGTTTCCACGCTCTCCCCCCGCAGGCTGTGGAGTTCATTGTTTGTAGGGTGAAACCTGCTGACAATGAGATCGAATGGAATCCAAAGGTGAGTTGTTTGGGCTCTTTATGTTTTGTTGATTTTTTAGAATATATTTAGCCCAGAATGTTCACAGAATGGAGGTTTTGTCTGAGCTTAGAGTATGGAGTTTGGGCAGAGTGCTTCGTGTTCCTGGCAGCTGCATTGCCTAGACCCTTGCTGGGGCGGGAGTGTACCGCTTGCCTCCTGCATAGGACCCTGCTGTGAGCCCTGCGAGAGGTGCCGGGTGTCAGTGACCCTGTTGCCATCACTGTCCTAGTGCCTGCAGTCTTAGACTTGGTGTAAAATAGGGATTATGATGAAGTAACTTGCCTGTCAGCTTGAGAAGAAGAAACCATGTAGGCACCTACAAAAACAGATCCCCCAGTCACGGGGGAGCACAGGTGCTGGCTGCTCTCAGGAGAGGCTGGGGGATTCCACCGGGGTTGGACAGAGAAGAAGAGATGGGGCCAGAAAAGCCCTCAAAGGAAGGGACATTTCCTCTGGGCTTTGTGGGATAACTAGGGTGTCACCAACAGGAATGCATAAGGCAACTGAAAGCAAAGAAGACTACCTGTGCCAAGGCGTGGGGCACAGAGGAGTGGTCTCTGTGGGCTCACGGGGCTGTGCAAGGTGGGGTGGAAAGGCCCAGCCCCTGCCGGCCAGGCAGAGGCCTGTCACACAGTCCTCCTCCCGGGAGCCTGAGCTGTGTTCATTGTGACACTCCTGGCTCCCCAGGAGAAACTTAGATTGTGCTTATGATAAATAGGATATGAACTACGCCATTGCATTTGGCAAAGTTAAGAACAATTGGGGTTATAAACAAGCTTGTGCAAACTAGATTCAAACATAACATTTTAAAAAATAAAATTAAAAAAATAAGGTTAAACATTATCCAGGAAATAAACAAGTGAATGTTTCCATGATACAATATAAATATGCAACCTTATTGTTATGAGTTGGTAAAAATGGCATTTATCAAATAACAGTTGTTTTCCTTTTTTGTAGTAAGTATTTACTGAGTGTTCACTGTGTGCTGGGGCCTTGCTGGGTTCTGGGGATGTTGCCACCAGCAAGAAATTTATGGTCCTTGTCCTCAAGAAGCACTTGGTCTATAAAGATTATCAACCACAAGTGTTTCTTGAGGAGCGGTCTTCTGTAGAAAAGGGGGAAAGTTCTCTTGCATGTATTTGTCCAGATTCACTTGAACAGTTCAAGGAGAGGAGGTGGAAACAATGTCATGGTAAGCTGTTCCCGGCAGGCTGCAACGCTTAGATCCTTGCTGGGGGGGAGTGTACTGCCTGCCTCCTGCGTAGGACCCAGTTGTGAGCCCAGTGTCGGTTTCCTGCCAGTTTCCTCCTGCTCTGCTTCACTCTTGTCACACGTGCAGGGAAGATTGCTCAGACGGTCTTATCTGTTGCCCTGCTTGAGAGGGAAACAACCAGCAAAGAGGACACCAAAGACCAGAGCTTCTCCATTCCAGCGTCACTGGTTTCAGAGCTGCTCTGTCATGGTGTCGTCCTCTGGAACAGCGGGAAACTTTCGCTTCACCCTTGTTGAGCTTTCAGAGAAATAAGCATCCCTGGTTTGAAGACAGATTGACAGTTGGCAGGGGAGATGGGGTACACATGTCCACAGTGGGAAGCGTGCAGTGTCCAGAAGCACGAAATCCCCTCCCCCCCTTCTTGGGACTCACTAGGGAGAGGCCTCGGGCGAGTTCTGGCACCTTTGTGCATCTGTTCCTGTTAAACTCCACTGTTGGCCTCATCGATGAGAGGGGGGTGATCACGTCTGTAACCTCATAGGGTTGCTGGGAGGCTCAAATGAAATGCATGGAATATTTTGCAAACTATACAACATATACTGAATAAGCCTCAGATAAAAAAACTTAAGTGCTTTCTTTTTTCCAGGTTACTAGGTACATTCATCATAAAATTGTTGGAAAATTGCATGATGCAAAAGTGGTACTGGCTTTGGGAAATACCGTTTGGATTGATCCAATGGTAAGTGTGCAGTTTTCTGAAAAACAAATCTCTGTTTGAATGCTCCCCTAAAATTATTCAAATTATTCTAACCTGTTAGTTGAATAACTGCTTCACAGAAATAGAGACTTATTTGGGACTCTCTTTTAGGGAGAGGTGCTTTTCATGTTATTTGAGTCATGAATTCGGTTGTGGGTTTAGTTTTGTCTAGGGGAGTGTTTTACGCATACACATGTTTGTGTACGTGATGCTCCTGCACTCACACACACAGCCGAACAAAAGTTCATGAGACTCTTCTTACTACATGTGACATTCTCTAAGATTTAAGTTCCATTTCTCTTGTTCAAGCATTGATTGTGAGCCATGAAATTGCCATCACAATCCACTGTCCACACCATTTGAGAGGCCCCAGATCAGTGACAGCTGTGACAGCCCCTGTCTTTTCTAGTTTGTCAGTGATCCTGAAGACCTGAGACTGGGTCCGTGCTGCTGAGGATTCCAGTCCTAGGGCATTCAGAAACAGGTCCTGTCACGCTCAGTTTCCACTGTGCAGGCACCAGCCCTCTCTGCTTCCGCTCCAGGAACTCTACTGTTCAATTCAAAGTTCTGCTGTGTTAGACTTAAATCTTAATTATGATTATTTATAAGGCTTAAAGGAATTCAGTTTATAAAAACTATTTTGCTGAGCATTGTTTTTAAGGTGTTAAGAGTTTTTGTATAAGATTTAAGAGGAGAAAATCATTTTTAGAAGAGAAAAAAATAGATGACCAGTACAGGTAAATGAAGAGGTTTAGAGGTCTTAGTTGATGTTGTGATAGTATTGTAGTCGTTCTTTATTGGAGAAAAAATGGAAACTATTAAGCAGGGATTTTTAAAACTCTAAGAGAATGAAGCAAAAAAGAAAACCTGCTGGGCAAATGCGTTTCCACAGCTGCAAAGTGTATTACAGTGTCCACCACGCGCTGGGGGGGAAACAACCCCCCCACACACACTGCCCTTCCCCACCCGGCCTGCCGCGTCCCAGTGTGAGTGGAGAAAGGCTCTGCACGTTCCCAGCCGGGGACACGTTCCCAGGGTTCCTTTAGGAAAGGGCCCAGCCAGTGCCAGCCTTGCCCACGCTCCCCACCAGTCCTGTGTCCACACACCCATCAGCAGGAATCTGACTGTTGCAGATTTTCATGTTTTGCTTAATTTTACATAAATTGAAATGGATGGGAATGTTTCAGTTGCATAGAAGACAGTGGAGGAAACGGTCCGGAGCACAGAATGCAGGGTCTTGGCAGGGCCCTTTCCGGGCACGAAGGGACTCTGAGCCTGAGATTCTCCTTGTTAATAGCGATAAAAGTCGTTGAGTAAGAATCAGAAAAGTATAAGAATTTTGTGTCTGGTTACAGCATTATGCATTGGTCTTGATTAGGGGTTTTATCCCAGGATTCCATCTTGGCCCCACCCACACCTGATCATATTTCTGGAGCATAGGGCTGGGCTTTGGAAAATTCTGACGCGGCCTCAGCTATGAAATGGCCCAGGTGCTACTGTGGAAGCCCTTGCACATGGCCACTGTTGCAAATGTTGCAGAGAGACCGAGAGGTCGTGTGAGAGTATCTGTGATTCCTGCAAATGCTGCATTTTCTTTGATTCAAGGTGCATATTACAAACCTTTCAAACTTGAAAACCTCTGTCATTGACTATAATGTTCGAGCTGAAATTTTGTCAATGGGAATGGGCATTGATAATTCAGAACATACAGAACAACTGAAAAAATTATACGAAGGAGCTAAAATGCCAGCTTTTGAAGAGAACCCAAGCCACACTCCGTAAGTGGATTTCCCTTTCCCCTTTAGAGGAGCTGATTGTGGGAACAGGAGTACAAGTGTTAAGCACGCTTTTTATGAAAGTAGAGTAGTTTACTGAGTCTCCATGTCACTCAGCTTTAATCATCACCAAGATTTTGGGACCCTTCTTTTATTCATACCCTGGCCCACGCTCTTGTTTTAGAGGAATATAATGATAAATGAATGAATAATGATAAATAATGATAAATGATGAATATAATGATAAAACAAACCTCAAATATATGATGTCACCTGTATCTCTTACACAAAGGGTTTTGTTAACTTTTTATTGACAAATAGTGCACACGGAGATGTGCGCACATCGGAAGTGCCATCTGGGGTGTGTGTGCCAAGGCTTCATCTGTGGCCCTCAGAAGTCCCCTGGAGACACACGCACGCCCTGCTCACAGGCGTGCGTGTCGCTGCGTGTGTCTGTACAGGCTCACCCATTGGGCTGGGTGGGGGAGCAGGGGTGAGTGAGGGTGTTCACCGTACACACCTTGCTACTTATTTTAAAATATGAAACCACACGGATGGTTACTTGTTCAAAGAACCAAAAGAATAACAGTTTAAAATTTTTAAAAGAATGAGGCAGCCTTCTATGCACTGATATGAAGTCATCTCTACTTATTAAATTTAAGAGAATGAAGGAATTTGAGAGGTTTCTATGTTTTTAAATGTGTGTGTGTGTGTTTTAGATAGAAACATAGATGGCAATATTTTCTTTTTTATGCAAAGAATTCTTTGCACCATCCCAGACCCAAACTGGGAAGAAGGATGGTCTCCAGGAAGATGACCCGGGAGACTGAGGCGGGAAGGAGGGAAAACTGGCCTTTCCCTTTCTGCCCTTTTATCCCATTTCACGTGGATAGCAGTGTGAGCTGTTACTGTCACAGCTCAGTGAATCTCGGAAGGACAGTTATTTTGGTGAATGAGTTAGTGCCTGTCTTTGGTAATGATCACCAGTCGTGTGCTTGATGCCTGGGGCACAGCAGTGAGCAGAGCTGGCCGGCCTTGCTCCGGGGGTCATCGGGTCGTCAGGAGTCTGACTCAAGGGTGACAGGCCCTTCACAGTCACTTGTTGCCCCCCCCTCCTCCTCCACGGGAAGTTCCTGTGGAGAGCCACGTGTGCCCGAGTTAACCTCCACCCTCCTGTCCAGGACACCGCCTCCAGCAGAAGACGTGGCTGGGCTGCAGGGCGCAGAGCAAGGGGACGAGCGTGCGGGGAGAGGAGCCGACCCCGAGACCAACTCAGAGAACCAAAAGCCCGGTTGGTACTTGTTATTTAAAAGGTGTTAACTTCAGTCATTCATGTTTGGGTATTTTTTAATGTTTAGACTTCCCACTTTTGATGAAATATAGAGAAAGTGACATAAACTAATATTATCTAACTCTTCCTATTTTTGACAGTTCAGCTTCCAGTGTTTGTTTTCTGCACCTGTTTTCCTTCCTTTCTTTTGAGGTATGCTGTGTATTCAGTGAGGTGCGCTGGCGTTAGGTGAACAACACATCAGAGTTTGTGTGTGTGTGTGTGTGTGTGTGTGTGTGAGCGAGCCACGCCCACATCAAGCTGTTGAGCGTTTCCAGAACCCAGCCGTCTCCTGTCTGACCCCTCCCCAGTGACCACTGTTCTGATCTGTCACCAGCAGTTTTGCTGAATCAGGAAGTATATAGTATACACTCTGTGGCTTCTTTTTTTTTTTTTTTTTTTTTTTTGTTTCCATCAAGAGACAGGGTATGATGTGGCTTCTTTCAATGTAATTTTTTTTATTGGCAAGCTGCATTCTATAATATTAATATACCATAATTTTTTTTCTTTTTGCCTACTGGTGGTTTTCTGTTTTGGGCTATTGTGATTCGAGGTGCTGTGAACATTCTTGTTCAAGTTTTTGGATGGAAGCTTCAAATGTTTTAGGTTGAGAAGTTTAAATTGCATTGTTTTAGAAGATGTCATGTTTGGCATATTGGCTGCTGTTCTCGAAGTCATCTTTAGTGGGGTCCTGACAGGCTAAGGCAGCACCAAAGAAGCCTGAGCGTTTGTACCCTGTGGTCAGCAATTGTAATGTGGTTCCTCTTCAAAAGAGTAACTTTACTTTTCTGATAATTTAATTTTAATATTTGTCAAATTCTCTTTTATTTAAAAATATTATGTTTTACCAAATGATGTTCATTTTAATTTTTTCTAATTCTTCTTTGCAACTGGGTACTTGGTTTACTATGAGACTCATACTCTTATGCAAGTGATTCCTCATCTAAAAGTTGCGTAAGGGCCAGGTGCGATGGCTCATCCTGTAATCCCAGCATTATTGGAGGCCAAGGTGGGAGGATTGCTTGAGGCTAGGAGTTGGAGACCAGCCTGGCTGGGCAACATAGCAAGACTCTGTCTCTATAAAAAAATTTACAAATTAGCTGGGCATGGTGGCATGTGCTTGTACTCTCAGCTACTAAGGAGGCTGAGGCAGGAGGATTGCTTGAGCCCAGGAGTTTGAGGTTACAGTGAGCTGTGATGACACCACTGCATGCCTGCCTGGGCAACAGAGTGAGACCCTGTCTCCTAAAAAAAATAAAAGTTACATAAGGTGCAAAAAAGTATATGTATATATGTATATCATGGAGTTACATATAAATAACCTGTAGGAAAATATGACTTTGATTTGTACAGAAACTTTATCTGAGAACACTGAAGATGCTTCCATTAGTGACACTACCCAGCCACATCCGAAAAGGTACGTCCACCCACTGCTGGGGAGTCTCCTTCGTCTAACCAGTGAATGAGTATTGACGAGCATGCAGATCTCTGTCTTCCTTCTAGCTTCCACCCACAAATCAAGTGGTTCCAAAAAGATGATGCCGTCATCTTAAAGATAAGACTAAGGAATGTAAAAGATTACAAATGTAAATATTTTAGAGATAGAGTTGTCTTCAGGTAGGTTTATATATATCTTATAAAGTAAAATAGAAGTAATTTCTATTTTAAATAAATAGATTAAAAGGCTGACTTTATTTCTTTTTATAAACCCTAGTGCCTGGGTGGGAGACAAATTTTACTCAGCTGATATGGAGCTACAGGCTAACATAATAAAAGATGACTGCAAATGTGTAATTAAACACGATGAACCTATCATTACTCTGGCAAAAGAGCGAAGAGAACCTTGGTGCCGCTTACTCAAGCAGAGGGTGAGTTGGAAAGAACTGCGGCTGGCTGGTCTTAACACCCTGGGTGTGTCGTAGTCACTCACTCAGTGTAACTGTTCTGTTGAACAGAACCCTAATGTGACTTTTGATTTTGATCACTGGGAAGACTGTGAAGAGGACAGCCACTTCTCCAAGGGTAAGGTTCGGAGCACCTCTCCCTGGAGGGGTGGTAAGTCCGGGTGGTAGGTCATGGGGGGGGCTATAATCACCCTTGGCCTGACCCTCACAGGGACTCTGCCTCTGTAGGATGGGCCGTTAATGTAGAGCCCTTTTGAAATTAGTTTTCTTTTTGTGGTTGGTCTTGGTGCTAAATGTTCTAGTTTGAGTACTTATCAGTGCTTGGTCATAAACACACCTCGTTATAACACTTTTACAGATATTCTTCATGGGAGAATAATTTATTGATAAGCAGGCAGATTTGACCTGCTCATTTCCTGCCTGAAATAACGAAAATAAGTTGCAAGATAGATAGAGCTGGAACCCAGGGATTTTTTTCTGCATTGACCAAAGTAATGGGGGAAAAAAGATTTGCTAATTAGTCCACACTTGACATACTTTTTTAATAATATCTACCTCTTTTAGTTGTAAGTTCTAAAACCCTGCCCTACAAAGTGACGGAGATGGGTGAAAGCAGTCCCTCGACTTCAGAGGAGGAGGAAAGCGAGAGTGACTGAGAACGCGCCGTCCGTCCCGAGCAGCCGGAAGACGTCGAACAGAAACGGACGTTGCCACATAACAGGGAGTGAGCGAACAATGACAGCCAGACCTTTTCACCTGGTGCCAGGACTGGTGATGGTGAGAAAGTCTTAGTGGGCTTTAAAGCGAGCTGGTAAGAAGACGACTGTGGAAGGAGAGAGAGCAGAGAGAGGAAGTGCTGGTCTAGCCCGGCCTGGCCCCGCTGTCCTCACAGCGCGACTGGTGGCAACCACAGCGTTTGGGTGATGACATGCCCTCTCTGGAGTTAGTCCGTTTGGTTTGGTTTCGTTTTTCATTTAGACCTACGCTGGTACGTTGCTCAAAAACCTGGTCATGGGTGTACAGGCTGAGGTTTCCAGCTTATGGATTCACACTCAGCAGCTGTTTAACAAACCCTTTCGGCCCCGAGTGAGCTGGGATTTGACACAACCGTCCATGTGTACCGACCGGTACTTTCAGTATTCTTGAGATATTGGTGGCTACTAAGAGTCAGTTCACTTCTTATGAAGAGAGAGTCCAGGGATAAAAATGAGATTGCCTCAGCGATGCACGCAAGATGCAGGGCTTTCTGGAGGTGACGCTGCTGGTTCTAAATAACATCTTAGACATTCAGTGGAAACTTAACAGGACCTGTGCGGTAACCCTCGAACACTGGAGATGGTGAGTCCTCAAAGCATTCGCGTAGCACCTGGGGTCACCTCCTTCCTTGGGAGGAGCGCGCGTAGCCATTCCCACATAGACGGGAAGGCCTGGAGCCTCGCTTGCCATGCTTTGGGTTTCTGTGTTCAGTGGGAAAGTTACAAAGGGGAGCTGCTGGGAAATTTACAACCCCATGCACTTCCTCAGTGTCAGGCTTTCAGCTTCACTAGAAGTGGAGAACATGGGGCAGTCACCTGGTCGTTATGTTCTGTCCAAGATCTTTATCTTTTTACATCAAAAAGCAAGATGCCCAAGTATAAGATGCCCCAGGTATAAGCCACCGCTTGCATCTAGCTGTCCCATGAGCAGATCTGAATCACACCCTGCCTCAGTTTCCTCATCTGTAAAATAAGACGTTCAGCTCATTGTGGGCCTTGCTTTGCCTCAGGGAGCCCGCAGGGTGCCGCTGGGTCAGGCCACTTTCACAGCGCAGCAGCTCTGTGATAGGGGCTGGGACCACCGCCTCCCTGGGAGGATGTGGCGTCCCCCCGGACACGGCCAGGAGCACGTCCTGCTGCTGCTGCTGCTGCTGTGGTTCTCAGAGGTCGGCTGGCACATACCACATCGGCCCAAGAAGCAAAATAGTGATCTTCCCTTTTCTTAGCTAAACTGGGCGGGTTCTTCAGGAACTAGAAAGTTCTGTTGTCTTTGCTGGCAAAGGTTTCGACTCTGGAGCTCTTCTTCATGTCCTCATCAGTGCCGCTTTCCCTCACGGCCGCGCTTGCTCCTGCTGGCGGTCCGGGTTGGTGCCTGGGCCTCCTGAGACCCTCCTGTCCTGGTGGCTTGCCGTGAGCGCGCCTGCCCTTTGTGCTCGGTTGTGTTGGGTCTCTCTTGGAAACGCAGCCAGCGGCAGAGCTGCAGGGCGATGTGCTCCCGCGTGCACACGCGGTCCTCCTCTCGAAGGCGCGATGCGAGTCTCTCGTGTAGTTAGTTCACAGACGGCTGGATGACGGTGTTGAGGAGGAAAGGCTGTATGTTCAAATCTCAGTTTCTTGTTTCAGACATTGAATTTTTCTAATACTGGAAGCTCTGAATAATATTTTGTAGGACACAGGATGCTGACTTATGTAAACAATTAGTATTTTTTTTCTGTACTGCTATTAATATGTGCGAGTTCAAGTTTTGGGTACATTTCTGAATTGCAAGGTAAAAGTATTTTCTTCTCTGTGCTTCCAGCATTGCTCTGTTCACACTAACACAGTTGTGGTGTGAACGTCTTTTGTGGTGTATTGTCAATAAAATTTCAGTGTTTCCACAGAAATATTACTTTTTACTTTTTTTAAACAATATTTTCCAAATGAAAAATAAATTTTATTTACCATACTTTCTGCTTTGACTGCATGCCAGTGATATGACCGCTGACGACGCCCTGTGAGCATATGCCTTGGAAGGTTCCAGAAGGGCAGTCAGCTTTGCAGTGGGGACCTTGGCATTCAGCCTGCACAGACCTGTCACGTTTACCACCGACTAAACACGGGGTTGGCGATCTTTTTTGGGGTAGACAGTGGCTAATAAAACATTTGTACTTTAACATTTAAGAAATCTATATCAATTAAAGCAAAAATGTTGTCAGTTTTATGTAAAATAATCAACCTTACTGATCACTGAGTTTAAGGAACACCCTTTATTTCAAGTAAGCGTGATGTGCCACCATGATGGTGGTAGTTCGTACCCAGCCCTTCCCTAACTGCCCACCCCTTTTGGGTGACATCGTCACCTGATAACTTTAACACATATCTGTCACTTCTCTTATCAGGAACCCCACCCAAAGAATTAAGGACATCTAAAAATAACATTATAAACATCTGAATATGTTTTTTTTCTTAAGAAAAAAAAAATCAGAAAGAAACCACAAATATTGCTTATAAAAATAAATTCGTCACAGCCCTGGCTTGGCTGTAAGAGAAAGAGCTCGTCACTGAGGATCCTCCTCTGGCGGGACAGCTTCCATCAGCATCTGCAGGTGCATGGTGATGGGCTCTGGAATGAAAGCCGGTACACACGTGCGGTTAGAAAAACGTAATTTGAAAGCTTCCCCACGACTGTCGGGGAGCAGTGACGTGCCGCCTCTCAGACCCTATGCTCAGGGCACGGCTGGTGTTTAGAGTTAACAGACCCATCCTGGTAGCTACACTGGGTCTCTGGAGATAGTTATTGCCTATTGAAAAATTAGAAGCCAGCTGAGTATTTTACTGCGAGCAAACAAGTTACGCTAGGAAGCAGACTGCTGATCACTTCACTGCCTCGTGGAGATCTCAGGAAGGCGGTGAAGGCTTTTGTGAGTTGGGGCTTCCTGCCACTGAGTCTGCCGGGCAGGACAAAAAACATGAATCTAATACAGTTTAATAGACTTTTAAAAAAATAGGTGTCAGAGTCTCTTTTGACGTACTTTGACACAAGTGCTTTCTTTGTAGAAGCGAAAGTGGCTAATGTAGCTAAACTTTTAAACAATTGTCCTAAAATACATGGGGTTTAGGACTGCTGAGTGGAGGGCGAGGCCTGTGCCTTGGCTCCGTCGTCTTTGGGTGTCTTTGGGGATGCCGCTGGCCCTCTTAGAGGAAGTCTGCATATCGGGTCAAAGAGGAAGGTGGTCCGGGGACGAGAAGTACAGCATGAGTGTACTTAACACTGCTGGACTATACACTTAAAAGTGGTTAAGAATGGTACATTTTATGTTGTGTGTATTTTGCAATTAAAAAGAAAATAGTGTGCTCCCTTCCTACTTGTTAGAGTCATTCACAGGAGCACCAAGATCAAGGGTAGACCCAGAGGTGTATGACACGGAGTGTGGGTTGTGTCCTGAAGAGGAGGGGAGATCTGCTAGCAGGTGAGACCGTGTGATAGAAAACGCCCTGGCAGAACCAGGACGGACGAGGTTTGTGGGATGCTGTGGCCGTCTGCGTTTCACTAACAGCCGAACTGTCCTCCTGTCGATACTTACTTGAGATTTTCTGAGCCCATCCAAACTTGTAGTAGACAAACAGGAAGTAGAAGATAAGGCCACTCAGTATGAACAACACGCAGTAGAGGTACTCCCAGGCGGGTGCGCTGATGATGGGGGCCAGAACCAGAAACACGGATATGCAGGTCACCAAGATGGGGATGGCCACAGGCACCTGGGACCAGAACAGCAGGTGTCAGTCACGGTTTGGCCACGTGCCTCCATTTGCTTTTTGAAACTTTTCATTAGGAAAAAAACGATAAAGAAGAGCATAATGTACTCCATGTGCCCCACCCTCCAGTTTCAGTGACTTCTCTGGAATTTTGCCAATCTCATTTCCTCTACTCCACATTTTTTCCCCTAGAATATGAAGAAAATACCAGACGTCATGTCATTTTGCCTGTGAAATATTCAGTGTGCATCTCTAGCTAATGAGGACTTGCTCTTTTAGACATGTTTCTTCCCTCCCCCTCTTTTTAAATCTTGTAACATTGATTTGTTGGAGAAATTGGAGGATTTATCTTATACAATGTTTCGTTTTAGCTTTGCCCGATTGCTTCCTCCCGGTGCCCTGCAGCTTGCTCTTCTGACTCCCGTTTCCTGAAAACCGGCAGTTAGATTTAGAGGCAAAAGTAGTTCCCAGTGGAAGCAGTGCACTTCCTTTTGTAATGTGTGTCACGAAGCACAAAACGTGTGACTGTCCCACTTCTGAATTGCTAAGACACTGGGCTGGGGGAGGGGGAGCCGTCCCTTCCCACCATGATAAACATCCCCATTAACTGTTCATGGTTTTACACTAAAAATACAGGTAACACGTTGAATGGTCTTAGCAATTACAGGTGATCATTGCATTGATTCATTACTTTATCAGGGGTTACAAAATGGTAATTTTCAATTCTGTCATTCTTCTGAAATTGTATAATATGGAGAGCTTCAATTATTTGGTTATTCTAAATTGCAGGTTGTATAGGAAAGGCAGGATAAATGATTCTTTTTCTTTTCAGAATGATGAGTTGGGCCCTTGAGACTTGCAGAGGTGACTCACACACACGCATTTTTATAAGTTTGGTGGGTTTTGGTCCATTGTGGTCACTCTTCATGATGTGCAGAATGTCTTGTCGTTGCCTAGTAGGGGCCCCTAAGATTGGCCTCTGGGCTCTCGTACTGTGACCCCAGCGTGTTCCGGAAGCTTTCTCACCTTCTGCCAGGGCAGATGTGCCAGACCTGGATCCATCCACCTCTCCAGGGAACTTTGGTTCCTTTTAGTGGGAAATGGCATTTTAAGACCACACTCCGGGTGACTGGAGGACTCACTGGTCTTTTACGAGGACAGAAATAATTTTTTTTCAAGAAGGGAAAAAATTTCATGAATTTATATTGATGTTTCCAATTCAAATGTAAGATTACATGGTTTTTTTTCCTTCTTTTGCTTTAGACCGGTATCTTTTTTTCTTATGCTTGGGAAAATTTTACTTCTTCATGATTTTAAAATAATGCCTTATTTGCTTTTTATCCTGTAATGTACCTATAACGAATTTCAAAATAACTATGCCAGTAATACTGTTAGTATCAACCTCCTGTTGACTGACCTTTGGGCCGTGTCACACCTTTTGCTACCGCTGCGGTAAATAACGTGTATATTTCATACTTTCGCCAGTTTCATTTAGGGATAGATTTCCTCAAAATGGGTTGGCTAGGTGAAAGAGTAAATGCATACATAATTTTCCTAGATAGTGCCAAATTTCCCTTCGTGTGGGTATACCATTTGTATTCCACTGACAACATATGAGAGGGCCATTGCCTCACAGCCTCACCGGTGGACTGTGGCATCAGAGTTGGAGATTTCCACCCATCTGATAGGCAAGAAATTGGTGTCTTGTGATTTTGGCATGCGTTCTCTTAGTAGGAGCAAAGCTGAGTTTGCTAGGGGATTCTGTGTGCATTTTAAAGGGTCATTGCATTTTTCCTTTGAACCGTCTTTATATCTTTTGTCCGTTTTTCTAGAAAGTTTTGGTATTTCCTATCTCAACTTTTAGAAACTCTTTATGTTAAGGATATTAGCCTTTTTTTGTGATATTACTTACAACTGTTTTCCCCATTATGTTACATATGTTTTTATTTTTTTTTTAAGGCATGCATTTTTATTTTATTAGGGTTGTGTTTATCAATTTTTTCCCCTAACTAACTTCTGGATTTTTGAATCATAGGAACATTTTCCCCATTCTTGGATTTACAAAGCAATTTATGTTTTCTTTATGCATCAGTACCATAATATTTAAATTTTATAACCTGTATATTTTAATAGTGTTCTCCTTTTTTAGGTTTTCCTTGGGAGTTCTTATTTATTCTTTAATATGAACTTTGTAATTATATAACTCCAGGAAAAAATATTAGATGGTCCCTTTTATTACAGTTGCATTAAATGTCTAAATTAACTTAGGTCACCATTGATATCTTTATGATGTTGAGTTTTCCAAGAACACATATGAATTTCCATTTAAGCTTACTGTTACGTCTTTCATGAGTATTTCATAGTTTTCCAACTAGAGGCTTTAACATCTTAAGTTTATGGGTACGTTGTTGGTTTTTTGTGGTTTTGTTTGGTGAAATGAAGTATTCTCTGTTACTATCTTTTCATTGGATATCATATGTATAAAGTGTGTTAATTTTATATCTTACTGTTTTCTTGTAGTTTTTTCTTTGATGCTTTTGGGTCTTCCAGATATACAATTGTCTTTTACAGGAGAGAATTTTAGAAACTTTAAAAACGTTGTTTTACCAGGTTTGGTGGCTCATGCCTGTAATCCCAGCACTTTGGGAGGATCGCTTGAGGGCAGGAGTTCAAGACCAGCCTAGGCAGCATATTCAGACACCCTGTCTCAAGGATCTATCTAGTGCTACCATGCTACTTTATCAATTAAAATAGTTTTTAGCCTTGAGTGGGGGGAGGAGGGTGTGCGTGTGTGTGATACCATGTTGAGAAAATACCTATAAATTCCTACTTATGTTTTTTTCGTTAATGTGTGTTGAATTTTATCTGTGTTTTTTTTCATCAAAGGTGATAAGCCTATAGAGAAAACACCTATGATCAATGTGATGAATTACATCCATGAATTAAACCTTTAATGGATTTTCTAATCTTACCCACCTTTGCATAGGCTAGAATTGGTCACGATATATTATCTTTTAATGTAACTAGATTCTGTTTGGTCAATAATTTTCCCCTTTTTTGTGCTCTCTTTGTAAGATTTTGGTGTCAGTGTTCTGGTTTATAAAAATAATTTGAAAATCAATAAAACTCATAGCTAACCTTAAATGGAGAAAGCACAAACACGCAAATAAAAACAAAAAATGGGAGCTGGGCATGGTGGCACATGCCTGTAAATCCCAGCACTTCAGGAGGCTGAGGGTTGCTTGAGGCCAAGATTTTGAGACCAGTTAGACCTCATCTCTTTGTTACAATTTGTTACAAACAATTGTAAAATTAGTTACTCAGGAGGCTGAGGCAGGAGGATCACTTGAGTTCAGGGTTACAATGAGCTATGATTGGGCCACTGCAGTCCAGCCTGGGTGACACAGCAAGATCCTGTCTCTAAAAAGTAAAAAATAAAATGGTATCTTTTATTGGCAACTTACTTGGCATACTCTCCTTGACATGTACTTTCCATATACTGTCTTTTTTCCATTTTTGTTATATTGCCAGCACATAATACTGACATACTGTTCTGTCACATCTCATTTAGTCTTACACTTAAATATTTTTACCTTTTTTTTTGAGACAGAGTCTCACTCTGTAGCCTAGGCTAGAGTGCTGTGGCATCAGCCTAGCTCACAGCAACCTCAAACTCCAACGATCCTCCTGCCTCAGCCTCCCGAGTAGCTGGGACTACAGGCATGCACCACCATGCCCGGCTAATTTTTTGTATACATATTTTTAGTTGGCCAATTTCTTTCTATTTATAGTAGAGGCAGGGTCTCATTCTTACTCAGGCTGGTTTCCAACTCCTGACCTCGAGCGATCCTCCTGCCTCGGCCTCCCAGAGTGCTGGGATGACAGGCGTGAGCCACCGCGCCCGGCCTGCCTTACTGGTTTCTGAAGCGGATTCTCTGGGTGATCCCTCAGGAGGTTCTCACATAATAACATATGCCTCAAGTTTTTCAGAACAGTAACTGCCTGACTTTGTGTATAAAATCTTTGGCTTAGATTTTCTTTCTCTGAAATGTTAAATATGTTCCACTGTCTTGTGGCATGAGTGTTGGTGGTGGAGTCTGATGCCGATGTTATTTTCTTTATAAAAGTGAATTATGGGTGGAGGTAGGGACAGGAAAAGGGGAGATGCCAAAGCATTTTTTTTTTTTTTGAGACACAGTCACGCTTTGTTGCCCAGGCTAGAGCGAGTGCCGTGGTGTCAGCCTAGCTCACAGCAACCTCAAACTCCTGGGCTCAAGCGATCCTCCTGCCTCAGCCTCCCAGGTAGCTGGGACTACAGGCATGCGCCACCATGCCCGGCTAATTTTTTCTATATATATTAGTTGGCTAATTTCTATTTATAGTAGAGACGAGGTCTCGCTCTTGCTCAGGCTGGTTTCGAACTCCTGACCTCGAGCAATCCGCCCGCCTCGGCGCAAAGCATTTTTTTAAAGCTCTGTAATTTTATCACAATATGTTTTTATTGTCTATTCTAACTCACATTTCCCAGTTACGTTGTGTGCCTTTTGCTATTTTGGTTCAAGCCCTACTCCCCATTTTCCCTCCCACCCCAGAAATATTTCTTGAATTGCTTTTTAAAATTCCATTACTTTTATTTTCTTCTTAAGGAACTCCACTATACATGTATTAGAGGGATTTTTTTTCTCTTCCTTCCTGCAGGGCCTGTTTCCTGGCATGTTTCTTTGCGCTCATGCTCCTTCTTTTCCTTCTTGCTTATTACTCTTCATTGCTGAAATGTTTTCCCCTACAGTGACGTGTTGAAATACTGACACCCCGTGTGGGCTCCAGTGTGAGATCCGTCTTCCCAGGCTGCGCCGCGTTTCTGCCGCGTTCTGTGTGGTTTCTCCTGGAGGGGAGTTTCTGGGACTGTCCAGGGCTTGGCTTAGGCCACTGCAGCACTGGCCCCGCTTCCAGTGTGGGGGGGGGGGTCCTCAGATCTTGCTGCTGAGGGTCTCAGCCTGGGTCCTCTAAGTGCTGAGAGTCTGGAGTTTGCGGTGAGACCGCTTTTCCTCGTTTTATGGTGAAGATGGGGGCTGTAGGGCTTTTCCTTTGCTATCCTAGTGGCTCTGGCTGTTTTTATCACGAATTTTGTGCCTATTAACAGTCTATACTACCAGCGGGATCTTGCCTGCGAGGTGGCCTGACTGAGGCGGAGCTGCCAGACCCTGGGCAGGCTGCTCCATGGCTGACTCCAGAGACGGGGGGTGGTCAGGATACAGGGCCAGAAAGACCACTAGACCAATTTCTGAGACAAAATCCTAACGCTAAAGACGTTATCCTTATTCTTGTCCTGGTTACTGAAGCCCTCAGTCTGCCTCACTCTTTCTTGTGTGTCTGTAACTATCTGAATTAAACAGCACAGTTAAAAAAAAAAAGCCCCTTTCACAGGAAAAGTGAAATAAATTCTCCCTCCTCCTCACTGGTATAGAGACCCGCACCAGCCGTGCAGGGAGCCAGAACAGATGGCAAGTGTGGACTGTTAGTGCTGACCGCACAGGATTGGGCTCAGGGCTGGAGTTCAGAAGTCCCCACCACTCCACGCAGAGTACGTGTAAGAGATACCACAATTGTCAGAACTAGACCCTTAGAGAGACAGGCCGCAGGTACTCTTGATAACTTATAAAGTATAAACTCCAATCTAAAATATGATATGCAAGTAAAGAGTCAGACTGGACACAGAAAGCACGCCCCTAGTATTTGAAATAGTTACCTCTAATTCATTTTTTTTTTTTTTTTTTGAGACAGAGTCTCGCTCTGTTGCCCAGGCTAGAGTGGTGAGTGCCGTGGCATCAGCCTAGCTCACAGCAACCTCAAACTCCTGGGCTCAAGCAATCCTTCTGCCTTAGCCTCCCGGGGTAGCTGGGACTACAGGCATGCGCCACCATGCCCGGCTAATTTTTTTAATATATTTTTAGTTGTCCAATTAATTTCTATTTTTAGTAGAGACGGGGTCTCGCTCTTGTTCAGGCTGGTTTCCAACTCCTGACCTTGAGCGATCCCTCCCGCCTTGGCCTCCCAGAGTGCTAGGATTACAGGTGTGAGCCACCGCACCCGGCCTTCTAATTCATTTTTAAAAACCACAGCCACCTGTGACTCTTGGGCCTCTAAACTTACCTGGATGGGCCTCTCCAGTTCTTTCCTCGTGAACCTCATCACAACGAGTCCTAGAACCGTCAGGCCGTAAAAGAGCCACGAAGCAAAACTGAAATAATTGACTAGCGAGTTTATGTCACCAGGGATGATATAAATGATCGCTATGATACCCTGATGATAGAAAGAAGAGTAAATTTTTAGTACATAAAAACATTAGTCTTCTGTAAAGTGATAAGAATGAACACTGTATCATGAAAGGAACTTCCTGTGTATCCCGTTATAGTTGAGGTTAAACTCAACTGTGGCTATGATGCCTGTCCTCCTTGAAGCCAGACAGAAAAGACTTGGAAAATTTTTGAATGTTGAAGTTGTGATTTTAAGCAAGGAAAAACCAAAATGTGTAGGTACATTGCACCAGCTTCATAGTTATGAATTTCCTTTTCAGACAGTTTCCGTCGTGGGCAAAGGCCCTGGACTATGAAACTCAAGTCTCATTTTAACCTGCGTTAGTCACTCGGCCCTGTCCTGCCACTGGTCTCCAGGGCGAGCGGGTTGATGAGGGCCACTGGTTCTCCTTTCCCTGGGGCTGGGGATGGGTTTTGGCCCCGAGGCTAAGAACGGTCTCTCGGAGCCCAGAAAAGCTGTGCGCAACCAACGACCATCCACTGAGAAGCGCCAGTCGGAAAATCCCGTGGCTTCCAAATCATTAGTCCACAATGAGAGGCTGCTGTCAGTGACCGCCTGGTAAAACGCCTTATTCGCCCTCCCTGTAAGCGAGGGGGCCCAGAAGACCCTCTGGTTAACCTCAGAGGGTTGTCTTATGTGGATAAATTTAGAAAAAGCAGCAGCTGGATAGCTGTTTGGATGGTCTTGGGTTCTTGTTATGTCTGTTTCACGTCAAGGACTAAGGGAATCTGGGTCCTCTGAAAACCACAGGGCTTGGCAGGACAGGTGTACGTCACCGTGCTAACGGAGGGGCCCCGCGCCTTTCAGGCCGGTGACGCCGTGGCGGGATTCGCACTCACGTGAAAGATGATGGCGGGGGCTGGGGTCAGGCGCTTGACGCTGATGTAGGAGAGCACCTTGAGCATGTGGCCTTCCCGGCCTGCGACGTAGATGAGTCTGGAAGGACACAGACAGAGGAAGTTGGCCGTGTGCAGATGACCTGGAGAGACACCTGCTCTGAGTCCCGAAAGTTATGCAAGAATTACTGTCAGAAGTAGGCCAGGGCCAGTGGACCCCAGTTCCTGGAGTGCCCGACGGAAGGGGTTGTACAGTTGCAAAGGGTGAGCGTTACGGTATTTGTACCTCAATAGAGCTATTAAAATTGTGTTTTATATACAAGCAACGAACTATCAGAAACTGAAATTTAAAAAATAATTTCAAATGCCCTTTATAATAGCATGAAAAGATATGAACTACTTTGGAATGAATCTGCCAAAGATGTGCAAGAACTGTATACGAAAATCTACTCAAAAACACTTGTGAAAAAATACAAGAGCTAAATGGTCCACCCATGGGTTGGAAGTCCCAGTACTTTGAGGATGTCATTCCTCCCCAGATTGATCTATAGATTCAACACAAAACCCTCCGAGCCTTTTTTATAGAAACTGACAAGCTGATTCTAGCATTCATATAGAAATAGGAAAACTGGCCATCCATATGCAGAAGAATGAAGTTGGGCCCTTAGCCACTTACACAACTCAAAGTAGATTAAATACTTAAATCTAAGACCTAAACTGTAAAAAAGAAACGCTACGTGACATTGATCTGGATGGATGGTTTCTTGCCTATGACTCCAAAAGCACAGGCAACAGAATCAAAAATAGACAGATGGTTTCACATCAAACTAAAAGGCTTCTGCATAGCAAAGGAAACAGGGTGAAGAGACACCCCCAGGTTGGGAGAAAATATTTGTAAATCATTTATCAGATGAGGGGGTTTATATCTAAAATACAGAAGGAACTCAAACTACTCAATAACAAAACCACCCCATTAAAAAATGGGGAAAGTACTTGAGTAGACATTTCTCACAAGACGACGCCCAAAAGACCAACACACACGTGAAACAGCGTCCCGTGTCACTAGCCACCAGGGAAACGCAAACACGAACCACAACAAGGCGTCGCCCCACACCTGCTAAAATGGCTGTGATCGGAAGAACAAAAGGCGCGCGTCCGCAAGAACGTGGAGAGAAGGGAGCCCTGTCACACCGTTGGTGGGGTGCTGATCGGCGTAGCCGTTTGGGAAGACTGTACAGAGGTTCCTTAGCTAAGACTGTTAACAGATCCACCTCCTGATCCAGCAGCCCCACTTCCAGGTATAGAATTGAAACCAGGGTCAGACGTCCACGCTGCCCTGGTCACTGCAGTGGCCGAGCCGTGGAAACAACACGAGTGGACAGAAACAATGTGCCACGTGTACACAATGGGATGCTATTCAGCCTTTTAAAAGAATGAAATTCTGTCATCTTCTGAGTGGATCAATCTAGACATTATGCTGAATGAAAGATAAGCCAAACACAAGTATCACATGGTCTCATAGGAGAGATCTGAAGATTTGAACTCACAGTAGTAGAGAGTAGAACGTTGGTTACCAGAGGCTGAAGGAGGGAGGGGGGAGGTGTCAGTCAAAAGGTATAGAATTTCAGGTAGGAGGAATAAGGTCTGGTGATCTGTCGTGCAGTAAGATGACTAGTTAATGTATTTCAAAATTGCTGAAAGAGTGGATTTTTAATGTTTTTACTACCAAAAGTATATGAAGTGATGGATATATTAGTCTGAATTGCTCATTCCACAGTGTACACCATAAATATATGCAATTGTAAATTAAAAATAAAATTTAAAAAAATGCCAAAATCTCGAATAGCCAAAACACTTTTGAAAATGAACGTGGAGGGCTGGCACCACATGCTGTCTGATACAGCTTTGGAAGAATGATTTTGTGGTATGCATTTCATTTTTTACAGTGTACAGTCTTTGGCAGTTTGACTCGCAAATGTATCCATCTGGAACACCAGACAGCTGAGCCACGACCCGTGCGTGTTCAAGGATGTTCACTGCAGTGGTGTTTATGTGAACAACCCACACCAGCCCGTGAGCGGCGGATTGAGCACGCTGCATAGACAGCGGACCAGAACTCCGGCTGGGGCTGGGGGCTGGCGCCCCGCCTGTCTGTGAATACAGTCTGCTGGGGCGTACCCGGGGCCGTGCACGTCTCTGCCGCCAAGGCAGACTCGCGTGGCCCGCAAGCCTGAAACGCTTACGGTCTGGCCCTTTAAGGGGAAGTTGGCCATTCCTGGTCTGGCGTGCACGGGTGGCCGTGAGATGTTCGGGAGGTGTATCGGGTGGAATGAACAGGGGAGCCGGCACCAGCGTCGCGTCCAGTCCCAGAGCGCGAGCTCGTCCCTGCGTTCCGGCCACGTCCCTTCTCCGCGCTTGCAGGTTCCCTGCTCGTGCCCTGGGGTCTCCCCCCAGCGTGGGCCGGCCTTGCTGCCCCTGCCCACCCCGCGAGTGACCGCCCGGGTCCCTACCTGCCCGCGGTGAAGCAGCTCCCGTTGGCAGCACCGAGGGTGGAAAAGGCCACGAAGAGTGGAACGACCCACGAGGCTGGGTAGAGAACACGGTCCCCGAACGTCTGAGGAGGGAACGAGACGGAGCTGAGGGTCTGTCACGCTCTCTAGGAGCCACTGGTCCAAAAACGGTGCTCCGCCCAGCGACCGGGGGACCCTGCCCGCTGGGCACAGCCTCCCAGACGCCCCGCTGGAGCGGGAGGTGGGGACGCTCGGGAAGGAGCAGCGGTGCCTTGTCTCTGCAGAGCACCTCAGGACCTTTGGGTGGTGGCGGAAATTGCACGTCCAGCCCCTTGGCACAGTTCTCGGTCCCTCCTGCGTCCGTCCAGCACCCCGGCCTCACTGGCCTCCACCCTTGCCACAACACCCTGCACCTCCCCGCTCTGTCACCTCGTACCTGCTTTCAACCCCAGCTCGTAGGTCCCTCCCACGTCTGTCCCCTCCCGTCCTTTCTTCCTTCCTTAGCAGGCTTAAGTGCACGAGCTGTTGCTATGACAACTTCACAACTCCTTCACGCTCCTTCTGCCCAGACCCCAGCCCTGGCGGGTCAGCCCCGTCCACTCTCAGCTCCTGGCCGATGCCCCCCCCCCCCCGTGCCTGTGTGGGAACCTCTACTTGGCGCGGACGCCCCGTCTGACCCCTTCCCACGAGCCACCCCCCTCCGGCAGCAACACCCGGGCGCTCACCACGGCCACGGCCTGGGACTGCAGGAGCTCGGTGGGCGTCATGGCGGTGAAGTAGGAGACGTTCATGAGGATGTAGCACACGGTCACCAGGGGGATCCCGATGACGATCGCCAGGGGCAGGTTTCTGGACGGGGCAGGGAGCAGAGCCCGGGGTCAGGCCAGGGCACCCGAGGGAGGCTCGTGCGGGTGTTGCTCCGTCCTCCCGCCCTTCCGTGGGGTGGGGTCACGGATGCCCTCCCTGAGGTCTTCCCCGGCAGGGGTGTGTGTTGGCGGAGCCCCAGCAGGGACATGGGACACTCTCGAAGGATAATTCTCCCTCTCGTAGACCCTAGAGCAGTAAAACTGAATTGCTGATGAAGCAGAGTAAGCCAGAGACAAAGGAAGTTAGAGTCCTTCCTTCCTTCCTTCCTCTTGGCGACCATCCCATCGCCTGGAACAAAACCAGACTCCAACGAGCACACAAGGACCGTCCCGTCTGGACGAGGGTCGTGGACGAACGGGAGGAGGCAGCTCTGCATTTCGCCTGGAGAAACGTGTCCCTGTCCCCCGCCCGGCTCGGCTCTTACCTGTAAGGGTTTTTGAGTTCTTCTGTGATATAGTTGAGTTGGTTCCTGGAGAAGGAAAAGTCAACGTGAGTGACTTTCAACCTCCCTGGATTTGGAGACTGTGGAACACACACTAACAAATGTCAGCCTCATTTAAGATTCCCCACTGTAAGGAGAATTCTGCAGGACTCCAGGCTAGTTTCTTTCCGGGAAGGCTCTGGTGCGGGTCTCGGCAGGACCCGGGGCCCTGCTAGCACATCTGTCCAGCGGTCAAGTCTTTGCCCTCCGTGAGAGTCGCATGCATTTGCAAGAACAACTGGGAGTAGGGGGTCCCCAGGGGGCTTTGAAAGCATAAGAGCTTCTTTGTCTGAAAAAGAAACAAAACCTACAATTGCTTTGCCGAGGGGGGGAAGACCAGCGTCAGGGAGGGCCACGCTCCGTCCTTGAAGAACATGAACGGCACTCCACCGACTATACCCGGCGGTTCCGGGGTTTGAGCAGAAGTTCTACTGAACGTCCTTCCCTGGCCAAGACCTCGGCGGCCCCGGCTGCCTCTGTTGGACTGGCCCTACGTCTGCCCGGTGAGAATCCTGCACAGGGTCAACTCCCGCCCACGGGGACACCGTCACGGGGCAGGGGCGGGTGTCTCAGCGTCCCAGGGAGACTGAAGGGTGAGGGTCGGGCGCTCCACAAAAGGGAAACGTGAAGGTGAATTTCAGGGTCACCGGACACTGGAAGGGGGAGTCGTCCGTTGCTCTCCACGACGGCCGAGGTTGCGCCAGCCTAAAGGAACCAGCCCCTGACCCGGGACCCCGCAGGGCGCCTCACCATCCGTCGTAGGCCCAGAGCCCGTTGTAAAACGCCAGACTGATGGCGCCCACGGACACATCCGCTCCCTCGAAAGAATTTTCAAAGTTCTTGGTGTTTCCTGTAACGAAGCCAGAGTGCACGGCGGGCGTGAGCCCGTGGGATTTTCTGCACATCTCCCGGTGGAGGCAGGGAACAGCTCACGGCCTCGGGTTAGCAGACTAACTCTGAAGAGTCGGGGCGCCGCAGACGTTGTGCTAGGCCCCCTCAGCGAGAGGTTTACCGGGCAGAGTATGCCGGGCGCCCGCCCGCCCGCCGCGCTCACCTTGGGCCAGGAGGACGAACCCGCCGATGATGATGACGGCCACGATCACCAGCTTGGCCGCCGTGAAGACGTTCTGCACCAGGCTGCCCAGCCGCACGCTCAGCGAGTTCACGATCACGATGAACACTGCGGGGTCGGGGCGGGCGACATCCTGCGTGGGTGGTTGGCAGCGGGGCCCGGAAAGTGTCCTTTCCACCGCCACCGCCCCGCCACCCCGAGCTGAATGCTGGGAGGGCAGAGCCAAAGCAGGGGTCACGCCGGGGCTGTCTTGGGGGGCGCAAACCGCAGGACAGCTGGTCCCTGCAGCTCAGACAGGCCCAGGGGGCCTCTCTGCACGGGGCACCTGCAGGGGCCCCAAAGGCCAGCGCCTTGTGCCAACTCGGCCTCTTTCTGGGCGGAGAGGAGCCGAGCCCAGCGCCCCCTCCCCGCCCCGGACGTCACCCGCGCCAGGTCTTCCCTGGCCCCTGCCCCGGGTGTCAGGCTTGGGCACTCACGGATGGCGGCAGCGCCCAGGCACTTGACCACGACGGTGGGCGGCTTGCAGCCCGAGTAGAAGGGCGCGGAGACGTACTCGGAGAAGGTGAGGCAGATGATGGCGAAGGACGAGGGCTTGATGACGATCAGGCTGGTCCAGGAGAAGAGGTAGGCGGGGATGGGGCCGTAGGCCTCCATGAGGTACGGGTACTCGCCCCCCGACTTGGTGATCATCGTGCCCAGCTCCGCGTAGCACAGAGCGCCTGGAACACACAGCGGCACCCCACTGCCCGCCTGAGCGGCTGCCCTCGTGCCGGGCCCTTCCTCCCACCGCAGTCCTCTCGTCGATGGCCCTGTGTTCTGGCCAGCGGACATTTAGTCGCACTTAGTTGCCACACGTGCATGGAGAGGGCAGCCGGCAGCAGCAGGGACCCTTATGTTACCCGTGCCCACATTCGACAGGGAGGAACCCCCCCTCCCCCGGGCAGCAGCGGCTCCGTTACCCAGCGTCGCGAGCACCCCGCAGACAGCCCAGATGATGAGACAAGGCCCCACGGCCTCCGTGTTGCTGAGCACGGACTTCGGGGAGATGAAGATGCCGGAGCCGATGATGGTGCCCACGATGATGGAGATGCCGCTGATCAGCCCCACCTCGGGAGCGGAGGGGGAGGGGTGTCAGGGCCACTACCCGGACCCAGTGGCACCCTCTCCACCCCGCTCAGGGACAGCCGGGGCAGCCCCAGCTGAACCCCACGGCCCAGGCACTTCCGCCCGGTGTTCTTGCAGCAGCAACAGAGCCCTGGTCCTGGGGCTTCGCTAATCCATCAGTTCTCGTGGCAGCCCCATGCATGGGGTGTGCCACGCCACCCCATCTCACAGAGGAGAGGACAGGCACAGGAAGGGCAAGTCGCTGCCCATGGTTACACAGCTGGGGGGGACCTGGCTCAGGCTCCACGTGCCTCACCACGGCCCTCGTGCGCCCAGCGGAAAGGCTGACTGGGCACATCAGCCACCAGCGAGAAAGGCCTGAGTGCACCCCATGGCCGGGCAGAGGAGATGGGAGTCGCCAAAGCAAAGTGAAGTCAAGTCTCCTGGCTGGGCGCGGTGGCTCATGGCTGTAATCCCAGCACTCTGGGAGGCCGAGGCAGGCAGATTGCTCAAGGTCAGGAGTTCCAAACCAGCCTGAGCAAGAGCAAGACGCCATCTCTACTAAAATTAGAAGTCAATCGGCCAACTAAAAATATATAGAAAAAATGAGCCGGCGCATGCCTGTGGTCCCAGCTACTCGGGAGGCTGAGGCAGGAGGATCGCTTGAGCCCAGGAGTCTGAGGTTGCTGTGAGCGAGGCTGACGCCACGGCACTCACTCTAGCCTGGGCAACAGAGTGAGACTCTGTCTCAAAAAAAGAAAAAAGAAAAGAAAAGAAAGCACATGGGGGTGAGAACGGAGGCCGCCCGAGCCAGAAACACTCGGGGCCTCCCCGAGAGCTTCCTTTGGTGCCACTGTCCGGGGCGTGGGCTTTCTAAGAACAGAGCCCTGCGAGGGCGCGCTCGGCGTGCTGACCAAGAACAGGCGACGCTGATCCGCAGCGCTGGGAATTCACGGCTGGGGCGAGGGGGAGATCTCTGAGTGATACGTTTGCCAAAACTAATCCAACTGCGCGCTAAAAATCTGCATATTTCACTGTACGCAAATTATACACCCATCAAGGGGGAAAAATACTTTTTTGAAAGGAGGAAATAAAAGCATCAGCCCTGAGAAGCTGCCCAGGCCAGACGTCTAGAGCAGGTTTCCAACACCTGTGCTCGCTACCTGGGCAGAGGCTGCACTCATGGCCACACCCCAGGGGACCTGGGGGGATCCCCGCGGCGGGCTGGCCACCCGGGTGACCTGGCGCACACGTGGGGGCGGGGGCTGCATGAGCCCCCATTCTGGCCGCAGGGCCAGGGTGCAAGGCCCAGCCTGCTGCCTCTCCAGCCCTGCCCAGGCTGAGGCCCTCCGCCATCCCGCCTCCGGGTCCAGCTGAGGTCTGCATGGCCCCGGAGCCCCCTGGGGACTTCTCAGCGGCTCTGTGTGGCCGGAGCGCCCACCAGGTTTCTGAGAGGGCCTTGCTGGGATCAGGCAGGAGACTCCTGGGAACAGATCCCAGGACAGCTCCATCGGGCCGGCCACGCCCTTGTCATGCCCCAAAGCCTCAGTGCCGCCCCTCCTCCAGCCCCCCTGGGCTCCCACCCAGATCTCCGCCCTCCTCCTGCCCTCCAGGTTGGAGCCGTCCTAACCTCACTCCTTCCCCATCCTGCCAGCACAGAAGCCCGGCTGTCCTTCCGTGCCACACCTGCTGCTCCTGCCCACCTGGGACTGGCGAGGCGGGGGGCGCTGAGCTCCCTCCTGCCTCCAAGCCCACCCCCGAAGCCCCCTCCCCTCCCTGCCCTCCTCACGACCTGCCGCCCGGAGCTGTCACATGTGCCATCCACAGCTGCGTCAGCGGCCGTCCCCGAGAGGCCCCTCTAGAACGGGAGGCTCCCCTCGCACTGGCGCCCGCACACACGGGGACAGAGATTTAGCCGAGAAGCTGTGGAAGCGCCGGCCCCTCCGGACCCCGGCCCGGCGCGCACATGGACCCCAAGAGGACGTGCCCAGCTCCCTGGCGTGAGGAAGCGAGGGACGCCCGGAGGACTGCTGGGTTAAGGACGAACTCTGCCACTCAAAGGCCACACCCTTCGCCCTTCGCCAGGGACCAGCCGGGCCGTCCCTGCCACCTGCTGCTTGTCACAGCCCCGCTCTGCCCGGGCAGGCGGCCCTACCTCCTTCTGGAGACTCGTGGTCTTGGGCTCGCTGCTCTCGCCCGACTTGGCGTCCTCTCTCCGCTTCCGCACGCTTGTCTCCCCCATCTCCCACGCGTCCCGGGAGGCTGCGGGCGGGATCCGGACTGAGCGCACGCAGGCCGGGCGGGAACCCGAGCTCCGAGAGGGCTCCGCCGGCCCAAGCGGTCGTCAGTCCCTCGGGGACGGTTTGCTCAGCCCTCAGCCCCGAAGTAAATATGAGTCACCAACATCGTTCAGGCCTCTGGGGACAAAGCCCGCCGTGCTCCCTGCCAAAGCTGAGGTGCTCGTGTGTCCTCCCGGCCAGCTCTTGCTCCTGTCCCTGTCCCTGGGCTACTACCCTCTCCTCACCCTCCCCAGGGGCATGCTTGGAAGTCACTCTATCTCCACGGCTCAAGTCCATTTCTTTCAAAAGCAAAAACAAGTATCTCAAAACGCTCCAGAATACACGTAGGGGCTGGAGCCTGCGGAGGGAGGGAAGGCGCCCCAGAATTCCTTCCCGGACGCAAGCGCCTCTCGCGACAGATCGCGGCACAGGTGGCTTCTCATCGAGGGATGGAAAGAACGGAGGAAACCCGGCTCACAACTGCACTGGGAGACGGCCAGTCCTGCACCCCTTCTCTCCCAGAGCAAACCCCCGCCCGGGTCCCCGCCGGGCCAGCCCTCCCTCCCATCGCCGCCGGCCTTACCTCCGCCCTTGACCTTGCCCAGCCGGAGGAGCCGTCCGCCCGTCTGCGCAGCGGAGCCCCGGCAATGGCCATGTCTTGTGCCCGGCAGCGGAGGAAGCCAGAGGTACAGAGGTCACAAGGGTAATTATTAATCACCATTTTTTCCAAAGCAGTGTAGCTTAGATACCCGACACAAAAAGGGGAGGCTCAGGCGGGCCAGTTTCTCGCCAAAAATACTTTTGTTCTGTTCCTTTGTGTCTAGATCAATGTCTTAAAGAAAAAAAAAAAAGCAAACAGATTGGTGCAAATCAGCTACATCCTGCAAGGAGAAGTCTTCTCGAAAGAATGGAAATAATGCTGTTAAGAGATAAAAATCTCTGGGAATCAGAGGAGATAAACTTTGGAGCCAACCCTTTGAGTTCCTTAATGGGCTGCATTTACAGCTCGAGTCAGACTGTGCAAACAGCCCCGGAGGTGGCTCAGATGTTTTCCTCCGCAGCCTGCCTTCCACAGGCAGCCCGCCTCTTCCCTTAGCCAGTGGCTGCGCCCCGAACCAGGGGGGACCCCGAGAGCTCGGCTCCATGCAGGCCCGCCCCGTCCTCACTGCAGCTCGGGCCACACGCCCGCCAGGTTGGGCCCTGGTGCCGTCCAAGTCCCTGGTCCCACGTGCACCGGGCTGAAGAGTGGAAGAGGGCCACGCAGCGTCATCAGCTCCACACTCTCACTTGCCCGGTGGGGAAACTGAGGCCGAGGGCCAAGAAGCATAGGCTGCAGAGCGCTGGCCCCACCCGGGCTCGGTGGAGCTGGCCCTCTGCCTTGGGGAGGGGGCAGAGGTTCTCCAGCTGTGCTCAGAGGGGGTCAGGGCAGGGCCACCCCTCCCCAGCGAGCAGATAAGGCTCCCCTGGGAAGGAAGTTGCTTATCGGAGGGGCAGGAGGAGGGCAGGGGTGAGGCCTGAAGCACTGTTGCTGCTATCTCCAGCCTCCACTCCTGCGGTTCTGGTTTTGCTTCCGGGTAAACCTGACAGGGTCCCAGGTATCAGGAGGGGACCAAAGGTCGAGTCTCTGGGGTGACATGGGAGCACTTTGGGGCTGGTGACCCCCAGAGAGGGGGCATTGTTCTCAGGGTCACCCCTTAAAACATCAGGAGAACGTGGGCACCCTCACTGTCCCAGAGCCAGGATCCCCATTTAGAAGTTGTCACCTCACCTCTTAGGAGGGCCACACCTGTTGGCCACGCCTGCCGTGCCCAGAGCCCCGAGCAGGGTGCCCGGGTGCTCACCTGCCTTTCCAACGCCGTCACACTCGTATCACAGCACCTGGCCCGTGTGTGTCTGCACACGCCACGCAACTCCTGGGTCACTGAGGGGAGCAGGGTGGGACGGGGACCTCAGTGGACCCAGGCAGCGCTGCAACCCACCCACTAGCCACATGGCCGGGGGTCACTGGGCCTCTCTGCACAATGGGGCCAGTAAGGGCGCCCCCAGGGAACCGTGAGCCTGCAGGTGGGTTACACACTGCACTCGAGCGCCCGTGAACACAGAGCGCCCCGGCCTCCGGCGGTCTGGAACACCCAGATGTGAAGACACTTTGTCAAGTCAGAGACCTCTGCTTCAGTTAGTTTTTGGTTCACGGTGAGCATTTCCTAAAGCCGTGTTTCTCACCCGCAGGGTGAGTATTTGACCAGTTAGCATAGGTTGGTTTTTCTTTTTCTTTTTTTTGAGACAGAGTCTCACTCTGTCGCCCAGGCTAGAGTGAGTGCCGTGGCGTCAGCCTACCTCACAGCAACCTCAAACTCCTGGGCTCAAGCGATCCTCCTGCCTCAGCCTCCCGAGTAGCTGGGACTACAGGCATGCGCCACCATGCCCGGCTCATTTTTTCTATGTATTTCTAGTTGGCCAATTAATTTCTTTCTATTTATAGTAGAGACGAGGTCTTGCTCTTGCTCAGGCTGGCTTCAAACTCCTGACCTCGAGCAATCCGCCCCCCTTGGCCTCCCAGAGTGCTGGGATGACAGGCTTGAGCCACCGCGCCGGGACGGGTTGGGTTTTGTTCATGGAAAACAACACAGATTTGATTTAAAAGCCAAGAATTTCCCCAGTATTTCAGGACTGAAGCCGTCCTCACGGGGTTAACAGGCGTTACTATACGTGCTGGGTTCCGGGCAGAAATCTCGCTGTCATTAAGCATTAATCGGTGCACTTTGGCCGACCTCCCTGTGACCGGTGGTCACGGCGCTGGACACGGACAATCAGCAACCCCATTGTCCTGCAGACGGAATCTCTGACGTGGGAGTCGCAAGGCTCTTGTTTCGGAATTGCTCACGGTGTTTTTCAGATCCCGATTCCAGGGGAAAGGCTGCACGGGCCGGCCTGGAGACCCCTCTCGGAGGAACCTCGTTGGAGGAGAACGCGGTTTCATCATCTCCACGTCTTGTCCCGAGATGTCACCCGACCAGTGATCCCACTGCACGCCCAAACTCTTTAAAATCCCCAGACTCCCCAGGGAGGTGCGGTTGAGGTTTCCTTCTGTCTCCTCCTTGTACGATGGCCCTATGACTACACCTCTCTGCTGCACCCCGGTGTCTCGGTGTGTCGGCTGCCGCCTGCATCTGCATCTGCATCCTGCATCGGGCATTCTGCATCGGGGCAAGAAACCTGCTAGGGTTACCAGACCTTCGGCTCACTGTGGAGCCTGCTCTTCTGCAGCCAATTCCCTCTTGCAGTTAATCTCCTAGGAACCTTCATACCACTCCATTATTAAGTTTCTGCTAAACCTCTTGACCTTCATTTTCTTTTTTTTTTTTTTTTTTTTTGAGACAGAGTCTCACTCTGTTGCCTGGGATAGAGTGCTGTGGCATCAGCCTAGCTCCCAGCAACCTCAGACTCCTGGGCTCAGGTGATCCTCCTGCCTCAGGCTCCCGAGTAGCTGGGACTACAGGCAAGCAAAGCACCACCACGCCCGGCTACTTTTTTCTATATATATTTTTAGTTGGCCAATTAATTTCTTACTATTTTTAGTAGAGACGAGGTCTCGCTCTTGCTCAGGCTGGTCTCGAACTCTTGACCTTGAGCGATCCTCCCACATCAGCCTCCCAGAGTGCTAGGATTACAGGCGTGAGCCACCTCGCCCGGCCTTGACCTTCACTTTCAAACTGTGCTTTTTCTGATTGCAAAGGTGCTCTTGCAGCGTAAAGATATCAATGACATCTACATTTTATCTTACATTTGGGACATATTTAGTTCCTGCTGGGGAGGGGGAGGCGGCTTCCTTCCGCCCTTCTGGGTTCTTCGCTTGGGCTACGAATTAAAGCGGCACGAGACAGATGAACGGGAGAAAAACCGTTTTGATTGTGTGCACGAGGATGGGAGTCCCACAAAACTTGGAGGGCCGGAGGATTGACACTTATGTAGTAGTGTCCTGAACCACAGAAAAGAACAGGGCGCGCGGGCGTCTGTGGGTGGCGGAGACAAGCTATAGGAGGCTGCGGGGAGGAAACGTGTGGCGAATAAAGACTGTCTTCTCGTGCAGATGAAAAGCCAGGTAACCGAGCAGCCCTCTTCCTGACTTACTGATGAAGATTCCCTTCCGACACATCCATTTCTTTTACAAAAGGGCAGCTTTCCGGGGCTACTGCTGTGTCTACAGTTCCTCAGCGTAAGCAGCTCAAAATATGCCAAGGTCTGTTCTGGGGTGGCGCACCTGGTCTCCACAGTCATTTGGGGGTGGCACGTCCCGCACCCCGACATTCCCTTCCCCCGCGATGGTTTGCAAAGCACCTTCCTCGCCGCAAAGGCAGGGTCTCCGGCAAACATCCAGGCAAAAGCTGGATCTTCCTTGACCGCTTAAAACTTGATCCAGGCCGAGCGAGGTGGCTCACGCCTGTCATCCCAGCACTCTGGGAGGCCGAGGCGGGTTGCTCAAGGTCGGGAGTTCGAAACCAGCCTGAACAAGAGCGAGACCCCATCTCTACTATAAAAAGAAACAAATTAATTGGCCAACTAATATATATAGAAAAAGTTAGCCGGGCATGGTGACGCATGCCTGTAGTCCCAGCTACTCGGGAGGCTGAGGCAGGAGGATCGCTTGAGCCCAGGAGTTTGAGGTTGCTGAGAGCTAGGCTGACGCCACGGCACTCACTCTAGCCTGGGCAACAAAGTGAGACTCTGTCTCAAAAAAAAAAAAAAAAAAACTTGCTCCAGACCCACCTTCGAGTCTCCAAGCTTTTCCCTGTGCAATCAGCTCTCTCAGTCCTATCTTCCTTTCCAGTAGTTTGGGGCTTGGGGGAGGGGCATCCCGAAGACAGACAGGACGGGTATAACCCGATGTGAGAGGTGTTCCCTGACCCACCCCAATTCCAGGCACAGCTCGGGGTGAGTCAGCAGCGTGTGCAAGGACTCACAGCCTGGCCATAAAGCAGCTAGCAAGGACAGCAAATTTCAAGACTTATCTTAGAACAATCTAGACCTATATATATCTAAGAACCACTGGAATAGCATAATTCTGCCCCTGCCCTTTGTTCATCTTTTTTTTTTTTTTTTTTTGACAGAGTCTCACTCTGTTGCCCGGGCTAGAGTGAGTGCCATGGAGTCAGCCTCGCTCACAGCAACCTCAAACTCCTGGGATCAAATGATCCTCCTGCCTCAGCCTCCCGAGTAGCTGGGACTACAGGCATGCGCCACCATGCCCGGCTAATTTTTTCCTTTTTTTAGTTGTTTGGCTAATTTCTTTCTATTTGTAGTAGAGATGGGGTTCTCGCTCTTGCTCAGGCTGGTGTTCATCGTTTTTATGTGTCCCAAGTAACACAGTTTTTCACAGATAGCCTGCGTGGGGAAACCAGCTACATTTCAGAGTCGCATCACTCTTTCTCCTAAAACACGACTCCTTCCCATCCTGCTCCCTAAACCCACACCCGAAACTCATCACTGTTCACTGCTGTCGCCCCCTCCTCACCCGCGGCGGTCACACGGGGTGAGAAGGTGTGGTGTTAGCTGGTGAGGCCGGACAAAGCGTTCCGCGTAATTAAACATCTTCAATGCAGAGCTACGACTTCTGGCAATCTTGTTTCTACCTGCCCAGCAGTCACGACGTGAGGGACCTGCCTCTCCGTGTGTGAAGCTGGGGGGCCACCCACCCACCAGCCAGAGCGCCCGACTTCTCCAGCCCTGGGGGAGGGCTCAGGACCCCAACTCAGGCGAGAGGCCCCCCTTTCCCAGGATCTGTATCCTGAGAGGAGAGGTGCAGGGAAGGGGGACAGTGTCCAACTGCTGAGACCCCCAGGGCGATCCTGGTTTCTGTCCTTCTCAAAACACAGTGTGGCCGGGCGCGGTGGCTCACGCCTGTAACCCTAGCACTCTGGGAGGCCGAGGCGGGCGGATTGCTCCAGGTCAGGAGTTCGAAACCAGGCTGAACAAGAGCGAGACCCCGTCTCTACTATAAATAGAAAGAAATTAATTGGCCAACTGATATGTATATAAAATTAGCCGGGCATGGTGGCACATGCCTGTAGTCCCAGCCACTCGGGAGGCTGAGGCAGGAGGATCGCTAGAGACCAGGAGTTTGAGGTTGCTGTGAGCTAGGCTGACGCCATGGCACTCACTCTAGCCTGGGCAACAAAGTGAGACTCTGTCTCAAAAACAAAACAAAACAAAACAAAAAAAAACACAGTGTGAAAGCCGGGCGTGGTGGCGCGGGCCTGTGGTCCCAGCCACTGGGGAGGCCAAGGCGGGAGGACCCGGTGAGCCCAGGGTTCAAGTCCAGCCTAAGCAATACAGCCAGATTCCATCTCTAAAAAAATAAATAAATACGGGGGGAGCCACCCAGTGTGCAATCCCAAAATATTCCCTTCCTTCCCTTAACATCTCTGTAGTTTCTGTTGCTGCAGCCCACACGTGTGCTCTGCTACACGTGGACCCTTCATTGTCAAAGACTCATTCTTCAATAAAATGCCCAGGACCCTCCGAGCAGGTGCAGCACGGCTACTCGCTCGTCTCTACCCCTTTCCAGCGTGAAGTCTCGTGGCTGGATTGGAAAACAGGGATCGGGCACGGAGCACCCAGCACGGGGCGGGTGTCCTGGCCAGCTCCAGGAAGCTGCCGCGTGGACCCCCCACCTTTGGTCAGCCCAGCCCAGCCCGGGGCCTCACCGACTGCCTTCACGCGGCTGCTGGGGGACCATGTGGCCCCCCCAAAGCAGCCCGGCCACCCTGCAAGCTGCGCACACTCGGGGGACCGCCTTTTCCCTTCCTTCCAACACCCCCGCCCCACCCTCAGAAACAGGTCTGGGGGCCTCGCGTGGACTCTTGGTCCCGAGAAAGCCCGGAGGCCAGACCAGCCAGGACGCTCCCCTGTTCCCCGCCCAACTGCCAGCTCCCCCTGAGCTGCTGACGCCAGCCCGGCAGGGACAAAGCAGGGGCGAGCCAAGGACCTGGCCCCGCCGGCCCTGCCCATGCCGTGGGTTAGTGACGATTCCTCTGCACGGGAGGATTCAAAGTTCAGCCCGGCTCCACCCCAGGAGGCTCAGGCCCTGCCGAGGAAGGGCCACCCGCGCCGGCCCGGGGGGGGCGCTGCTGAGCCCCCAGGCAGGCGGCTGCACCTGTCACTCCCGCGGACGGTGCGGGCGGGTGAGGGGTCCCCGCCCAGGGCCCGCTGAGCTCTGGAAACCAAATGCTAGGGCCCCTCGTCCTTCAACCTCTTGCCCCCCAGAACATCTGCTGGGGACGCCAGGCGCTGGCGACTTGGAGCAACCGGGACCCACGCGGCCAGGTCGGGGGAACCAAAAATGACCCAGACGCTCGGGAAAGACGTCTGGCAATTTCTCTCTTAACTGAGGCGAGGCGCGTCCAACGCAACGTTAACATTTCAGCCATTTTCGAGTGCGCAGCCCGGCGCCACGAAGGACGCCTGCAGCTCTCGCCCCAGAGCCGCGCTGCACGCACGCTCGAGCCCCGGCCCGCTCCCGCGACCGCCCTGGGCTGCCTGCAAACAGCGCCAAAGCCCGCGGGGGTCCTGGGACTCCCCGGGGCAGGTTTTACAGCTGTTTGGCTCTGGCCATCTGCAACTCAACGGGGAGCTTTCCGGGGCCGCACAAAACTGGGCCAGGGAAGAGCCCGACAGTCCCCTGCTCGGATTGGAAACCGAGGGATGAGATGGACGGAGCCTCCCCCCGCAGTGCCAGCTCCCCCGGGTCTGCTCTGGCCTCGTTCCCCACCGACCTCCGGCCACAGAACCGCTCTTGTGCCCCCGAGAGCGCGCCCCTGCTCAGAGAGCCCTGGCCACCCCTCCCCGGCGCCCGGAACCCTGTCCCCTCCTCAAGGCCAGCACATACTGACCCCTCCCCACCAGCCCCCGACGGTCCCTCGTGGAACCCCGCGAGCTCTCTGCGCCTCTCGGCCGCCCCATCTCCCCCGCCCGTGGCGGGCCGGGATGCTCACTCCTGGGCCAGTTCCCTGTGGCACCGGGCGGGACCCGCCCCCTGCCCTGGCCTGGCCACAGTGTGGTCCCAGGTCGCCGAACTTGCAAGGTACGTCTGCACCGGGCGAGAACCGCAAAGCCGACACGTGAGGATGATCCCTTCTCAGGGGGACAAAACGCTCTCTTAAAAGGCAGAGCAGCACACAGGGACGTCAGAAGTGGCTCCCCAGGTAGTGACGACAACAGCAATGTCCCCAGTGACAAGCCAGCCCCTGCGCACAAGGCTCGCAGGGCAGCTCCACCAAAATTCCGGCCCGTCCGCAGATTCCTGGAGAGCTGCGACAACACGAGTCCCTCTGAAATGACACCAAGGCTGTTTGCAGGCCACCCCCTAGTGAGATGACACAGCCTTAACTTCCGTTGGCTCTTTCTACCTCTTGGGAAAGAAAATTAAATTAGAACAATTTAAACGGTGAACAAGTTTAATAAAATGTGAAAGAACTCAAGGCCTTTTAAGACAGCAAAGAAAAAAAAGTGTGAAAGAACTAGGATTTTCGATCTCGACTTTCCACCCAGCCACCGAAGATCGCATGCGTCACTTCCACCCGGGACACGGCGCAAGGCCGGGCCACGCGGGCGCTGCTGGGGGGGGGGTGTGTTTCTCGGGCGCCGGCCCTCCCCGCCCGAACTTCGGGGTCCCGTGTAGCCCGACGCCCCTGAGCCCTGGCAGCAGGCCCCGGGCGGCGGCTGTGGGTGTCTGTCACCTACACCAGGCAACCCCAGCGGGGGCCCGAGCGGCCGGGATAAGTTACCAGAGACGGCACAGAGGGGCCCCCCCTCGGGCCCTGGTCCCCTCTCGGTGGCGGCAGAGAGGAGGGAGCGACTCTGCCTCGGTGTGCAGAGCCAGGGTCTTCGTCGCAGAGGCGGGAGCTGCGTGGCCCCAGAATAAATTACCTCCCCGGGGGCTGGAGAAGCGTCAGGGAAGAGGCAAGAGCAGGTTTTGTGCAACCTACGAGGCCACGAGTGCCAGCAACTTGGAGTTTAGCAAACGAGAAAACGCCACCCGGGGCGGCACACGGCCGTCGTCACCACCGCCCCCGGCAACGGGCTCCCCCGGCGACGGGCTGCCCCGGCGACACCTCCGTCTGACGCCAGCACCAGGGTTTGTCCCGCCTGCCCTGTCCCTCCCCTGCGTTCCCAGCCACACATCTGAGAGCTGGGAGACAGGCCAGCGCCGCGCGTGACCTGCCACCCTGGGCGCGGGCCTCACCGAGCTGGCCTCAGTGGCACTGCGGCTGCTGGAAGCAGTTCAGCAAGGAAACGTTAGAAGCGGATTGAATGCAGAGGGACACAGCTCATTTCCTGCTCGCCCTGCAGCGCTCGGAGGGCTTCTGCGAGTCCCCCTGCCGCTGCGGGCTGTCCTCGGGGGGCAGGGGACCGTCCGTGCCCAGCCTGGGCACGGCAGGGCTCTCGGGCAGGGGGGGCTCCTGCACGCGGTGGCAGGCGACGGCGGGCGGCTTCACGTCGCAGTAGCTGAAATCGCAACCGACCAGCAGGTCTCCCCGAGACAGGCCGTCGCGGCCGGGGTCCTCCGGGTCCCCGGGGCCGTCCCACGCGCCCGTCCTGGCCAGCGTGGCCTGCAGCAGCTCTCGGATTCTCCGGTTTTCCTTGGAGGTGCACGCCCAGATAACTTCAAGCTCGCCTTCCATTTCTCTGAAAGAGATAAACGGAGCGGAGGAAGCGTCTAAAACAGCACCATCTAAAAGATGCCCACAGAGCGGGACTCGACGGAAGGAGGCCAACTTCGAGAGGACGACAGAGCCCGCCGTGTTTGGCTTCCGGAGCAGAGACGCCAACGAGGAACGGGCGCCCAAGCGCCCGGGGAACAGGAAACGCACACAAAGGCACGGGCTGCAAAGGGCCTGTCACCGTCCTCCTCTGAGCTTTGCCTCGTCCTTCGCTCTGGCGTCCGTGGCGGGGCCTCTGCTCGCCAAAGCGGGGACAAGTGCTCGCGAACCAGGAAACACGGCGGCCGGCCTGAGCCGGTCGGACGCCGGAGCACCCTGGCCTGGCTGCGGGTGTCACTCAGCGTGGGCCCGTAGGCCTCTCCTGTGTCCCCTCTGCCTGTCCCCACTGCGACCCGGCCGACACCTGGGGACCCATCGCAGAGCCACCGACGGGCCCAGGTGTCAAGGTGAGTTGGGGTGCGGAGGGGACTCGCAGCGGACGACACAGGAGACCGGCCTGCACCCAGTGCGGGAGCGAGTGGCCGGAGGGAAGGAAAGGGCAGCAAAGCGGCACTCCCTGAGCAAGGATTCGGGGCCGGGCACCAGAGGAGGGCGCTGCAGGGCGCAGAGGGGACACAAAGGTGTCCGCGTCCTCGCTGGGCTGCGGCCTGCTGGGGTAACAGACCGGGACACCAGCCACCACCCCACAGGTCGGGGAGCCCCAGGAGGGAGCGTGGGGGACACACGGCAGCCCTGCTGGGGAGGCGGTTTGGGCCTTGTCCAGGGGGCAGGGCTGGAGACGCAGGTCTTCACAGACGTTGCCAGATGGTTCCGGAAAATGCTAGAAACCAGACTGGCAGGTGGACGTGGCACCACTGTTTAGAGAGCAGGACAGGTCGGGCACGGTGGCTCACGCCTGTAATCCTAGCACTCTGGGAGGCCGAGGCGGGAGGATTGCTCGAGGTCAGGAGTTCGAAACCAGCCTGAGCAAGAGCGAGACCCCGTCTCTACTATAAATAGAAAGAAATTAATTGGCCAACTAAAAATATATAGAAAAAATTAGCCGGGCATGGTGGCGCATGCCTGTAGACCCAGCTACTCGGGAGGCTGAGGCAGGAGGATCGCTTGAGCCCAGGAGTCTGAGGTTGCTGTGAGCTAGGCTGACACAACACTCACTCTAGCCTGGGGAACGAAGTGAGACAATGTCATTCATTCATTCATTCATTCATTCATTCATTCATTCATTAATAAATAAATAAATAAATAAATAAATAAATAAATAATAAAAAGAAAAGGAGGAGCAAATAACATCAAGGCCAGCATTAACTTTGGATAAAACTAAAACGTATAAACAAAATTAAGTGATTAAGCTTAGACATGGAATCTTAAAAAAAAAAAAAAATTAAATGATCAAACAAACCAAACGGGCCCAGAGGGTTTCACCAGAAAATCCCACCAAGCGCCCAAAGCCCAAGGCGCCCGCGGGCGGGCGGCCGCACCTCTTCTGCCGCAGCGCCTCGTCCAGGACGTCCTGCTTGTCCCTGAGCCTCCGCTGGAGGAGCCTCATCTCCTGCCGGTACTGGGCCGCCCTGCCGGCGAAGTCCTCCTGCTGCTCCACCAGGCGGTGGCTGATGTCCCCCAGCTTCAGCGCTGTCTTCTTCTTGTAGCCCTGGGGGGGGGGGGGGGGGGGAGGGGACTCGCCCTGCAGGTGGCGGGCGCCTCCTGGCTGTGTTGTCACCGGCCGCCGCACCCCCATCACAGCGCCCCCTCCCCCCAGCAAGGACCAGGTCAGTCTGACCCGGGAGGGCAAGTCTGGATCACAAAGGTCATAAAAGGTGAGACAGGAACTTCAAGTGTACTAGAACCACATTTCTAACTTTTACTAGACCTGGGTTTTTATATGCTACAAACGAAACCGAAACATAAAACATCACCACCACGGAACACACCAGATGGCGCTGCGCGTCACTCCTGCCGCTCGAGATAAATGCCCCCAGCGTTCCGGGTGCTGCTCCCTTAGCGCCCAGGAGCCCGCGTGGAGGAGAGGACTGGAGCTGCTCTGGGCCATGGGGGGTGGGGCGCCCTGACCACAGACGGCTGCCGCCCATTATAAATGACAATGATGATGGGCTGGGGGGTGCACCTGCCTTCCCCGGGGTGGCCCAGAATCCACGCCGCGGGGCTCACAGACGCTGCACGTAGCAGATCGTACTAAGAAACCAGATCACGGGCCGGGCGCGGTGGCTCACACCTGTAATGCTTGCACTATGGGAGGCCGAGGCAGGAGGATCGTTTGAGCTCAGGAATTTGAGACCAGCCTGAGCAAGAGTGAGACCCCCGTCTCTACTAAAAAAAAAAATAGTAAGCAATTAGCTGGACAACTAAAAATACATATATAGAGAAAAAATTAGCCGGGCACGGTGGAGCATGCCTGTAGTCCCAGCTACTCGGGAGGCTGAGGCAATAGGATCGCTTGAGCCCACGAGTGTGAGGTTGCTGTGAGCCAGGCTGACGCCACGGCACTCTAGCCCAGGCAACAGAGAGAGACTCAGTTTCAAAAAAAAAAAAGAGAGAGAAAGAAAGAAAGAAACCAGATCACACCTCTGGCAGCATCTCTGTCTGCACCACCTGAAAATCAAGACCTACAAGGCAATGCAGCTTGCAAAAATTTAATACCGGTATTAAATATCTAAGAAACATAGATATAGCAAGATATGCATTAGGGACACTATTTGGATCAGTGCAATTTTAAGTTAAATTTTGTTGCCTGTAACTTTTGAAAAAATAAATACATCAGGACTAAAACTTATGTTCCCGAAAACAAATTCACAACATACATGTACTCACATGTACGCACCGTTAGCCTCATACCGTACCATGCACACGAGCCAGCCAGTGTTCGGAATTTCTTAGTTTGTGGATTTTCCAACATATTAAACCTCATCAATCTACTTCTCCACTCCAGGCCCTTTGGTTATGGTTCTACACATACACACACCAGAGGCCACAGGTCCTGGGTCTTATTCTACATGCGTGGAGCTGAGTGTCGTCACGGCACCTGCCCTCCAGTCCCCAGATCCTGGCCCTGCCCCAAGCCCCACCCTGCCTGCCCCGCCAGGTGGAAACCTGCACGGCCGCGGGGCGGTGGCTGCAGGCTGGGAGGGGACGGCCTACAGGGAGGTGAGGCGAGGGGTGGGCCAGGGCAGGAGAGGAGGCACGATGACAATGGCTTTCCCTGGGCAGAGACACTGGGAGGAGCAACCAGGACTGAAGCAGGAGAGGAGCCGGTCAACGCTGCTCTCCAACTGAGCCAGACAGATGCGGGCTCCGTGACAGAGCCTGGACGCTGAGTGACAGAACCTGGAGATTTTTCCATAGCTTTTTATTTGCCCCCCTAAAAATCAGCGGCACAGTATTTGATTGTGCAGATGAATAAAGGTTCATTTAATGAGTTGAGAGGTGCTGCTTCCGCCAGCGAAAACTTACAGTGCCTTAGTCTGTGGATTAGTGACACATGCATGCAAACAAAATGTGTCATTTTCCCAGACACAAAAATCCACACCAGTGACCCTCTGTTCCCATTTGAAAATGCAATCTCTGAGGCTGAGTGACCACTTACCTTAACTTTTTCCTCTAACTTTCCCAAGCGAATATTGCCTTTTATGATTTTGTTCATAACTCCATGCTTCTCACTTTCTAAACATTTAGCCTAAAGGGAGAGGTGGAAAAAAAAATGGGCTCTCAGTTTTACAGAAAAATTAAAATAGTAAATTCTTTTTTTTCATAATAAAATATCAAAGCAATAGGCCAGGCACAGTGGCTCATGCCTGTAATCCTAGCACTTGGGGAGGCTGAGGCAGACTGCTTGAGGCCAGGAGTTCAAGACTAGCCTGACGAAGAGCGAGTCCCCATTTCTACAGAAAATAGAAAAATTTAGCTAGGCATGCCTGTGGTCCCAGCTACTGGGGAGGCTAAAGCAAGAGGATCGATTGAGCCCAGGAGTTTGAGACTAGCCTGGGCAACACAGCGAGACCTCATCTCAAAAGGAAATTACTCTTGAAGTCATGCTAGCACGTTAAAACTTGCAGTTTACTTGACGTAGCTTTCGGAGACTTACCAAGTGCATGAGACTGTCCCGCTCCTGGGTCACGTTCTCCGCCAGGCCAACGAGGTTCGCCAAGTACTGGTGAGCAGACATCTCGTTCCCCATGGCCTTCTCCACCTGCTTTTTGAGGACGTCGATTTTCTTTTGAGATCTCCTAGAGAGTTCCCCCAAATGGTGGAATAAAAAGCTTATTAAGCCTCATGACTCGGTCACAGTGAATACCTGCATTACAAAAACAGCCGGTGCGTTCGTGTCTAAGTGTCATTCTTCAGCAACCTAAATCTTCTATTACAGTCCAAGGTGAGAAGAAGTGAGTGAATTTAATTTGAAACCAAGCATAATTGCCGACTCCAAGTTAACAGGAGTCACAAAATGCCCAACATTGAATAGGATAATTAAATATTATTCTGTTAACTTTTTGGCTCATGTTCCAGAAAACGCTTTTGAAAAAGAGATCCAGTAATCCCACAGTAGACTTTTGGGAAGAGACTAGGAAAGAACTTCTAGCACTTTGAGCCTTGGGGTCGCCACGGGACCATCGACCATATTTGAACTAGTGACTTGAGAAATGCCGGTTAATGTTGGGCGACAGAAAAGCTTGCACTGCGCTTATATTCTGATATCCGATAATTTCGATTACCCTCTTCCATGCTATTGGCCACTGTTAGAAAAAGAAGAGATAAAGGAAATGAAATGGAATATCCTTCGGTTGCCTTTTTTTTTAAACCGTCAGGGGAAAAAGCAACTCAAGTGGAAAAAAAAAATATATATATATATACACACATATACGAACCTATTTATTTTCTGTGCCCTTTCACATTCAGCTTCCAGCGCTTTGTTTTTCGCCATCAAATTGTTCTTCTCCATCAGCAGGCTCTTTCTCTGCACCTGCAGCACCGTCAACTTCTCCATCAGCTCTTCCATCTCGGCGCTTTGCTCCTCTTCCTCCTTCTGCAGCTGGCTGAAGGACACAAACGTTACCGGCATGTGCGCAGCACGCGGAGGGTAAGGCGAGGCAGCCGCTGCCGGGCGGGTGACAGGCAGCCAGGCCTCCAGCCCCTGGGCGGTCCCTGGAAGTCCCCTGTGGAAACACCTCCCGACCCGTGGCCCTAAAGGACAGGAGGGAGGGTGTGGCTGGGAGCACGCTTCTTTGCAAGCGATAATCTAACTCCTTTCTTTGCCCCCAGTTTTTGCTTGTGTCCGTGTATATGTACTTACTTGTACCCTATTCCTTCCAGGAGAAAAATCTAAGACAGCTCAATTTTTTTTTTTTTTTTTTTTTTTTTTTGAGACAGAGTCTCACTCTGTCGCCCAGGCTAGAGTGCCGTGGCGTCAGCCTAGCTCACAGCAACCTCAGACTCCCGGGCTCAAGCAATCCTCCTGCCTCAGCCTCCCGGGTAGCTGGGACTACAAGGCACGTGCCACCACGCTCGGCTAATTTCTTTCTATTTATAGTAGAGACGGGGTCTCGCTCTTGCTCAGGCTGGTTTCGAACTCCCGACCTCGAGCAATCCGCCCGCCTCGGCCTCCCAGAGTGCCAGGATTACAGGCGTGAGCCACTGCGCCCGGCCAGACAGCTCAATTTTTTACATGGTTATAACTGCCAGCAAAAAAAATCCTACTGCTAAAACATATTTTATGTCATAATAAAAGTCATTATAAATACATATTTTATGATAAAAGCAACAAAGGGGGCCCTTGTTTTGCTGCACACAAGCTCGAGTGTCGTCAAACACGCACGCACACACAGCAGCACAGGACAGGGTGCACCCCTGTCACGCATTGCAGGAATACATGACACGGCATGATTTTAAGGTCAGTTTGTCCCCTGTAACTTAAAATACGTATAAAATCTAGAATTCATTTCTTTTACTGAAAACCAATTGAACTATTATCTTATTGGATAAACAGTTGACCTGGATCAATAATAAAGGGTTGAAGAAGAATGTGGAAAGTACGAAGACTTCTGCTTCCAGCCAAGGTAGGTTCCAGAGACCAGATTCACCCTTCGGCTAGAAAGCAGGCAAAACATGGTAAACAACGGCCTTCAGACTTTGGACAACGGGCAGTGCAGGACTGTGATCCCTGAGAGAGAAAAACAAGGCACCACGGCCGCCCCACCTGCCTGCCCGGCCCGAGGGGAAACCCAAACAGCAGCGGCAGGCTTGCCCAGTTGAGTCAGAGACCGAAGATCAGGGCGGTTAAGGCAGCTACAATTTCCAGGGCAGAGAGAGGGGGGGGAGTCTCCCAGAGGGGGGAAAGGCTCCGGAGAACATTAGGGGTCACCCTAAGTCCTCAGGTGAGCCCCGATCTGTACGGGTGAGAGAGGGAACTGCCGGGGGCTAAGGAAAGAAACACCAGGAATGAGTATTCGGGGACACTTCCTGACATTGACGAAGAACAGGAAATAGTGCAGGAGCCCACGAGTCAGAATGCAAAGACCTGCACCGCAAGTGACACCGGACAGGAGCCTCACGAGAGAGTCACTGCCCCAGCGGTGGGGCTAGAGTAGCCCTAGACGAGGGTGGTGGCCGCCCCGACAAAAGCCGGCCTTGAAAGGACCCAACTACTCCCCAGTAACTTAGAGCGTGACTCCTGGTTTTCCTTTCTTATACTGTCACTGTTTGGTTTGGTATCAGGCTATTTTAAACCTCATTAAATGAGTTGGGGAGCATTCATTCTCTTTCTGTTCTCCAGAAGGGTTTTACATAGTAAGACCAGAACTATTTCTTCCTTGAATATCTGTAGAACTCTCTGGCGAAGGTATCTAAGGCCAGTAGTTTTTATTCAAGGGATGATGTTTTGACTTAATTCCTTTAATGATTAAAGACACATTCAGGCTATTCCTTTTCTTCGTGAGTCAGTTTTGGCAAGTTGTATTCGTCAAGGAATCTGACTGTTTCATCTAAATTTTCAAATGTATTGACATGAGGTTGTTTCTAGATGCGCACAGGTTTAAACATCTACTTGGTGAACTGAGCCTTCTATCTTTAGGAAATGAGTTAATCCTCTCTGCTAAGTAGTGTTTCTTACCGTGACATGTGTCAGAGATTACAGTTTACCACCTTTCTTTGGGTTTGCACTTTAGTATGACTTTTCCTGCCCTTTGACTTTTGACCTTTCTGTATCTTTATGCTTGAGATACACAACTTAGAGACAGCACAGAGTTGCTTTTTTATTTTATCCAGTCCCGCAATCTCTTTCTTTTAACTGGAGTATTTAGTCTAGTTAGCATATCCTCCACTGCTACATCTGGATTTCCATCTAACATTTTGTGTTGTCTGTGTTCCTACTTGTCTACCTTACATTTTCCTTCCTTTTCTTGCCCTCGTTTGGATTATTCTTTTTTTTTTTTTTTGGATTATTCTTTGAGTTCATTCTTTTTCCCCCTATACTAGTTTAAGAAGTTACATACATTCTGTTTCCAGAAATTTCATCATGCATATTTTCAAATTACAAAATTAACCAACACATTCATTTTCTTCTGAATGACATAAAGACTTTAGAACTCCATTACCCTCTCCCCGATTATCTGCCGTTGTTGTGCATTTTAAGTCTGTATTTTTTAGGTCCCAAAAGATATCATTATTGTTTTTACAAAATCAACGTTCACGTACATTTATCCACATTTTACCACTGTCTTTTACTTCCTTCCTGCTTCTCAGACATCCCTCCTTGAATCATTTCTCTCCCCCGAAGCACACACCCCTTTTAGAACTGCCTTCAACATAGGTCTGCTAGCGGTGCCACCCACAGTTTGGGTTTGCGAATAGCCTTGTTTTTTGCCTTCATTCCTGAAAGGCATTTTGTCCGCTGATACGATTCTAGGCTGTCAGGGGTTTCCTTTGTGTTCTAGCACGCTGAAGGGAATGTTCAGGGACTGTAGCGCCCCGGCCAGCTGTGAAACACCTGCTGTCACCGCAGTCCTCGGAAGGAGGTCTGCTTCCTGCAGTCTCTCGGGGACAGGCCTAGGCGTGACTTCCTTTTCCCTGTTCGTGCTGGTGCCGGCTGGGCTAGCAGGACCCCCGTGTTGTCGCCTGCCTTCAGCTGGGAGAGGTCTTCGGCTATCCTGCCTCCGACGACGCCTCCTGATCGAACAGACCCGTGTCCCCACCGCCTCTGATCTGAGGATCGGATCGCCCCTCGACAGCCGAGGACACTTGCTTCCGACCTCAGTTTTCAGTTCACAGATTCGAGCTCCAGCTGCGCCCCGTCTGCAGTTAAGCCCACACGCTGAGTTCTTGATTTCGGTTGTTGTGTTTTTCAGCTCTAAAAATTCTATTTGTGGCCGGGCGTGGTGGCTCAGGCCTGTCATCCTAGCACTCTGGGAGGCCGAGGTGGGAGAGGATCGCTCAAGGTCAGGAGTTCGAGACCAGCCTGAGCAAGAGCAAGACTACGTCTCTACTATAAATAGAAAAATTAACTGGACAACTAAAAATATATAGAAAAAATGAGCCGGGCATGGTGGCACATGCCTGTAGTCCCAGCTACTCGGGAGGCTGAGGCAGGAGGATTGCTTGAGCCCAGGAGTTTGAGGTTGCTGTGAGCTAGGCTGACGTCACGGCACTCTAGCCTGGGCAACAGACTGAGACTCTGTCTCAAAAAAAAAAAAAGAATACGGTCATGCATGACTTAACAACAGGAGCATGTTATGAACAGCTTGTCATTAGGTCACTTTGTCATTGTGTGAGCGTAACAGAGTGTACTTACACAAACCTAATGGCGGAGCTTACTGCACACCTAGGATCATAAGGTAGAGCTGCTGCTCCTAGGCTGCAAATCTGTAAAATGTTACTGCACTGAACGCTGCAGGCAACTGTGACACGATATTAAGTATTTGTGTGTCTAAACATAAACATAGAAAAGGTACAGTGAAAATATAGCATAAAAGATTTTTAGGGAAGAGCACCTATATAGGGCACTTACTGTGAATGGAACCTGCAGGGCTGGAAGTTGGCCTCGGTGAGTGAGTGGCGGGCGAGTGAGTGAGTGGTCGGTGAGTGAGTGGCGGGCGAGTGAGTGAGTGGTTGGTGAGTGAGTGGTGAGCGAGTGAGCGAGTGGTTGGTGAGTGAGTGGCGGGCGAGTGAGTGAGTGGTCGGTGAGTGAGTGGCGAGCGAGTGAGTGGCAAGTGAGTGAGGAGGCTTGGGACGTTCCTGCACACCACTCCAGACTTTATAAACACTGAACACTCAGACCACACTAAATTTATTTTTTTAAATATTTTTCTTCCTTCAATCATAAATTAGTTTGATTACTGTGACCTTTTTACTTTATAAACTTTAAAATTTTTTAGGCTTTTTGACTTTTATAATACTTAGCTTAAAACACAAATACATTATATAGCTATACAAAAACTTTTTTTTTTGAGACAGAGTCTCGCTTTGTTGCCCAGGCTAGAGTGAGTGCCGTGGCGTCAGCCTTGCTCACAGCAACCTCAAACTCCTGTGCTCCAGTGATCCTCCTGCCTCAGCCTCCCGAGTAGCTGGGACTACAGGCATGCGCCACCATGCCCGGCTAATTTTTTCTATATAATTAGTTGGCCAATTAATTTATTTCTATTTATAGTAGAGATGGGGTCTCACTCTTGCTCAGGCTGGTTTCGAACTCCTGACCTCGAGCAATCCGCCCACCTCGGCCTCCCAGAGTCCTTACCTTTTTAATTCGTTTACAATTGACGTATGGACTTTCATTGCGATTTTGCCATTTAGCTGCGCCTGGAGTTCTTGGCATTGGGCGCGCAGACTCTCCAGCTGCTCCTGGTTTTCGGTCAGCTCCTTTTCCTGCTCCTGCGTCTTGTTCTCCAGAAGCATTAGCTGTTTGGTCAGCTTGGAAACTGAAAAACAAGAGAGAAAAAATAAACACTTGGCACAGGACGACCTAGTAAGACATGATTATTGGTTATCAGGAGATACGGATGAGTCAGCTCACGAAAATGATCTTCTAGAAATCTTTTGGAGACTTAGAAATTAACACCAAAGGTCTTGTACTTAGAAATTACTGTCCCTACGTTAGGCATTCACTAAATATACACTTTTGTTTAAGCTAGGGCTCACTATAATATTTAACAAGATATGATTCCAGTCTTCAAGGAACTGAGTTTCCAAAGTCTTGAATCATACACAGATGTGCAAGCCTATTATCATGACGTTATCTCTAAAACTGCACGATTTTCGAGGATTTTTAAGGACAAACATGGCCAAACTAAGAGCCAAATGTATCATTTTTATTCCCTTTCCTCATTAAGTTTTTATGTTTTATGTCCTGCATCTAAAGTAAATCATAAATATTTTCATCCTATGTGACATGGTAGTATGTGACAATAAGAAATTTCCCGGGCATCTGTCAAAACTGGCACTTAAATCTTTCTGCTCTATGGGAACATTTAATTGATCCAAGTAAACGGCTGTTTCTGGAAATAGTATTGGCAACGGACTGAATCATAAAGGTCAAAAGGCAGGTCCTGCCGTGTGACCAGAAGAATCCTCATACCTGGTGGCTGTGGTATGTTTGAGAAAGTGAAGCTCAGTAAACAGCAAATTAATTCCCTGCCATCTCCAAGCCCGAGCACAAAGACAGGAGGCTCCACAACTCTCCCCACTCCCTCCTCAGCGATGCCAGAGTAAAGGCAAGTTCGCCTGGGCCACCCAGGCCTGGGAGAAGTCACAGGGAGGACACTCTTGCTCTTCGAGACAGACTCTCATCTTTAAACGCTGCCTGGTTGTCACACACGCGGGAAACGCCAGTGACACCAACGACGCCAGAGGCCGGTAAACAGGCAAACAGGGAAGGGAAACCGAAGAAAAGGGCTGACACGGTGGCTCACGCGAGACATCTTGTGCCTCGGCTTCCTGTCCTGTACCTCTCTTCACTGGGAAACAAACATCAGTAAAGCAAAGGAAGAAAACGCCGCTCACTTCCGAGCTCGTATATTCTGGTCTAAGAGCAGAAAAAATGACTCTTAACCTGGCCCACTAGAAGTTCACTGTCACAGGCTGTGGGGCTCTGAGGGGCAAGGGAGGGGACACACGGGGAGGCACCTGGCAGAGAGCTGACCTGCAACGCCCACAGCTCTGAAGGCAGGAAAGAGTACAAGGAGTTATTTAGAAAGTGAATGGTTCTACCTGCTCACTCACTCGACAAATATCTGGGAAGAGCTCCTTGTGTTGTTCCAAATATTTACCTCACATGATTCTTCCCATTCCTAAGGCACCACTTTAGCCTAAAACCAGCTCTGCTGAGCCGAGTTATCACCTGCGCATGATTCACAAAACACAACGACGACTGGAGAGAGACAAGAGAAAGGGAGAGAGAAAGCAATCGATGCATTAAGGGCAACGCTGGCCATGCTACCAGTAGCTGCACTTCAGTAAAGAAGAGTAACTTCTAGAAGCCACGATGTCTTTTACTTTCAACTAGGGGCCTCAGCAGGAGGCAGATGCAAGTGTGCAAAGGACAGAACAGTGACGTCACAGCACTGCGGTTCTTCCCGGGAGGACGTACCTTCTTGGAGATGCTCCTGGTGGGCGTCCGTAGCTTTCGTTTGCTGAATCTCCAGCTGCGCTATCAGCAACTTGTTCTCCTCCAAAACCAGCTCCGCCTGAGTCTGAAGCTGCCGCCTGCCATCAGGCGACAAGATTAGATACCGAGACTCAGGTGCTGCAGGATTACACAGACACCCCCACATCCAAAAGAAAGCCAACTGGTCAAGACATATTTTCATGTTAAACATTGTTAACAGCCGGCAGATCCTGCCATTTGCATAAGAAAAGGACAGCAAGGAAGTTGGAATTATGGACTGCTTCAGCAACTTTATCAAATGTAAAGTTTCAAACATACACAACCATAGAGAGACCAGAATAAACTCCCACGGACACAATACCCAGCTTCATCAATCACCTGGTGGCCAGTCTTGTTTCATCTGCATAAATCTCCGACCTCCCAACCCACTGGATTAGGCTGTAGCTCACATGGAATATTTTTAAACAATTAAAGAAAGTCCCCATCCTAATTAAAACATACTCATTCATCACCAGTAGCGTATTTGGTGAAAAACGGTTACTTTGTCGGAAGGCTTTGAGGACTGAACTCTGATCCTTTTCTCTTGCTAAAAACTCTTTCCTAAGGAGGCCAGCTGGGTCAGGCTGACAAATGGTAAATTCCTACTAAGCGGCTTTTTGTTAACCAAATAAAGCGGTGGTTTACTTCCCAACCTGATTCTGGTGTGGCATTAACATCACCTAAAAGATAGGAAGCCCCTGTCTTAACTCAAGCATCCTAGCAGATGCCTATCATAAATTTAAAATATCTTAACTCAAGCATCCTAGCAGGCGCCTATTGTAAATTTAAAATGTCCTCCTGTCTGGACCTCCCAGAGTGCTCATACTCTTAATCTTAAAGTAAGCATATCCTTTCTGGTCTTCTAGATAAAGTCTAACTCTCTCAGCCAATTGCCAGCCAAAGAATCTTTAAACCCACCTATAACCTGTAAGCCCCCCCCCCTTCGAGATGTCCCACCTTTTTGGGCCAAACCAATGTACGCCTCTCATGTATTGATTTGTGACTTTGCCTGTAACCCCAGTCTCTCTGAAAATGTATAAAACTGAACTGAAACCCAGCCACAGCGAGCCCACTTGCCCAAGCCCTCTTGGCAGTGGCTCCGGGTCATGGTCCTCAAATTTGGCTCAGAATAAATCTCTTTAAAATTATTTTACAGAGTTTGGCTTTTCCCCGTGGACAGCTTCGAAGCTGTGTTGACAAGCCCCGGCCAGAACTCCACCCCGAGCAAACCTCTCCCCACCAGGACGGTGCAAGGCGACTCCCAGCTCAACCTTCATGATGGAGAATTCAAACTAGAAGGAGCTGAAGGGGCTTTAGAAATCATCCAGCTAGATATTTACAACCCAAAGCACACTGTACGCCAGTAAACTATCTCAATTTTGCACCTTAACCCTAAAAGGGGAGGTGGAGAAAGGAGAGAAAATGCATGAAGGAATCAGGCTGCAGCAGTGATCTCTCACCGGCAGTGGCTGTGCACACGCTCCCTGGCACCGTGGAGGTGGCCGCCACGCCGTCCCGAGGGGAGCACGCCCAAGCTGCACACTTGCACACTGAGCAGCCCCACTCTGGTCTGTTTTACGGTTTGGAGTTCCCGTAACACTTTCCTTCATTTGGTCCTGCCTTCCTTCCTTGCTCCCTCCCTCCTTCCCTTCATTGCTTTCTTTTTTTTTTTGAGACAGGGTCTCACTCTGTTTCCTGGGCTAGAATGAGTGCCATGGTGTCAGCCTAGCTCACAGCAACCGCAGACTCCTGGGCTCAAGCGATCCTCCTGCCTCAGCCTCCCAGGTAGCTGGGACTACAGGCACGACCCACCATGCCTGACTAATTTTTTTGTATATATTTTTAGTTGGCCAATTAATTTTTCTATTTTTAGTAGAGACGGGGTCTCTCTCTTGCTCAGGTCTCCAACTGGTCTCCAACTACTGACCTTGAGCGATCCTCCCACCTCCCACCTTGGCCTCCCAGAGAGCTAGGATTACAGGCAAGAGCCACCAAGCCTGGCCTAATTGCTTTCTTTTTTAAATGAAAGGGATTCCTCACATTCCTAAAAGCAAGCTGAAAACCTCAGATTGGGTTTAAACCCCTCCCAGGCCCACTGAGCCTGAGGTTGCCCAGCTGGTCCTTACTCAGGAAAAGAAGCACACAGAGTTCAGCTGCAGCCCAGAAGTTCACTGAGAAATTACTGAAAAGCAAAAAGGATTTCACTGTACACCTTATTAATTTCTTAGACATTCTCCCTTAAGACATTTTAGTTAAAAAACGAAAATGTATTTATGTATTTAATGATCTCATAAAGTTTTTTTCCTATCATCTTTTGTCTCAAATTAGCAAAATACCAGAAAGCTCTGTCATCACTTGCCATTCCTCGCTGGTGACGGGACTGCTCTTTTTTAACTCTTGGTGCAATTCTTCGTTTTCTTTCACCACTTCTTGGACTCGCACCCTAAACATTCTCATTTCCTCCTAAAATAAGATGTATGTAAATTGTAACACACACACACATCTATGCTCCCTAGTTCTATTGCTGCCGCTGTGGCTAGAATCAAGTGGTAACGGGCCCTTAGCAGAGTCTCGGGACAGCACCTGCCTTCAACTCTAGGTTCCAGGGTCCGGCGGCGCCTGCCCTCGGGGAGCCCACAGTCTCGTGAGACAACACAACACACAACCACAAGGCCACGTCCCAGAGACAAATGAGTATTCGAGGCATGAAAAATAATTCTTCTAAAAAAAAAAAAATTCAATTTGATAACATTTTTCTATAACAGCCAAACACTTGAAAAAAGGGGGGGGATAAAAAAAGGCAGGGCACCCATAAACACTACAATTATCCCTTTGTTTAAAGACTTCGGAGAATACATTGAAGTTGTTTACATAATAAATAAGAACTCTCCATCCTAACAAAAAGCCACGTTTGGTGGGGAAGGGGTTAGTGAACGTGGGGTTGGAGGCTCCTAATGTTACAACCATGAGAAAGCCTCTCTCGCTGAAAGTCACCGGTCACTAGCCCGGACATGAGGCCAGTGGCACAGCTGTCTGTGTTGGTCACGCTCAGCTGGGCTTCCTCTGTCACAGCCTTTCTCAGCCGGCCCCTGGCCGGCTTCAGTGTCCTGTGTCAACTTCCCTGAGACTCTGAGGTGCCAATATTTACTCCGCTGTGCTTCTGAAATACTCCTCTCCTGCTCTCAGACGTTCATGTGTACCGTTGTTTAACTTAAAGGAGGTCGCTTGGAGCCAGGTCACTTTCCTCTTCTCACCTGTCTGCCCAGACACTCTCCCCAACTGCCGGCAGTCTGCTTGTTTCGGGACAGGGAGGGTTCCGGGCAAACTAAGACCCGCAAAGCCAGCTGCTCGCTTTTATAAATAAAGTTTTATTGGAACACAGCCTCGTCCACTGTTCACATGTCATCTCTGGCTGCTTTCCTGTTGCAACAGCAGACGTGAATGGCTGTGAACAGAAACTGCACGGCCCGCAAAGCCTAAAATCTTTATCGCTGTAAGACTGGTGGCGGGCCCCCTCCCTTCCCTAGATCAGAAAGAAAAGGCTCATGAGACCAGACCCGCCAAGGACAAAACTGCCAGGCCCCGCTAAGAGGATCCACACCCAGATGTCCACCTGGATAAGAATGTTTTGGCTCCTGGATTCCACAAATACCTCCAGCCCCTCCTAAAATCCCCAGGTCTTCCCGCCAAAAGTCCCTAGCCAGGCCCAAAGGATATAAAAGGCCTCAGCCCCTTCAAACAGTGGCGACTTCCAGGGCCCCCCTCTCTTGGGGCCCCAGAACCTCGTCCACGAGTGTATAATAAAGCCACGTGGTTTGGCCCCCACTCTTTCTCTCTCTGTGTCTGTCTTTTCTTTTCACCGCCGCCGAAAAACCTTACAATCACCTGGCCCTTTAGAGAAAAAGCGTGCTGACCTTGATTTGGAAGGACCACCAACATAGTGATTTCATTAATTATTAGGATTGATACTTAATCAATTAGTACCAAATTCATGCTCTTAGAAAATGAAGTGTTAAGTGTTCAACAGTAAGTCTAGAAAAAAAAGGTTCAAAATTGCCTTACACGGGACATGTACATGGGACAGTCTGACTGAAGAGGAACAGGCTCTTTAACAGATTCTTAAAGGACCCTTCCCAGGCCGGGCGCGGTGGCTCATGCCTGTAATCCCAGCACTTTGGGAGGCCGAGGCGGGAGGATCACTTGATCCCAGGAGCTCAAGGCTGCAGTGAGCTGTGATCACACCACTGCACTCCAGCCTGGGTGACAGAGTGCCAAGACTCTTGTCTCAAAAAAAAAAAAAAGGGGGGGGGGAGGGGTTGGAGCTGAGGGTCCCATAATGACCAACACTTCTCCCCCTGGCTGCTTCCGATCCCAGGGGTCTACTTGACCCCTTAAGTGAGGAGCCCAGAGCCCGCGGCCCGGAGGCACAGGATGGGCCTGCCACACCACGCAGGGTGGTTAGAATGAGCTCCGCTGTCAGAGGCCATCTCTGCGAAACAAAGGTGAATGAGACAGAAACGAATAAAAACCTCACCTCCTAACCACTTTCAACAACGGCTAGACTTCCTTGGGGTTAGCGCTTCCTAGAGCTAAGGAGCATCTAAGTTTGCCTAAAACAGGGGTCCTCAAGCTTTTTAAATGGGGCCAAGTTCACTGTCCCTCAGACCATTGGAGAGTGCGCACTGTGGGCCCGAGATGAGTCGGCTGCTAAGCAGGACAGGCAGCGGCGCAAAAACAGCCGCAGGGCCGGATAAATGTGCTAGGCGGGAGGCATGTGGCCCATAGTTTGAGGACACCTGGCCTAAAACATCCCAGCCTATTACCGTCCACCGCCTGCCCAAATGTCCCTTCTAACGGTGGTGTCTGCAGCTACTGAGTACCAGGCAGGAAGCGCCTCCCCACGATGCCTGCTCTGCACCCCCAGGTCCCAGCCCACAGGGAGCTGCCAACACAGGAAACCGCCCTGGCCCTCCAACCTCTCCCCTCTATGTCCCCCCCCCCACCAGCCACCCCCTCACTCCCTCTCTTCCTTTCCTTCCCCCCCTCCTTCCACCAACATTTGAACATCTACTGCATGCTGGGCACACCTACCTTCCTAACGTGTCTGCAGTGTTTGGAACGGTCTTATTTTCATAGACCCTGTCTCGTCTGCGACCTTCACCGACCTACCTTGAGGGTGGCGTTGAGCTCGTCCTTCTCTTTCATCCTGTCCTCATAAGCTAGCAGCAGCGGCGACAGGTACTTTATATCCAACTGCAGAGTGAAAGAGGGTTAATGTATTTCTCACATGTAAAAACAAAACAAAACAAACAAACAAAAAAATCAACCAATTTTTTTTTTTTTTTTTTTTGAGACAGAGTCTCACTCTGTTGCCTGGGCTACAGTGCCGTGGCGTCAGCCTAGCTCACGGCAACCTCAAACTCCGGGCTCAAGCGATCCTCCTGCCTCAGCCTCCCAAGGAGCTGAGACTACAGGCATGAGCCTCCATGCTCAGCTAATGTTTTTTCTATATATTATTAGTTGGCTAATTAATTTCTTTCTATTTATAGTAGAGACGGAGTCTCGCTCTTGCTCAGACTGGTCTTGAATTCCTGACCTTGAGTGATCCACCAGCCTTGGCCTCCCAGAGTGCTGGGATTACAGGCATGAGCCACCACACCTGGCCCACAATAAACCAATTTTTTAAAAGGCAAGAAAACATATTCATTGTGGAATGGTTTTTAATAGCTATGCAAATATAGCCCTGAAAACAGGGGTCTGAAATGAAACAACTTCTACTTACCAACCAGGGGGGCGTAGGGCCCTGTGAGGGGAGGCCTCCAATATTTAAAATCTGAGGACAAAACACATATTGAAGACAAATTAAACTACACTTCCTCCGAAATTCCAAGTCTTAGATATTCTTCATCTAGACTGGGCATCACCCATCTACGCATCTTTGTGCGTGTATGCGTCTATGTATATGTATGAGAAATTTTTTTCTGATGTGTTTGAGAACGATTTGCAGATATAATGCCCCTTTTCCTCTAAATACTTCAGGGTTTGTTTCTTAAAAACAAAAACATTCATTTACTTAATCATAGTGCTATCATACAAATCAGGTAATCAACACTGATATACTACTACTTTCTTTTCTTTTTTCAGAAATTTAGTCATTTAATAATTCCATTTAACCCTCAAACTCAGGATAAGTTGGTGTCTGCTAACTCCATTTATTATTTATTTATTTTTATTTATTTATTTTTTTTTTAGAGACAGGGTTTCACTCTGTCACCCAAGCTGAAGTGCAGTGGCCCAATCATGGTTCACTGCAGCCTGAAACTGCTGGACTCAAATGATCCTCCTGCCTCAACCTCCCAAGTTGCTGGGACTACACATGTGCCACTATGGCCTGCCACCACACCTGGCTAATTTTCATTTCCTTTTTTCTTTTTTGAGACAGGGTCTTGCTCTGTTGCTTGGGCTAGAGTGCCGTGGCGTCAGCTTAGCTCACAGCAACCTCAAACTCCTGGGTTCAAGCAATCCTCCTGTCTCAGCCTCCCGAGTAGCTGGGACTACAGGCATGCGCCACCATGCCCGGCTAATTTTTCTATTTTTTGTAGAGATGGGGTCTCACTCTTGCTCAGGCTGGCCTCAAACTCCTAAACTCAAGTGATCCTCCCGCCTCGGCCTCCCAGAGTTGCTGGGATTACAGGCGTGAGCCACGGCGCCCAGCCTTGGATGTAATTTTTTTATATGAAATTATAATAATGAACAACCTCTCAGGACTGGAAATCAATTCAACATTAAAGGCTAAAAAAAATCTCCAAAGTCTAATTTTTCATGATTGGAAATGTTACCTCTTCCTTGGACAAATGCCGGAATTTTGTCTGGTACCGACTGAGTTCTACGTTCAAACAATGGACGGTCCTTTTCAACCCATCATTTTCGTCCACCAATTCTTGAGCTTGTTTTTGTAGACAAAGTAATTCAGGTGTGGTAACTAGTGAAAAGAATCAATTTTATACTATGAGAAATGACATCAAATTTACCAATATTTTATAAAAATTGCTAATCATCTGCCTTTTCTTCCCCTTTTAGACTCATAGAAGCAGTGAATGATCTATGTGTGTGTGTATGTGTATATATGTATATAAATGAATAAAAGTTGCAAAGTTTTTACTATTGACTAGTCAGCATTATATTGGAAGTTTTTACATGTAAAATAAAATGAAAATTTTAAGTTGAAAATGAATAGTCATTGTTTTGGATGATATAAAAATACGTGCTTTGAAAAATCATATAGAATAAATGGAAAATGTATTAGAATAACCTTCCCATATAATAGCAATGTTCTATTAGAAAACATAATAGAAAATGGATCAACAAAATAACAGCACAAATAGCATAAAGTATCTAAAATAAATGTGCCTATGACAAGAATTATGCAGGGTCTATATGAAGAGAACTAACACCATATTATTTAAGGCCATAATATTAGTTTTATATAAATGGAAAAAGATACAGAGAAAATACTGGTGAATATTTACATAACCTTAGAGTTAAAAAAGACTTGACACCAAGGGCATAAGTCTTAAAATAAAAGCATCTTGTAGATTTAGCCCACATGACAAAGGGCTTAACTCCTTAAAATGTAAAGAGTTCCTACAAATCAATAAGAAGTGTCTCAACTTAAAGTGGGCAACATTATGAAAGAAAATGATCTGCAAAGGTATGAAAAAAATATTCAAGCTCATCAGTAATGAAAGAAATACAAACTAAAATGCAATTGCTTATCCCTTTTAACCTATCAAATTAGCAAAGAAAATATAATTCTTATCGCTGGTAAGTATATAGTGAAAGAGGCACTTTTACATGCCCTCACAAAGATAAAAACTGATGTGAAATATAGGTAAGATACTATGCTAAGCATCAAGTTCCAAAAGAAGTCTTCGAATTTATTTAGCATGACAATAATGATATTGCAAATGGAATCAAATTTCAACAAGCATAAGGATATTACTGAAAGAAACTTAATATTACAACAAAATAGCACCAACATAAATATCAACAGGTATCACCAACATAAAATATTAACCCTCAAAATAAATAATAAAATGAGGGAAGTCCCGCTTGTTCCTTTAATAGAAGCACCGGGTACTTTCCCCCACCTTCTTGCGATGGTGCCTTCTCAGCCTCTTTTAGCTTTTCCTTCTGTTTTTCCATTCTCTTCAGTTTTTGTTGCAGTTCTTTCATTGCTTGTCTCATGACGTTTAGCTCAAGGCTAAGGGTTTGATTTGCACTGTTCAGGTGCAAATTTTCCTCTTTTAACTCCTCAAACTTTTCTTTGGTTAGTTCCATACATCTCTGACGTGCTCTACCAGTAATATCTGAAAAGGCACCAGGGAAAAGTTTAAAAGTATTAATCGCTATTTATAATTTTATATGACGATCACATGTGGCTTTATTCCAAAAACCACGTGAGCAAGGACTTCACGCGGGGCCTGGGGGCTGCGTTCTTTGGGCCCTAGAAGGGGAACTGCCCAGGACGGCTGTCCAGGTGAGAAGTCCAATGCCCCCGGCTGGGACGGGGGAGAAGCTGAGCTTCTAGGGCCAGCCGAGCCCGACACTCACACACACCCAATCCCTAGAGCATGAAAGGAGAGGCTGAGAAAGGAGCAAACTCCATGGCTACACAGAAAGCAGGAAGGGAACTGGGAGGAACTGCAGAGGGAAAACAGCCGGGATGAGACTGAAGACGGAAGCCACAGCCTACAATGTGCCGGGGGAGGGCAGCCACCCGAGGGGGAGTGGCTCCAGGGTCTGCCTTGCTCTGGGGCAGGGGGAGGGACATCAAGTGGCAGGGGGAGGGACACCAAGTGGCCTTGCTCTGGGGCAGGGGGAGGGACACCAAGTGGCCTACAAAGAACTGAGGAGTCGTCCAGTTAGAGAGCGGGAGCAGCAAGGGGTCAACCTGCCCCGGCCAGACAGGGACAGCGGGGACATGTGTCCCTCACGGGGCAGTAGGTACAGGCTCAGAGAAGCAGGGCAGGCCAGGGGCCGGAGAAAGCCAGGAGGAACAGGAGGCCCCCTCCCCGGGGGCTGGCCACACGGGAGGCAGGCCGAGTGCGACCTGGTGGCCCCAATGGCTTCCCCGCTCAGCAGCCCGAGCCAACAGGTAACCGCATCCCCACATGTGCCAACGGGGACCCTCAAGGTGAGGCCGTGGCCAAGGCCCACCAGATACCTGAGCCAAGAGAAGCACCGAGGTCAAATGAGAGGGGAAAAGGGGGCCGCAGCATGGACCGCAAGACTGGACTGAGAACAGGCGACATTTTCAGAGCGATGCCAGCAACACACATTCAAGCACAAATTGGGAAGAATGAACCTGCGGGCTGGAAGTCGGCGCCCCGGCAATCTCCCAGGATACAGCCCTGGGAACGCTGAGGTTAAAACGGTGAAAATAACGCCAATCTGCCATGGAGAACAGAACTAAAGAAAGACTTTCAGACCAGCGACGTGGGACACAACCGTCAGGAATGATCAAAGCCATTCTGAAGGCCACCGTCGCTCCCAGACTGTGCAGGGCCCAGCCACGAAGCGACTCCAAGCTCTCTGCCGCCAGCCCTGGGTGGAGGCCTGTTTGCACACACCTGCCCACCTGGGTCTGAGCACAACCCCCGGGGCCACCCTCACCCCGGAATCTGCGCCCATCTCACGTGGACCCACGTCTGCCACCGGCCTCCAGACCCCCTCTTTTGAGGCAAAAGTGGAAGCTCCATGACTAACACCTCCTCCCAACTCCAGCAACCAGACAAGAGCAACAGCCTTTACGGGAGAAAGAAAAGGTGATCGCTGTTTTCAGATGAGATTATTCTGGGCAGTCTCCAAAGCAGCGTGCTTTCGATCGTGATGAAATGCAAAAGGCAGATACCTGGGGAGGGTGGAGGTTTTTCACACAATGGAGGTTTTTCATCCTAGGGAAGAAAAAAACAGAGGAAAAAGTCTCAGCATTTCCCAAAGTGGGCACAAACTGCTAGGTCACTATATACCAGGAATATAAGCAGTTTTTTCCCTTCATTTTGGCTTTTTTTTTTTTGAGACAGGGCTCCCTCTGTTGTCCTGGCTAGAGTGCCGTGGCATCAGCCCAGCTCACAGCAACCTCAAACTCCTGGGTTCAAGCGATCCTCCTGCCTCAGCCTCCCAGGTGTGAGCCACTATACCTGGCCTGGCTCTTGTTCCTAAGTTTGTTTTAGCTTTAGAAACTGTAATGTCCACTGTTTCTTATAACTGAATCTTAAACCTGGAGGGCCTTCCCCTTCTGGTGGCTTCTCTGAAGCGGTAAGGGAAGTCTTGTGTGACCTTCCTTCCTGCCTTTTTGCCTGTGAGTTCAGTGACTGGGTCTTTGCAGGTCTCGTGAGTGACAGGCTGTCAGTTCACGTCCAAAAGCACGTGATAAAGTCACAAACACACAAAGCAAACTCCAATCAGGCCTTTTCTCACTGGGATACCAAAAAAGGACCTACCCCCCACCCCCCATCCACCACAGGGAGGATCATTTTCAAATGCTGAGAAAAGAACGTTAATAAGATCCTGCTTCTCAGTCCCGAACTTAGAGGAAAGGGGCGGCTTTGAACTTTTGTTAACTTTCCCTTACACGTTGGTGTGATATTAAGTTTCTAATTCTTGCTGAAAAAGAGGATACGGTTATAAATTAACTCTACTGAGAAATGTTTAATTTTTAAATTCCTAGGACTTCGCACAATGTAAAACTTGAGCTAGAACTGTTTCCATGTTTGCAAATTAGTTATTAAAATGGTCTACCCATTCTACAGATTATGTAAGTGGTTTCTAACCCTTTAATACACTACTTTCGTTATTCAACTATGGGAAACATGAGTTTCCTCATATCTAAGAGTATTTAAAAGAAATATTCAATAGGAAAGCACTCTTAAGGGAAGTTTTTTTCCCTTATAAAATCTGCTGAGAGGCCGGGCGCTGTGGCTCACGCCTGTAATCCTAGCTCTTGGGAGGCCGAGGCGGGCGGATTGCTCAAGGTCAGGAGTTCAAAACCAGCCTGAGCAAGAGCGAGACCCCGTCTCTACTATAAATAGAAAGAAATTAATTGGCCAACTGATATATATATAAAAAATTAGCCGGGCATGGTGGCGCATGCCTGTAGTCCCAGCTACCCGGGAGGCTGAGGCAGGAGGATTGCTTGAGCCCAGGAGTTTGAGGTTGCTGTGAGCTAGGCTGACGCAACGGCACTCACTCTAGCCTGGGCAACAAAGCGAGACTCTGTCTCAAAAAAAAAAAAAAAAAATCTGCTGAGAAATAATGATGGAAATTCCATTTATTGAAAAAAAATCAGTATTTTTAAAAAATAATCTTACCTTTATATTCAGAACAGAGTGTTTATTATCTGATTAAAAAAAAAGAGAGAAACTTTTAATGCAGATAATGAAATGACAATGACAGAAGAGCACAGTCACACAAACTCACTGTCTACAGAGCAGCCAAACGAGGCCGGGGACAGGGATAAACTCCGCAGGGTTGTGTGGCCAACGGTCCCAACTGCTCACACCTGCCTGCCATGCTCATTGCTGAGCCCCATGTTGGCTCGTAGGACCCCAAAACGAAGGCCCCACTCCTCGGTGCGACTCTCAGCCCTTCCCACGTGGGCTCCTCCCTGCCTTCCCAACACCCCCTCCCCAGCACCCCAGCTGCACGCTTTGCCCCCACCACCACCCAAAGGGGCTAAGGCCGGACTCCTCTCTGTAACATCCAACTTCTTAAAAAAAAAAAAAAAAAAAAAAAAAAGTTGTTCCTTGGCCGGGTACGGTGGCTCACGCCTGTCATAATAGCACCCTGGAGTCTTCTCTTGGAGGCAGGAGATCACTCAAGGTCAGAGTTCGAGAGACCGCCTTGAGAAAAGCGAGACCCGTCTCTACTAAAAAGAGAATGTGAGATTCGCAACTAAAATGGTATATAGAGAAAATATTATATAGAAGAAATTAGCCAGCGAATGGGGTGGCATGCCTGTAGTCCCAGCACTTGGGAGGCTGAAGCAGGAGGATCGCTTGAGCCAGGAGTTTGAGTTGCTGTGAAGCGTAGCTGACGCCACGGCACTCACTCTAGCCTGGGCAACAGAGGGAGACTCTGTCTCAAAAAAAAAAAAAAAAAAGCTGTTCCTCCTGGTTTTGAACTCCTGACCTTGAGCAATCTGCCCGCCTAGGAGGCCTCCCAGAGAGCTAGGATGACAGGCGTGAGCCACCGCGCCCGGCCCCATTTTAGCCTTTAGACGATGATTAACCACTAGCATGGATGGAAGGTGTTGGGCTTCACATGTGGGACTCAGTGTGTGACAGAGACAGCCTCAGACGGAGCAGAGAGGAGTCGGGCAACATAGACAAGCCTTGTGCCACCTGGAAATGGCAGGGCGAGTAACTTAGCCAAGCCCCGTACAACCTGGAAGTGACGGGGTCCGGGACCAGACTACTAAAAGCCAGGGCTCCTGATGTGGAAGGCCACTCATTCCAGACTCCCCAGGGTACTTGTTAAAAGGACAGACCTCCAGGCCTCGCTGAATTGGAACTTGGGGGCTGAGCTTCTTCACAAGTGCCCGGGGTCTTTTAATACCCACAACCCAAGCACATGAGCTGCAACTCCTCCCTCCCAACTGCCGCCTGTGCTCCACGGTTGTGTCCCCAGGCTTGCGGTGGTCGCTGGCTCTCAGCTCCAAGCCCACCCTCGCTGTCAGCTGGTGTTCTGACATTTCCACCGGCCAGTAGGCGCGGCGACAGGCTTTGTCGGCAGAGGGCGCTAGAGAGACGCTGGAGGAGCAGGGGCTTTGCCTGCTGATTCCAGACCCACCCCCTGCCTGCCTGCCTGCCTGCCTTTCCTTTCCTTTTTGTTCTGGTGACCACCCAGCAGTGAGCATCTTCTCCCCATGGGTGGCTTCTCATGGAACCCTGTCCCAGCGGCAGGCTCTCAGCACCTCGGCAGACTTTGCCACCAGCCAGCAGGGCACAAGCAAGGTCACTCCCTCCAGCAAGGTCTGGATCTCAGCTCTGGGCCCGGCCCTTCTGGATTTGTTTATTTTTTTTTTTTATTTTTGGAGAGGCTGGCCTCCAACTCCAGGCCTCAAGAGATCCTCCTGCCTCTGCCTCCCCCAGTGCTGGGATTACAGATGTGAGCCACCGCGGCTTGTTTCTTTCTCAGATGCTCTGCATCAGCCCCGCGGGGACAATGGCTCTTCCCTCTGTCTGCCACCCTGGCATTCTGGAGCATTCTCTGTACCCCTTAGCAGGCACTCCTGTTATAATGAATAATTCTTCATATTAGACTTTTCTGTGTTCAAAGTACCATGTGGGTTCTGCCTCCTGGTTAGGCCCTGATGGCCACGCGCTACCTCAGGCCACACAACACGGATGTTAGAGACGGGAGGAGAGATCGGCAGGTATGGGCACAGGAAGGTGTGTTCAGGTCGTATTGAGAGATGAGCAAAGGCAGGTAACAAAATAGCATGTAGCTTATATACACACATGCTCTTAATTGTTAAAAAGTAATCATCTATGGGAGCACAATTACATGTGTTTAGCTTTATATACTGTTTTTTATTTTTATTTTTTACAGCAAGAAAGTATTACTTCCATAATTTTAAAAAGATACAATTTTTACATGAATCTAACAATCAAAATATGCCAACTGACTAACAGGTGTTTTCTGGCCCAGGCTTTACTAGGCTGGTATTCTATTTTCCTTGTGAAATGATTTAAATAGAAGTTTCCCTGAGCCCAGGCAACACAGAGGGTCCCGATTAAGCAGTTATGGGCAGCCCGCTGCACACCTGGTTCTTCTCACTGCTCAAACATAAGCCCCTGGTAGGAAACCGAAAACTGTTCCCTCCCTTTGCTACAATGCGCCAAATTCTCTCGCTGTGCCCAATAGGACATATAAGTGTCCCTGCACTCGCTCATCAGACAAACCCTTCCTCACAGCCCGTGGGCCAGGCCCTGCTCCAGGCACGGGGACAAGCGTGGTGAACCCCACACACGACCTCACTCGTCACTCCGGGGACAGAAGGAAAGGAGCGGGCAGGGCTTCGCAGCCAGAGTCCCCTCCTGCGTCCCCTCCCGGCTGAGAGAGCAAACAAAAGGGGCTCAAAAATGAGCACCGTGTACTTTTAAAGACAACCTAACAGCCAGGCAATCGACTTGCCTTCAGTAAAAATAAATTCCAAGTGTATTCCTAGTTAAAATCACGGAACCGCGCCGTGGAGATCCAACGGCTGTATTTTCCTAGAAAGCAAACAACATTCACTGCCACAAAACGCTGTCGCATCTTATAAGAATTATGGGTGTTCTGTTTACCTGTTTGCTGGGTATGCCATGGTGTGACAGGTGAGCCCGGAAACCCGTCTTGAGTAGAAGTACTCTCATCGTCTTCGCTGTCCACCCCACGGGACAATGGCACCTTTTTGTTACAAAAGACAAAGGATCAAACATGTGACAAATGTAACCTGGATAAAATATCCTCCTAACAGCAATTTCAAACATCTTATTTCCCCACCTCCCTCCAAAGCAGCTAAGCTTCTTCCCTCAGTGAGACACAAGAAGGGCTGGATCAAAGTTCTAAGCCTTAGGAAAAGCCCAAGCGGCAAAGGCCATGTCACCCAAGTTAGCTTGGGCCCCGGAGTGCTTCACCTCCCAGCCGGGCTGCCCTGGCAGCTGCGCGTCTTCACTCCTGCCGGGACCAGCCCAGGAAAAGGGGCCGCCTCTGGCCCGCACTGCACGACACTCGGTCCCGTCCCACCTTGGTACCCGTGCTGTGTCATTAACTTACTGCTGACCTGCCCTGGGCGATCTCTCACCCCGGCAGGCAGCCGTCTGGGACATTCCACGACATGAGGCCACCGTGAGTGCCGTTTCCTAATGGGACGGAACCCCCACCCCCTACGGTCTGTGAGCATCCTGTGTAGGCATCACAAACGGTGGCAGGGCCACAGAGCTGTCCCTTAGAGAGACCCATGGGTCTCTCACCACCCCAGATGAGGTGGTGACATTCCTACTGGCAGGGGCCTGGGAGTTGGGGACAGAGGCTGTCTGAGAGGAAGAGCAGGGAAGCATGAAGCATGTCTCATGTGGCGAACTGCGACTGTGCTCTCTGGGGTGGCTTCCCTCCCGCCACCCCGCTGCTCCAGTACAATCTTGCTGTCGTTGCTTGATGACTTGTGATTTAAAAAAAAAAAAAAAAAAGAACATCTTATTTTTATGATCACCTTGGCTTAGCTGCATGCTGCAGGCAATGAAAGGGCTGTCCCCAAGCCTGGCAGGGGGCTGGTGGCAGGGACCAGCAAGATGCCCACAAGAAGGGGCATTTCGGAGCCAAGAGGGAAGGCTGCTAGGTCCACTGGGTTCAGTGCACAGGGCTCCAACGTGACCCGGGCCGGCACGAGCCCCAGACAGGTCTCCCAGTCCCCGTGTCATTTGATGGGAGAAAAAAGAAACGACCTCTTGCTTTTTGTCTTCCAGAAACAAACTGCCTTGTTTACCCTTGTCAGAGACATCTTGAGCTTCTCGTTATCATCACGGAAATGTGAAACTGGTAAGACTCAAACAGTATCACAAAGATACTGCAAATGGAAAACTGTTGGGCAGTATCTACTGGCACGAAAGCTGATCACACACGTCCCCTTCTGTCATACGCACGTCATTCCTATATACGCACACCAAGGGACACATCTGCGAACGTTCATGGCGGCATTATTCCTAAGAGCCTCAAACCGGAAACAACCAAACATCCATCACCAGTAAAATGAATAAATAAGTGAATGGCACAGTTGTACAAGGGAATGCTATACAGCAATAAGAATGAACCAACGCCTGCTACTCCCAATAAACAAAGACCATCAAACACTCCAAAGAATACACAGCATCTGATTAAATTCACACAATTTTCAGAAAAGGCAAAACTAACCTAAGGTTCTTTTTTAAAGATCTCATCTTGGAGTCAGGACGATGGTTACCTCTGTAGGAAGTGGTGACTGAGAGAAGACGGGGGACTCCCAGGGAACAAGTAATGTTCTCTTTTTTTAATCTGGCTGGTGGCTACTTTATGAAAAATGTATTGAGCCGTACACTTGTGATTTATGTGCTTTTGTGCGTATTTAACAAATAAGTCTATTGAAAACATTATAAGGAATTTGTGATACTTTTCTATAAACATACACTAAAAGGCTTACTTTAGAATTTTTTTTTAACTCCCCAATACTTCTGATTGTGAAAATTCCCTTTGGGAACTACAACTAAACTTGCTGGGTACTGATGGATGGGGAGGAGGAAGGAGGCGGCAGCGGTTCTCGGAAACACTGAGAGGCGCAGGAGGTGTAGACTTGGAGCCAAACTGCCTGATTTGGGTGGGTCTATTCCCTTAATAGTTCTGACACTGCTTCAAAAGAAGTAGGAATGACCTCACAAAAAAGATAAAATTATAAATTATTTACCTCCGATTACAGAATGTCTATAATAAATATAAGGAAGGGAGTTTTACTTCTTTTTTAAGTTAAAATGTACCTCCACGGGCACTATCATCTTCAGAGCAGGTACCACTCAGTGATTAAATAAGCAGTGTTTTTATGCACCACACACCTACTTTTTCATATATATTTAAAACATATTATGAATGTAGGCATATTTGGTAAGTTTCAAACAAAAAAAGCCTTATGCTTAAGAATATTCTGGAAAGACACAAGGATTATAAACGAATTTTAATTCTAAACAGGGGAGATCGGTCACCTGGTCTGAATCCTGCCTCAGGCACAGGTAAGGCTGTGACCTAGGGCAAGGTGGGCTGGGTGGCCTTGGGCAAGCCATCTAAACCACCCCCAGGGGTGTACAGCAAATGAGACGGTTCACGTGAGCTGCCTACTCGCCCCCTCGCTTCCCCCATCCAAACAAAGAGAGACAAAAACAAAAAAAACAAAAACTAGTAAAGCTATGGCAAACCGAAATCCCTTTCCAGCTCAAGGGACCTTTCATTCATGACATCTGCTCTTGGCCAGGACCACGTGCACATCATGATGAGAGCTTTCACCTGCTGTCGGTCACTGAAACCCAAACTCCAGTTGCCGGGTTGCACGGGAAAGGGCTTTCCTGTTGACTGGGTCGTGTGGACACACACACAGACCAAGCACACTGTGCTGCCGGTGGGACGGTCAAACGGAACGACTGCCTTTAGGGCAGTTTGGCAATCCCCGGTGTCACCCGCCACACACGGGTACACGTATCAGACGTGTGCAGGGAAACCACCTCTAAGCGTCCATCGACAGGCAAGGGGATAAACAGACCGACATGGATCGGCCTCAGAACTGCTATGCTGAGTGAAACAGCAAAGACGAGGGATAATCAGTAAGGCTTACATTGATAGAATTTAAAAACATAGTACTATAGCTGTTTACTTACACGTGTTAATAGTAAAAGAATAAAAACACTTCTAGAGTACACTCCCAATCCAAGAGAAGACAGGTTTCCAGGGAGGGAGTAGGTAGGGTTGGGAGACAAAAAAGATTGCAACTCTTTTTATTTCTTCCCTCTCCTCCCCCCTCCCCCAATTTAAAAGAGTTTATTCAAGTGAAAAGCTGAGAACAGCCATTCAGATAACACAGACGCCAAAGGAATGGGATGGTCAGTGCTCCAAAGTTAAAAGTTATGGTCTGGCTTATATAGCTGGAAAACAAAGAAATGTAGTAGGATCCTAACTCTGTCTATATAAGGCTGATTTATGAGTTACAACAATCCAATCAGTTACAGTTTGTTTTCTTTCTTTTTTTCTAGCCAAATTTAGCAGTGGGGTGTCGTATATCAACTTTAGTGATACTAAATGTTAGCAAGTTCTGATAACCCACTACCATAGGACCAACCTGTTTCTTTTATAAAAAATAAATAAATAAATAAATCTAGGCCAGGCGTGGTGGCTCACGCCTGCAATCCTAGCACTCTGGGAGGCCAAGGCAGGCGGATTGCTCGAGGTTAGGAGTTCGAAACCAGCCTGAGCAAGAGTGAGACCCCGCCTCTACTATAAAGAGAAAGAAATTAATTGGCCAACTAATATATATAGAAAAGATTAGCCAGGCATGGTGGCGCATGCCTGTAGTCCCAGCTACTCGGGAGTCTGAGGCAGGAGGATCGCTTGAGCCCAGGAGATTGAGGTTGCTGTGAGCTAGGCTGACGCCACGGCACTCACTCTAGCCTGGGCAACAAAGCGAGGCTTTGTCTTAAAATAAATAAATAAATAAAAATTTAAAAAATCTAAAGAAAAAAAGGTCAGCATTTGTTCATTCTAGAGAATGGAAACACTAATGTGCTATATTATTTTCCACTTTTCAAATTTTAAAATAAAACAAATTTTCATACTGTACATGGGTCCTAGAGGCAGACTTGCCTAAAAATAAAATATCTGTCCTTCAAGCAGCAAAGGAGACCGACTAGGCCACTAAAATCTTTCTTCTAAAGGAAAGGCGGTAGCAAGCTCCACTCTAGGGTAGTGGAGGGATACACCTGCCCGGAAACACCGCCCGCAACAAGCAGCCAGCGAGCACGTGGCCCGGCCCGGGCACCGCGTTAGGGCTCCGGGCAGCGCCCGCCTGTCGCAGGCCTCCTGGCCCTAGAGAAACCCGACTCTGCCCGCGAGCGCCCGTGCATGCCGAGAAACTGATGGCTCGTCCATAAAATACTCCCTTAAGGGTTCCTCAAAATAAGCTCCCGAAGACCATTTACTTTTTGAGACAGGGCTTTGCTCGGCAGGCTGGTTTTGCTCCGCAGCGGCACCAACCATCCGCCCCAGCCCGCTGCAACCTCCAACTCCTGCAGCGCTCCGGCATCCTCCTGCCTCAGCCTCCAGGCTGCCGGGACCGCAGGGCGCGCGCAGCACCACGCCCGGCCCCCCGAGACCGTCTAAAACGCGTTTTCCCACATAAACACAGCCGGCAGAGACGTACCTCCACGCAGCAGGTCTGCACGTAGACGCACCGAGTGGCGTGGGTATAATGGTGGGAAAACGAGGGAGGAGGGAGAGAGGACGGCACCATCTCCGGCCGTTGGAGAAGTGGCGCGCTGCGCCTTCCAAACCCTGGGAGCGCGGTTTGGAAATCAGGACTGGGGCGCAGCTGCAGCACCACGGGGGTCGGGGGTCGAGTCCCCCCACGCACCGTCACTCAGCCGGGCTGCTGCAGCGCCCACCTGCTAGTCCCGAACCCCAGAAAAGTCCGTTAAAAATCGTGATTCTTGAAAGCGCAAAAGGGGGGCGCGAGCCGGGGGCGACCCGTCGTCGTGGGGGGCTTCCCTAAGAGGGGCGGCGGGTCCGGGCCGGCGGGGACCCGAGATCTAGGCGCCTGGGGTTAGAGCTGGGGGAAGGGGGGGGTCCCCGAGTCGGTCCAACCCCAAAGATGCTGGAGGAGGACACGGAGGCGGTGGTGG